GCTAACTGTGCCACTAGAGATCCTGGTTCGAATCCAGGCTCTGTCGCAGCCAGCCGCGACCGGGAGACTCATGGGCGGCGCACAATTGGCCCAGCGTCGTCCAGGGTAGGGGAGGGAATGGCCGGCAGGGATGTAGCTCAGTTGATAGAGCATGGCGTTTGCAACGCCAGGGTTGTGGGTTTGATTCCCACGGGGGGCCAGTATAAAAAAAAATAAAAAATATTCACTAACTGTAAGTCGCTCTGGATAAGAGCGTCTGCTAAATGACTAAAATGTAAAAAATGATATTGTGATCACTACATCCTATGGATTTGGATACTGCTTTAAAGCAAATTTCTGCAGCATTAGTAAAGATGGGATCAATAGATGTTGATGATTTCATTCCTGTGCTGTTTGTAAATACCATGGTAGGTTGACTGTCAACCTGAACCAGGTTGCAGGCACTGGTTACAGTTTTAAGTTTTTTCTTTTGAGTGGGCAGCTTGATGAGAGCCAGTCAATATTTAAATCACCCAGAAAATATACTTCTCTGTTGACATCACATACATCATCAAGCATTTCACACATATTATCCAGATACTGACTGTTAGCACTTGGTCTATAGCAGCTTCCCACAATAATGGGGTTTAGGTGAGGCCGATGAACCTGTAGCCATATTACTTCTACAGTATTTAACATGAGATTGTCTCAAAGCTTTACAGGAATGTGGTTCCGAATATAGACCGCAACACCGCCCCCGTTGGCATTTCTGTCTTTTCGGTAGATGTTATAACCATGTATTGCTACTACTGTATCATCAAAGGTATTATCTAAGTTTCAGAGATAGTCAGAATATGAATGTCATCTGTTACAAGCAAGTTATTGACTTCGTGGACCTTGTTTCTCAGGCTGCATATGTTAATATGGGCTATTTTTAGCACTTTTCTGGGTTGCTTGATTGTTTTTAATGCTTTACTGGGAAGCTTTACGCAGTGGTCTAAGGCACTGCATCGCAGTGCTAGCTGTGCCACTAGAGATCCTGGTTCGAATCCAGGCTCTGTCGTAGCCGGCCGCGACCGGGAGACCCATGGGACGGCGCACAATTGGCCCAGCGTCGTCCAGGGTATGGGAGGGAATGGCCAGCAGGGATGTAGCTCAGTTGGTAGAGCATGGCGTTTGCAACGCCAGGGTTGTGGGTTCGATTCCCACGGGGGGGCCAGTATGAAAAAAACTAAATAGAAAATAATAATAATAATGTATGCACACACTAACTGTAAGTCGCTCTGGATAAGAGCGTCTGCTAAATGACTAAAATGTAAATGTAAAGCTTATCAGAAGTAGACTTGCTCATGTTATGTGCAGGGTGAGCTGCACACAGTGGTCTTCCTACTAGGGCACACCGCCTCAGTGCTAACAGTGTAACTCTGGTTCATAGGCTCATGATTACTGCATACAATAGCTGTAGGATCAACAGAGGTATTCAGGGCAATTAGGGGGACATCAATTAAGTTACTTACATATGTCTGCCAACGCCCCTAGGATAATGTACATTTGATGCTGCATTATGACGACTCATTGTCACAATGGTAGGGATTAACTGAGCTGGTCTTGGGTCGTTGATAAATCATTGTTTCAACGCAGCCTTGAAATGCGTGGACAGAGTCCAGGAGCCAAGATGATTTGGATGGACTCCATCATTCCTGTAGAGTATCTTCTGTTTCCAGAAGGTGTCAAATGATCTATAAAAGTGATTCCAGCAGAGCTACAGTAATCTTTTAGCCAGATGTGTAATGCCAGTAACCTGCTGGATCTTTCACACACACGGCCCAACGATGGTACTGGACCTGAAATGATTGGCCGTTTTTTGGAGTCTTTTAATGCTAAAATCAGTTCTTTAAAATCAATTTTCAGATGTTCCGAGCTAGCCCTCCTGATGTCGTTTGACCCCACATGGACTACGACAGCGTCAGCTCCCGGCATCTGTCGTAGAACAGTCGGAAGCAGCCTTGTGAGGTCCTGTACTCGTGCTCCTGGGTAGCACAGGGTTTTTGCATTGGGAACCGAGATGTTTCTCACCATAGAGCTGCTGGTGATGTTGAATGGGCCGGTCTCTCAGGCAGGCTCACGGTCTGATGAGGGTGGGAGCTCTGAGGATCTGAACCTGAGGTAGAAGCCACCGGAGAGGGAGACAGAACAGAGGATGAAGACGCAGGTACCTCTGGTTCCAATCTTGAATGGGAATCCCCTAAGGAAGAAGGCACCGGAACCTCTGGATCTAGGGCGGCAAAGCCGTTTCTGGTCTGTGTCAGGTCCGGGCTTAACATCTCCAAGGAGACCCCCGTTGCCAGAGGACGCTTTCTTCGACTTCCACGGCGAGTGACGTATCTCCATGGCTGGTTGGGAGACCCCTTCGCGATGGATCCCTGCTGAGCACCCGCCAGTCGGCTGTGGAGAGCTGACACGGCGGCGACACTTCCACCAGACCAGAGCGGCGTCCGGCTACTGGAGTGGAAGAAAAAGAAAAAGTAGGCGGGCGTGGATTCCCCAGTAGCTTGTGTAGGTTTGCTACTTGCTTGCTAAGAGTAGCCACTTCGCCCCTGTAGTGCTCCGCAAGCAAGCAGTTGATACATTGAAAGTCAGCGCGGTCCACATTGTCCCGGAACAAAGCAAAGTAAACACAGCTCCTGTAGCGCTGGAAACGTTCAATAGCGACCTCCATTTGAGACCGCCGAGCCAGCTAGGCTAGCTGGGCTTCCGTGTCTCTCCCCCTATGAAGAATCTGGCAGGATCCAGGACAGACAGCAGCGCTCACAGCAGATAAGCCCAACAGAGCCGCAGGATCCAAAATAAAATTAAAGTATATAAAAACACTGGCAGCTTTACAAAAACAACAATAAACCGAGGTCTCTCGTTCAGCTTTTCGTTCAGCTTTCAGCGTTCACCATCATCTGATCCAGGAAAGAATTTTCAGAATGACATCCAAGTGATGAACAGCTGTTGTGATAGTGCATGCGATGCTACAACAGCACAAGTGCTGGAAAAAAAGGTGTTCGCGAGGAATATTTTGGTGTCTCATTTGTTACGCCAGTGAAGCGAGTTGTGCATGGATTCACATTGGATCTAATATCCCAAGTGAATTGAGGTTGATCATCTGTTGTTGTCTGCTTGATTTACAGCAGGGTCTCGTTAGATTTAACAGAGAAAGCATCAAGGTCATGAGTTCATGTTTTCATATGTTTTTGTACCTCGGATTGGACACTGAGTCTACTGTGCGCAATTGTGTAGGATAGACTATTGGGCAACACCCAACTCTCTTCCTGTTAAATATTCTGGATATAATGACAACAATTTACATAGCCTAGTGGGCTTATTGACAATATGATCTGGTAATGAAATAACATAACAAATAAAGTTTGTTTTCCATGTTACACCTGCAACGTCAAACAGTGCAAGGGGCATGAATTTGGAGCTCAGAAATGTAAGTACTGGAATAGGCCTATCTTGAAAATCAGACATTTCCTCAATTTGGTGCTTGAAAGGTCCTTGTAATTATTGTAGCCAATTTATAAGTTCCCCTGCTCCCTTATAATTATCCGTAATTTCATTTTTTATCAGTTTTTGTGAGAGATGTGGCCACTTTCGTTTGTTTTCCGCGGTTTCAATTGAAGGGTGTTGCGCTACTTTGTTGTGGTAAAACCATATGCGGTTCTTATGAGGATGACAACATCTAATGTTGGATTCAACTTGGCTTTCCATACAAATCCTTCCATTAAAAAAGGAACCTGGTTTTTGGTCACTTTCTCATTATAAAAACAGCGATGGTGAGATTAATGCTACCACTATTCATGGCTTTATTATGTGTGCCTGCATTGGCCACACAGTAAAATCGCTATTTAGTCAGGCAATGTCCACATTATTCTCACATATTTTAGAATGTAATAATAATTTGAATAAAAAAATGCATTTTTCTTAAAGTGGTAATGGCCTACTTTTTATTTGACATTTTTTGCTTTTTGGGGGGAGGGGTTCTATATTAGGCCCAAATGTACAATTATATGTGGTCCTCTGTAGCTCAGCTGGTAGAGCACGGCGCTTGTAACGCCAAGGTAGTGGGTTTCGATCCCCGGGACCACCCATACACAAAAATGTATGCACGCATGACTGTAAGTCGCTTTGGATAAAAGCGTCTGCTAAATGGCATATTATATTATTTATTATTATACAATTGTATAACATTGAGGTCCTTGAAAATTACAATTAAGTGCTTGAATTTGACTTACCAATGTCTGTATGAACCCTGCTTAAATAATTATTATTTTTATTTTTATTTTTATTTCACCTTTATTTAACCAGGTAAGCCAGTTGAGAACAAGTTCTCATTTACAACTGCAACCTGGCCAAGATAAAGCAAAGCAGTGTGATAAAAACAACAACACAGAGTTACATATGGGGTAAAAAAAAACATAAAGTCAAAAATACAGCAGAAAATATATATACAGTGTGTGCAAATGTAGCAAGTTATGGAGGTAAGGCAATAAATAGGCTATAGTGCAAAATAATTACAATTAGTATTAACACTGGAATAATAGATGTGCAAGAGATGATGTGCAAATAGAGATACTGGGGTGCAAATGAGCAAAATAAATAACAATATGGGGATGAGGTAGTTGGGTGGGCTAATTTCAGATGGGCTGTGTACAGGTGCAGTGATCGGTAAGGTGCTCTGACAACTGATGCTTAAAGTTAGTGAGGGAGATAAGAGTCTCCAGCCTGTATAGTCATAGGCCTATGTTGTTGTATAGGTGGAGTTATGGGCCAATTTGCATATATTCACATTTATTCCTCTAAGTACACATGTGGAACTGCATAAAAATCTTTTTTATTTTTGTTTCAAACCATTTTAAAATTATCATATTTTCCCCCTCCCCTCATGCAGCCTCCAGCAGGATAGGTCGCGGCCGCTGTTCTCGTCCGACGGCCAGGGCTCGTCTCTGGGCTCCTGTCGGCCCCACAGCCACGTTATGTTCCTGAAGACCCACAAGACAGCCAGCAGCACTGTTCTCAACATGCTTTACCGATACGGAGAGGTAGACTACTTTATCTTCAGTTTGGCTTTCCTTCAGCAAACCTCTTTTTGTGTTATATTGTACCATTTATTTAGTTTTTTTGAAAGCAGCTTCAAATCCATTGTCTTCTTCCTGTTCTTGTTGTTCTTCTTCTAGGAGAGGGATCTGTGCTTCGCCCTGCCTCTGGGGTACCAGTTTGGCTACCCCCTCCCCTTCAACGCACACAGGGTCAAAGGTTATAGAGGGCCCCACGTGGCCGAGTTCAGCATCATGGGAAACCACATGCGCTTCAACAAACCAGAGGTACGTGCTTTAAATTATTAATTGTGCATTTCTATATTTTCTTCCAATGTGTATTTATTGAGGTTTTTGAACAGCAAAGAATGTACTAACAAACAAACCAAAAACAGGGCAAGACACAAGATCAATTGTATTGTATTTTTTCCTATATTCATGTGTATGTGAGGACATTTTTTATTCTATATTTACACGTTGGCCTATTATTTATTGAGGAAACAAACAAAACCACAGGACAGAAGGATTCATTTTTTTTTTTTTTTACGTTAGCTTAACACATATTATTATTTGCATGGAGCTGATGATATCTTTTGTAGGTTTGGCAGGTTCCCTTGTGTTTTGTTAACTGCTTCTGTTGTTGGCAAAGAAAAGGACAGTGACAGTTGTAGGTGAACGTTTCAACAGGTTGGAGCAAGTATGTGGACACCTGCTCGTCGAACATCTCATTCCAAAATCCATCGGATTGCCAGATGGTGAAACTCGGTAGTGAGTGTTGCAACCGAGGACAGATGATTTTTACGCGCTACACGCTTCAGCACTCGGCGGTCCCGTTCTGTGAGCTTGTGTGGCCTACCAATTCGCGGCTGAGCCGTTGTTGCTCCTAGATGTTTCCACTTCACAATAACAGCACTTACAGTTGACCGGGGCAGCTGTAGCAGGGCAGAAATTTGATGAACTGACTTGTTGGAAAGGTGGTATCCTATGACGATGCCATGTTTAAAGTCACTGAGCTCTTCAGTAAGGCCATTCTACTGCCAATGTTTGTCTATTGAGATTACATGACTGTGCTCGATTTCATACACCTGTCAGCAACGGGTGTGGCTGAAATAGCCAAATCCACTCATTTTAATGGGTGTCCACATACTTTTGTATATCCGTGTGTCACAAAATTAGAATATTACTTAAGGCTAATACAAAAAAGGGATTTTTTAGAAATGTTGGCCAACTGAAAAGTATGAAAATGAAAAATATGAGCATGTACAATACTCAATACTTGGTTGGAGCTCCTTTTGCCTCAATTACTGCATTAATGCGGCGTGGCATGGAGTCGATGAGTTTCTGGCACTGCTCAGGTGTTATGAGAGCCCAGGTTGCTCTGATAGTGGCCTTCAACTCTTCTGCGTTGTTGGGTCTGGCATTCTGCATCTTCCTTTTCACAATACCCCACAGATTTTCTATGGGGCTAAGGTCAGGGGAGTTGGCTGGCCAATTTAGAACAGAAATACCATGGTCCGTAAACCAGGCACGGGTAGATTTTGCGCTGTGTGCAGGCGCCAAGTCCTGTTGGAACCTGAAATCTCCATCTCCATAGAGCAGGTCAGCAGCAGGAAGCATGAAGTGCTCTAAAACTTGCTGGTAGACGGCTGCGTTGACCCTTGATCTCAGGAAACAGAGTGGACCGACACCAGCAGATGACATGGCACCCCAAACCATCACTGATGGTGGAAACTTTACACTAGACTTCAGGCAACGTGGATCCTGTGCCTCTCCTGTCTTCCTCCAGACTCTGGGACCTCGATTTCCAAAGGAAATGCAAAATTTGCTTTCGTCAGAAAACATGACTTTAGACCACTCAGCAGCAGTCCAGCTCTTTTTTTCCTTAGCCCAGGTGAGACGCTTTTCGCGCTGTTTCTTGGTCAACAGTGGCTTGACACGAGGTATGCGGCAGTTGAAACCCATGTCTTTCAAGCGTCTCTTGGTGGTGGATCTTGAAGCCCTGACTCCAGCGGCTGTCCACTCCTTGTGAATCTCCCCCACATTTTTGAATGGGTTTTTTTTCACAATCTTGACTAGGGCGCGGTGATCCCTATCGCTTGTACACTTTTTCTGACCACAGTTTTTCCTTCCCTTTGCCTCTCTATTAATGTGTTTGGACACAGAGCTCTGAGAACAGCCAGCCTCTTCTGCAATAACCTTTGTGTTCTTTCCCTCCTTGTGCAATGTGTCGATGGTCGCCTTTTGGACAGCTGTCAAATCTGAAGTCTTCCCATGTTTGTGTAGGCTCAGAACTGGACTGAGAGACCATTTAAAGCCCTTGCAGGTGTTTTGAGTTAATCAGCTGATTATTTTGTGGCACCAGGTGTCTTCAAAATGTAACCCTTACACAATATTCTAATTGTGTGACACACGGAATTTAGGATTTTCATTTGTTGCCACTTCAAATCATCAAAATTAAATGAAATAAACATTTGAATGCATCAGTCTGTGTGCAATGAATAAATATAATGTACAAGTTACACCTTTTGAATGCAATTACTGAAATAAATCAAGTTTTTCAAAATATTCTAATTTACTGACTTTTACCTGTATAGTGTATCTTAGAATCATCACTGACGGCGCATACGGTGTGTGTATGTGTCAACCAGCTTCATGAGGAATACTTTTCCAACAGTCTTGAAGGAGTTCCAACATATGCTGAGCACTTGTTGGCTGCTTTTCCTTCACTCTGCGGTCCAACTCATCCCAAACCATCTCAATTGGGTTGAGGTCGGGTGATTGTGGAGGCCAGGTCTACTGCCATGTGCGCATTGCTGCGCTTATAAAGTGAAGAAATAGCCTAATAGTTTATCAACATTTTAAGCTAAACGTTCTGATCTGTTGCGTCAGCCACATTGCATATTTTTTTATTTTTTATGCTAGTGTTTGTATTAATTTGGGATCTATTGCATCCCACAACTGTCCCAGACTATGTTTGGAATATTTATTTCTCACACAGAATAGAATAGGTCAACAACTAAATTACATTAATAACTCTAAATTAAGCATATAGGAGTACGTATTTCTTTGTTAACCGCTCAACACAGAATAGCCGCGTGTGCGCACTCCCTCAAATCGTTTGGAGAAAAGATGTATATTTTATTCAGCTTTGTTCAATTGTATTCTTCATACTATAAAATAATGCCACGGAATTCTAAGCAAATCTTGTCTGCTAAATGAACTAGTGTAGCCCACAGCCATTTGGCATAGCCGCATAAGGACAACTCAGAGTATGCTATTCTGTTCTTCTGAAATAGACTGTATTTTCTTCATATCATACTTCTTAGACCTGTCTAAAATAGATAATGGATTTATTGTGAAGTTGTAGGCTATATTACATGGATTTATTTGACTTTTTTAAATGTAGATGTTATAAAGGTCAGCATCAGTGGCTTGTAGGCTATGTGTGGAAGGCAGGAGATGCTAAATGTGTTTATGTTAATTAACAGTCAATTACCGTGAGGCCGACAGTTATTTGCTTGACAATCACCGGCTGACAAAATTTCATGACCACCATAGCCCTATGTGTGACTCATTACTTTTACATTAGTGAGCACCATTAGGCAGCACCTAACTTCAAATTATGTCCGTTCTTTAGTTCATTATTTCATTTTTTACATCCAGCAAACAGTTTATTTTCAATGTTTTTAATTATACAGTGTACAGGGTCATTTCAAGTAATTCAAACCGTTTGACTCTGGCTTCCATCACTCCTTTTCTTTCCCCGTGACCTTTGACCCTTACGCTAACCTCTGACCTCTTCTTCTGTGGTCCTCCAGGTAGAGAAGGTGATGCCAGTGGACACCTTCTACTTCTCTATCATGCGTGACCCTGTAGCGCTGGCCGAGTCATCCTACGCCTATTACAAAGCTGTCGCCCCCGCCTTCAAGAAGGCCAAAGGTACATCATGTAGCCAATCTAGCCTACTGTTTAATGCTCGTGCATGTCTGCTGTTCTGTTACTTTTTGGGCCGGATTCCTGGACACAGGTTAAACCTAGTCCAGGAATCAAAATAACTTTCATTGGAGATTCTCCATTGAGCATGCATTTTAAATTCAGGAGTAGGCTTAATCTGTCTGGGAAATCAGTTATTTGTATATATTGAGGTTGTATGCTGCAAAATGAATTGCCTCATTGAGGACAATAACGTTTTCTTAATCTAATTTTAATGTAATCTCTAATCTAATTTTAACTTTAATCTACGGTAATCTGACAGGCCTGGGAGACTTTGCCGACAACCCCAGGAAGTACTACGACCCTCGTCTCCGTAACAACCACTACGCCCGCAACCTGCTCTGGTTCGACTTCGGCCTGGACCACAACGCCAACTTCTCGACCACACTGGCTCGACGTGGCGAAGCAGCTGTCCGACGCGCCTTCAAACTCATCTTGGTCTCTGAGCACTTTGACCAATCCATGGTATATATACTATTATAATATATAATAATAAATGCTATTTAGCAGACGCTTTTAGCTTTTATCCATAGGTGGACCTGATCCTAGATCAGCACTCTTACTCTGAGACCCTTTATAAATACAGGTCCTGGGATCAGTTTTTCCTTTTAGATACAGCGAATAAGATTACATGCACGGACAAGGTGGACCTGATCTACGCTTAATGAATACAGGTCCTGGGGCCATATGTATCAAGCGTCTCAGGGTAGGAGTGCTGATCTAGGATACATTTTGCCTTAGTGAATAAGATTACCTGATCCTAGATCAGCATTCTTACTCTGAGAAGCTTTATGAATGTGCTGACCTAGGATAGGTTTTGCCTTTTCGATACAGTGAAGACGATTTAATGGACAAGGTGGACCTGATCCTAGATCAGCACTCTCTTACCTACGCTTTATGAATACAGGTCCTGCTCCGTCACGCCCTCTGCTGGCCGCTGGACGCCGTCGTCTCCTTCAGCCTCAACGCCCGCCAGCAGAAGCCCAGCGGAGGCAGCTCCTGGGTGGGTAAAGCGGCTGCTGCGCAGCCCCCTGCCCTGGCTCTCACAGACGACCAACGTCTAAAGCTCCGCGAGTGGAACGCCTTGGACTGGCACCTCTACCAGGCCTTCAACCGCTCCTTCTGGAACGAGGTGGATCGCTTCGGGAGAACCAGGATGGACCAGGAGGTCGCCCTTCTCCGGACCCGCCGGGAGGTGCTGGCCCGGGCCTGCCTGAGGGACGGCGGGAGACCTGTGGAGGCCAGCCGCATCCGCGACAAGACCATCAGGCCCTTCCAGAGCGGCTTGGTGAAGATCCTGGGATATGAGCTCCAGCCTGGGCTGGACAACGCTACCCATCAGGCCTGTCTGAGGATGATCAGGCCGGAGATCCAGTATAAAGACCTGCTAGACGCCAGGCAGTTCCCCAGGGCTGCTCCCCAGGCTGCCCAAGCTCAGGCCCCGGCTATCCCTGCTGGGGGAGCCTACGTGAGGAAAGACCCTTCCTCCCAACTCAGGACAGGAGAGCTGGGGGTGGGGGAAGGAGGAGGACTAGGAGTAGGAGGGAGGACGGGGGAGGACGGGAGTCGGTTATCTCGTAGTAATAATAATAATAACCAGACATTGCTGCGAGGAGGAGGAGGAGGGAAAGGGAGGATAAGATAGTTTTCCATCCAGAATTCACTGCCTTGAGAGAATGGAGAAGACAAAAACCCTGACTGAGCCTGTGTATTCTTACTCAAGCACTTGTTGAGTATTTCTATTACTAAAGTACTCAAGAGACTTGTTGGAAAAAATACCCATTCTTCCTCCAACCCTGCTGTACCTCTACTTTACTGTACATTCTCTTTCTTCTGGCTGAACTTACGACTGGTTATGACTATTTCATGTTCATATGGACTTTATGAATGCTGTGGCTGTTTTTCAATGGGACTTGAAATGGAATTGCATTGCATTCAGTGGGCCAGATGTCGTTCAAAACGTCCGCTTCTCTGATCGAGAGAGAAAGTTACATTTGGTGGTCCAACTGCTACGTTCAACATAGTCTCCTGCACGATCGAGAACTCAGCCAGTCGGTTTTTGTTTTTAGAATAATAACTAGGCTATTACCTTTCTTGAACACTAACACAGATGGCCTATATGATATGACAGCAGCCAGCAGCCAGGCAGTCAGACATAGCTACATACTGGGAGAGGAAGGATTCCCAACTGATGTGAGTTGCATGTTCTGACTGAGAATAGGAATAGGAATGGACTCCATCCCTTTGAACGCAGTGTGTCCGGTGTAGAAAACCATATGAAGCAGTAGAGGCTGGTGAGGGGAGGACGGCTCATAATGGCTGGAATGCAATGAAAGCAACAGTATCAAACACATGATACCGTTCTATTCATTCCGTTCACCAGCCTCCACTGTTACGAAGCCAGCATTGGAGAGCAGTGAATCTCAGAATAGGCCTAACTGTGATGTATCCAAGATGGGAGTTAGGAGAGAAAACTCTTAAGTTAACACATGGTACTTTGATAGGAATGGAAGTGTACAGCAGTAATGTACTGTATCTGAACTGAAGCAATGTGGTTGAATGGATAGCTAGCATGTCTGACTTTGAACCTTTTAGTGTGGCTTTCAATAGATACAGTAATATTGGATACACAGTATTTCCCTGACTCAATGCGGGTGTTAAATGCGAGCTACACAGCAAATGGGCCAGTGTTACTTAGTGTTGATTTTTCAGTGTAACATTTCTAGTGTTGATTCAGATGTTAAATTAACTCGGTAAGTGTTACATTAACACTGTTTGGTGTAAAATAACCCCAGTGTTGGTGTTAATAACCAGTGTTAAACTAAAACCACGTCCATCATAATCATATTTCTGATATCTTAGTCTTCCTAACCCAGCAGTCATTCTGAATGCAGGTTGCAGGTAAATAAGAAATTCAAATGTTGGATATACCAATCTGGCTGGATTCCAATAGGAATTACACATCACTTTGCAAGCCATCATAATGTGACTTGCAGGCCTGAAAACCATGAGTTTCAGGCCACTGTATCAGGTTAAAACAAGGCCCTCAAAATAAGGCCTTATTAAATACTTTTTGTATTGTGTTAAATAATGTAATTTTAATGATAACATATTCACTTAGGATCTCACTAAATGGATGAATGCAACAACCATGTCTCTGTCACTAACAAATACAGTTATAGGTGGTAAAACTACAATTCACTCAAAAGGCAAGGCACTCTGGAAAATATGCAAATAAGGCTGTACACTAAGCAGTGTGCTAATTTAACACTGAAAAATGTGGACCTGTATAGACACTGGACGAGTGGCCTCATATGAATTCATGGATTTGAGGGTTAAGCTATCATTCAAATGAAAGCCAACCCCTGTTGCTATTTAGAAATCAATGTGAGGTGGTGATTCACTGAGATGATCCAGTCCAAAAAGTGCTGTTTCCTTTTCCTTATTGGCCAATGGCTATCTACCGAAATAATCTTCTCACAGAGATATACGTTGATAAATGGCTGCGAAAAGTTGTTATCTATCGACAGATATATGTAGTATACCCAAGTTCATTGAGGTTTGTCTGTTAGAAAAGCGCAAACAGTACATGTCACCGCGGTTATTGTCCCAGTTCCATTGATTTCAATACAATATCGATGTGAGTGATTAATTTGCGCGTGATATTGAGTACAGTAAAACAAGCTCATCAATTCCAGTCTTGAGTGACCACTTGGTAAATGTTGGTCTGTGTGCAGTTTATAAGGTACTTATTTAGCAAAATACAAGTAATCTGAACACAAGTGTGACACATATGTAGGGAGTAACTTTTATGTATTGGTCTTCAAAATATCACAACTTATTTCAACAAATTGATTATGAATTTGTACATCTAAAACCGGTGTTTTGACACTGGGCCATGAATAAAAAGCCATAACAACAGGAAGCAGCCACAGTATAACTTTCAATGTATGTTTTAGGAATATATAAATGGTACTTTTAACATTATTTTCCAGAAGGATTCAGGTAAAAACTACCGAATGAGCCCAAAAACATGCTATGATTCATTGATTTTGATGATATTAGTGAAATCGTGAAAATATGTTTGTCCTGGCTACATACATATACAGTACATTTAACATTTACATTTTAGTCATTTAGTAGACGCTCTTATCCAGAGCGACTTACAGTTAGTGAGTGCATACATTTTTATTTTGTATTCTTTTTTTTCATTTAACACACACATACTTGCGCGTGCGCGCGCGCATGCTTGACCGCTTAAGTGTGAGTCATGGAAGCTCATTGAAATGCACTCTCACAGGTCTCAGTGGCTCAGCCAGCCAGGCAGCGCAGGTGGTGTCAGGTGACCATGGGGCGCATATATATAAAGGTACGCCATCTGCTGGTGTGGAAGTGTAATGGTAGCCTAGGGCCATATGTATCAAGCATCTCAAAGTATTTTATCATTTAGATCATAATTAATCAGATCATTGTGGACAGGGAGGACCTGATCCTAGATCCGCACTCCTACTCTGAGACTAGATAAATACGGGCCCAGATCTGTCTCTGCTATCTAGCCACTCCTATGATCGTCACTCAACAACCATAGGAGTTGGTTGTACAGCACAAACTGATCTGGGACCAGGCTATAGCAATGCCACTGAATCCTCTGAGTACCAGGATGTCAATATTTATTAAATATCTTACTAGCGCGTAGGAATCGGTATAAAACATGTGTACACAAAGGTACAAATGTCTTTGGCAGAACAAGCTGTGCTATTTGGATAGAATCTGTGACTGTCTGGAAATGTTTAAGTAATCTTTTAAACAATATCGGCAGTGTCTATGGCTAACAACATGTATGATCAAAATAGGGTCATGTTCAGTAGGAAACTGAAGAAATGATCTTGAAATGGAGGAGGTACTACCAGAATTTGTCCAATGAAAACACTAATTTCCGTTTTAAACGTTTTCTGTTTTCATACCCAGGGAATAACAGAAATATGTTTTTGAATTTATTTGAACTGTTAGATTCAAAACGTCTATAGAATGTGGAAGTTACAACAACTGCTATGTCTTTCACTGTGTCTATCTATCTGCCTTTTCTATGTCTTACATCCTTATGAACTACAGTTATGGCGGGTGTCTTAACCTAGAAGCCCATTTCACTGCCTCCATGTTTGTTTGTTTTTTGTATTTTTTGAATGTCTTGACCAAGAGTGACAGAGATGGAGGTTTTTGGTGGTTTTAAGAGAAAAAGGAGATGTTGAATGATGGTGATTGTTCAAGAACATGTTATTACGAATCATTTTAATATGTTACAAAATCCATTACAAACTCAATTCAATGTACCATCCAGGAACTACAACCATTTCAGAAACAAACAAACAAACACTAATAAAACAGCTATTTCTTGCCTTAGAAAACAGCACATTTCGGAAAAGGGCTTTAAAAACAACAGCTTGCTGTATTTATCGTTATATTGTTGTATATATTGTATTTATTATTTTAAGGTAAATAGTGTAAAAAGTTTTGAACTGTTTGTTCATTTTTGTTTTTGGAAACATACACACATTGATACACCATTTCATTATGTTGATTATCGCAATTAGTATTATAATATTAACAATATTATACATTCATGCAAAAACACACAACATTTACGGTACTTGACCCAAGTTTATGAAGTATTTATGCATGAAAAGAATGGCAAGAATGCAACTACACACACACACACACACGCACACACTGGTGGAAAAAGTACCCAATTGTCATACTTGAGTAAAAGTTAAGATACCTTCATAGAAAATGACTCAAGTAAAAGTGAAAGTCACCCAGTAAAATACTACTTGACTAAAAGTCTAAAAGTATTTGGTTTTAAATATACTTAGGTATCAAAAGTAAATGTAATTGCTAAAATATACGAAAAAATATACAGTACCAGTCAAAAGTTTGGACACCAACTCATTCAAGGGTTTTTCTTTATTTCTACTATTTTCTACATTGTAGAATAATAGTGAAAACATCAAAACTATGAAATAACACATATGGAGTCATGTAGTAACCAAAAAAGTGTGAAACAAATCAAACTATATTTTAGATGTTAGATTCTTCAAAGTAGCCACCCTTTGCCTTGATGACAGCTTTGCACACTCTTGGCATTCTCTCAACCAGTTTCATAAGGTAGTCACCTGGAATGTAATTAACAGGTGTGCCTTGTTAAAAGTTAATTTGTGGAATTTCTCTCCTTCTTAATGCGTTTGAGCCAATCAGTTGTGTTGTGACAAGGTAGGGGTGGTATACAGAAGATAGCCCTATTTGGTAAAATATTATGGCAAGAACAGATCAAATAAGCAAAGAGAAACGGCAGTCCATCATTACTTTAAGACATGAAGGTCAGTCAATCCGGAATATTTCAAGAACTTTGAAAGTTTCTTCAAGTGCAGTCACAAAAACAATCAAGCGCTATGATGGAACTGACTCGCTTGAGGACCGCCACAGGAAAGGAAGACCCAGATTACCTCTGCTGCAGAGGTTAAGTTCATTAAACTTAACTGCACCTCAGATTGCAGCCCAAGTAAATGCTTCACAGAGTTCAAGTAACAGACACATCTCAACATCAACTGTTCAGAGGAGACTGCGTGAATCAGGCCTTCATGGTCGATTTGCTGCAAAGAAACCACTACTAAAGGACACCAATAATAAGAAGAGACTTGCTTGGGCCAAGAAACACGAGCAATTAGACCGGTGGAGTCCAAATTTGAGATTTTTGGTTCCAACCTCTTTGTGAGATGCAGAGTAGGTGAACGGATTATCTCTGCATGTGTGGTTCCCACCATGAAGCATGGAGTAGGAGGTGTGGGGGTGCTTTGCTGGTGACACTGTCTGTGATTTATTTAGAATTCAAGGCACACTTAACAAACATGGCTACCACAGCATTCTGCAGTGATACGCCATCCCATCTGGTTTGCGCTTAGTGGGACTATCATTTGTTTTTCAACAGGACAATGACCCAAAACACACCTCTAGGCTGTGTAAGGGCTATTTGGCCAAGAAGGAGAGTGATGGTGTGCTGCATCAGATGACGTGGCCTCCACAATCACCCGACCTCAACCCAATTGAGATGGTTTGGGATGAGTTGGTCCACAGAGTGAAGGAAAAGCAGCCAACAAGTGCTCAGCATATGTGGGAACTCCTTCAAGACTGTTGGAAAAGCATTCCTCATGAAGCTGGTTGAGAGAATGCCAAGAGTGTGCAAAGCTGTCATCAAGGCAAAGGGTGGCTACTTTGAAGAATCTGATTTGTTTAACACTTTTTTGGTTACTACATGATTCCATATGTGTTATTTCATAGTTTATTCTACAATGTAGAAAATAGGACAAATAAAGAAAAACCCTGGAATGAGTAAGTGTGTCCAAACGTTTGACTGGTACTGTACTTAAGTATCAAAAGTAAAAGTATACATTATTTCAAATTAAGCAAACCAGAAGGCACAATTGTAGTGTTTTTATTTATTTATGGATAGCCAGGGGTACACTCCAACACTCAGACATAATTTACAAACAAAGCATTTGTGTTTAGTGAGTCCCCCAGATCAGAGGCAGTAGAGATGACCAGGGATGGTCTCTTGATAAGTGTGTGAATTGGACCATTGTCCTGTCCTGCTAAACATTCCAAATGTAATGAGTACTTTTGGGTGTCAGGGCAAATGTATGGAGTAAAAAGTACATTATTTTATTTAGGAATGTGGTGAAGTAAAAGTATAGAAAAGTATTTAAAAAGTAGTACTTTAAAGTATTTTTAATTAAGTACTTTACACCACTGCACACACGCACGCATGCACACACACATACACACACACACACACACACCACACACACACAGCTCTGCCTGCCAGACTGATGTTTACCAACTCTGGATTGAGTTGGTTAAACATCATCCTTGGAGGCTGAGCTGCCTCACAGGCTAGTTTGAAGGCATATTTCCCGCTTGTGCGGATTGCTATGGTACTGTGACAATAATACTTTTCTGTTGACCTCTCCACTATTGACTTGAATGGAACCATGTTACATATTGTATGTCTGTTTGAGAATTAATGGTACTGTACACTACTGAAATAAAGGGTTCTTGTCTCATGTCGAGTTGAAGTATACTCACCTGGAATCATGGAACATCTTATTTTCTCTTTATTCAAAGTTTTCTCACTGCCATTAAAAAAAAAACATATTAAATAGGGATCATTCTGGAAAGTGGAATAAGGTCTTGAAGCATTGAAATTTAACTTAAATACATTGTCTCTCCACCATTGAGTATTATTGATTGAATTGATATCATTATGATTGAATTGTAAACCGAGGGAACACAAAAGTACTTCTCTAAGCCTAAAATGTATAAACAAAACCCATAATGTACTGGTTTGATAGGAATTGAATTCTCATTTAAATTGGGACTATTCTACCATACTTGAAAGCATACATTTCGCAGACATCAAAGGTAATATTTCAGAAAACCATATTTATTGTATCACTATCTTCTTTGTTACTTGAAGTAAAAAAAAAAATGTAAAAAAGTAGTTTATACTTCATTTGAAACCTTGGTATATATCTGCGTGCATTCATTCATTGTTTTTTTCTTTCAATTTTTCTTTCCTGACCAAAGTTTTTGTCTGTGATCCTAGTATGGCTTTGAGTGGCTTATCTATTTAAATAGAAATTGCAAATCTCTAGCCTTTGTTGCAAATTGATCACATGATCAAGTTTTACAATGGGATTAAAGGGATTTTCAACTGACAAGATCAAGTGTATTTCATTCACTGTCAAACAAGTTCACAGTTTTTAATAATACATTAACTATTTTGCTATAACATGTAGGGTGAAACACAATTTCAAATGTATTGGGAGATTATTTGGGCCTACCTGAATGGTGAGAGAAAGGCTTGCTATGTGGGCGTCTGTTATCTCCACTTATCGGCAGTTGAATACTCCTGCCTAGTTTAAATATTCAGCTATTTTTCTCTGTGGTCGACTAGTTGTACTGGAGTCCACTGCACAGCTATGCTGCACAGTGAAAGCGTCAGTCGCAGGTTCACCGACTGTTGATGGACACAGTGAATTGGATTTTAAATGTTTGTTATTATAGAGATATTTGTAAAAAATAGGCCAGCTGTCGATGCAGGTCGTACACGAAGAATATTAACTCCGAGAGGGGTTTGAATAGTATTAGCTTGTGTGCTTCTATAGCAAGCTATCAACAGGATAAAGAAGCTAGCTAGCCATGGTTCTAATGATGGAATCGCAATGCGAGTATTTTATGTATTTCCCTGCCGTTCCCATCACGGACCTGTCCGACCCGTCAAAATACCGAACTCTCCCCCGGCGCAGTCACCTCTACCTCGGCGAAACGGTACAGTTCTTGCTGGTCCTGCGGTCCAGAGATGGAGTGTCGGGCTCGAGCGGGACAAAGGGAAGCGGGTCAAGTGACAGCGGTACCCGTGCTTGGAAGGAGCTGGTAGGGTCCCTCTCTGCTGTAGCAAGTGTCTGCCCTGGAGAGAGCCGACATCGCTCCCAACTTCACCCCCACGAGTTCCAGAGAAGCTACAGCGACGACGGTGTAGACGAGGATCCCGACGAGGTTGACTTTGCTTCGGGTACAGTCCACACAGCCAGAAGGGAGTCCAGGAATCGAGGTTTCAGAGAATGCAAGCCACTTCTCATACACAATAACACGGGGAGTGATGGACGGCAGTATCGGCGCGCACCGGTTCAGGTAATATGAAATTATGAATGGCAGTAGTCATAATTGGAGGAAAATATGGCACAATGATTGGACTATAAACATAACAACTAGCTAATAGCGTATTGAGGTTTATAATAGGCTACGTGTACACCTGCTGTGTAAAATAGGAAGTGCTGACATTTCCTGAGCATATAAGAAAGTGCAACGCTCGTGCAGCAAAGTACAAATGTAAACCACAACAGTCAACCAGACCTTTTTTCAACTTCCTGCAAGCACTGACCTATGACAGTTGGAACAATCTAAAATACTATCTGACAGCAGAACTGGGTTCAAATACTTTTGGGAATAATTTCAAATAACCTACTTTGTGCTTGATTGAGCATTCCTGTTGCAATGGCACTAATAGAACAGTTCCAAAAATATGAACGCAGCCCACCTGGCACTCCAGGCAGACTAAACCAAACGCTCAAAGAATGTGAAAAATGTCAAGTAGTATGTGAACCCAGGTGTGTCTGACAGACAGCTTGTTATTGTGGCAAGGAGCACAGGTTGGTTCTAGCTACAGTCACTGTGAAATAGACGCCTCAAACTTTCTTGAGTCTTAACCAACCAACACTTCTTTCGATTTGTCCAAACTTGACATTGAGAGAGAGTGGGAGAGGGAGAGAGAGAGATGGTGTAAGGAGTATTTGCTCACACTTGCCTGTTATCAAGCCTTGCAAGACAGACAACAATAACCTATTAATTATTTTCAGACTACATTGGCAGAGAATTCAGACATACATGCCAACTCAACCTCATAGCCAAACAAATTAACTTAACCTTGAGGTGTTGGCAATCCAGGGTAACAATCACCCACTATGAAAGTCAATAGTAAGCATGGGACAAATAGAGCGAATGAATGAGTGTTTGTTGCACACACTCCTATTTGCCATATCCTTTGTGAAAGATAGATCCCTCTTCTTCTATTACATTTGACCATAATAATAGTGTACTAGCAGGTGGAATGACTCACATCTCAATCGGTAATCTATAGTGCAAATATAGAATACAAACTTTCTTTGTCCATACATCCTCCTCCTCCATTGTTTACATAATCCTCTCTCTCTCTCTCTCTCTCTCTCTCTCTCTCTCTCTCTCTCTCTCTCTCACTCTCACTCTCACTCTCACTCTCTGTCTCACACACACACTCTCTTTTTCTCTCCCTCCCCCTCCCTGTCTCTCCCTCTTGCTTTCTCATTGTTTGTAATAGCGTATTTCTGTCTCTTCCTCTCTCTCCTAGTCACCCATGGACGAGCCAGTGGTATTGAACGATGAGGTCATATTCCCTCTGACCGTCTCATTGGACAAACTCCCCGTCAACACCCTCAAGGTCAAGGTGAGAAGTCATGCAGTGTGTGTCTGTGTGTGAGTGAGTGAGTGATAGAGAGAGACTTTTTCTCTCTACTCGTCTCTCTATCCGTGTTCCCATCGTCTCTCCATTTCCTCCCCCACTCTGTGTTGTCTCAGATTGTAGTGACTATACTCTATGCATGTTCACAACCTTGTCATAACCTCTCTATTCCTGTTTATGTCAGATTGGAGTGACTCTATTCATATTCATAACCTTGATATGACCTCTATGCATGTTCATAACCTTGTTGTAACCTCTAGTTTCCTGTCTATGTCAGATCATAGTGACGGTGTGGAAGCAGGAGGTGGAAAAGGCAGAGATCAGGGAACATGGTTACCTCACCATCCTACAGCTGAGGAGCCCCACACACACCTTCAGACAAGACCTTAATACCTTCAAAGCCCAGGGTCAGAGTCCTACACTGCCTTGCAGCTTACACTGCCTCTCCAGTGGCCCCCTCTGGGTTGTGACTAAGAAGGATAATTACTATCTTAGATTCTAAAACATTATCTAAATTCACTGTAAGGCCTACCAAATGAGTATAGGCCTACCTATTTAAAATACATTTTCAATATAAAGTAAAACAACGCAATTCACGATGATGAACAACTGCAATATACATTCAGTGTAATGTGTATTAAAAGTGTCCCTCTCTCTTTTTCTCTCTCTCTTTCTCCCCCATACCCCCCCCCCCCCCCGTCCCCCCCGTCCCCGTCCAGTCAGCACCACGTTGAGTGTTCTTCCTCCACCAACTGTGAAATGTCAACAGATGACTGTCTCCGGGAAGCACCTGACCGTCCTCAAAGGTGGGGGAAGACTACAAAAGGGTTATTCGGCTGTCCTCATAGGATAACCCTTTTTGGTTCCAGGTAGAACCCTTTTTGGAAACGGTTCTAAATGGAGCCCAAAAGGGTTATACCTGGAATCAAAAAGGGTTATTCTATGGGGACAGCCGAATAACCCTTTTATTTACTAGTTAGCACCTTTTTTTCTAAGAGTGTAATACTTTTACACGCTGCTATATTGTGGTGGGGGAATACTAACATTGTCGCACCTGATCGTTCTCAAAGATAGGGAGCAGAGGGGGACTAACTCTGTTAAACTTGGGCTATAGTGTGGTTTATTTATTTATTAAATAACTCCCCTTAGATGTGTATTATTCACTATAATCCACGGGTTCACATGCCTTATTGTTTGAATACAACCTATTCTATACTTAACCACAAATGCTTATGACCAGGAGTTCTTTCTGACCACCTGAAAATAGAATAATTGGGCCCTCGCTGTAGCCTGTAACTGTGAGGGTAGGGGCTTAGAATTTATGAGTCCGATAACTCTACTCTGAAGCAGAGCCAAGAGCTCATGACTCCTGGTGACCAAAGTTAAGATTGAAACAAGGCTTAGCTGGTTTAAGGAAGTGCTTTAGCCTTTTATGAAAGGGGTTTAGCCACATAAATCCACTGAACTGTATCCTAGTCCTCAGCGCAGGGCTAAGATCAATAACAACCCTCTCATGTGTGTAAAATCCTGTTAATTCACTGTATTTAATTCATCAACCGCCAGGATAATCACTGACTCTCTGGTGGTACCGAGTCTGACCCAGTGATAGTGCAGGTTCATAGTTGGGTTGGGCCCACGCAAAGTCCCCAGCTAGCGATTATGATCCCATGTTAACAAACCGTCTCAGAGTAGAAGTGTTGCCTTTTTAGATTTTAATTCCATAAATGGGAGGACCTGATCCTAGATAAACATTCCTACTCTGAGACGCTTTGTGAATACAGGCCCTGGACAATAGCAGAGCTCCACCCAATGTTCAAAGGGAAAAAGGAAAGAAAAGTATGACAAATAACCAAGACCCTCCTTAACAGATGGTTAGGAAACATGTCCCAAGTACATAACTACACCGCCAACAGTGTTATCACAGTGTTATCACAGTGTTACACAATAGCTCAATAGTTTATATATGTAATAGCTCCTACGTATACATGCTGTGCAGCACATTGGCTTACATACAGTGGGGGAAAAAAGTATTTAGTCAGCCACCAATTGTGCAAGTTCTCCCACTTAAAAAGATGAGAGAGGCCTGTAATTTTCATCATAGGTACACGTCAACTATGACAGACAAATTGAGAATTTTTTTCTCCAGAAAATCACATTGTAGGATTTTTTAATGAATTTATTTGCAAATTATGGTGGAAAATAAGTATTTGGTCACCTACAAACAAGCAAGATTTCTGGCTCTCACAGACCTGTAACTTCTTCTTTAAGAGGCTCCTTTGTCCTCCACTCGTTACCTGTATTAATGGCACCTGTTTGAATTTGTTATCAGTATAAAAGACACCTGTCCACAACCTCAAACAGTCACACTCCAAACTCCACTATGGCCAAGACCAAAGAGCTGTCAAAGGACACCAGAAACAAAATTATAGACCTGCACCAGGCTGGGAAGACTGAATCTGCAATAGGTAAGCAGCTTGGTTTGAAGAAATCAACTGTGGGAGCAATTATTAGGAAATGGAAGACATACAAGACCACTGATAATCTCCCTCGATCTGGGGCTCCACGCAAGATCTCACCCCGTGGGGTCAAAATGATCACAAGAACGGTGAGCAAAAATCCCAGAACCACACGGGGGGACCTAGTGAATGACCTGCAGAGAGCTGGGACCAAAGTAACAAAGCCTACCATCAGTAACACACTACGCCGCCAGGGACTCAAATCCTGCAGTGCCAGACGTGTCCCCCTGCTTAAGCCAGTACATGTCCAGGCCCGTCTGAAGTTTGCTAGAGTGCATTTGGATGATCCAGAAGAGGATTGGGAGAATGTCATATGGTCAGATGAAACCAAAATAGAACTTTTTGGTAAAAACTCAACTCGTCGTGTTTGGAGGACAAAGAATGCTGAGTTGCATCCAAAGAACACCATACCTACTGTGAAGCATGGGGGTGGAAACATCATGCTTTGGGGCTGTTTTTCTGCAAAGGGACCAGGACGACTGATCCGTGTAAAGGAAATAATGAATGGGGCCATGTATCGTGAGATTCTGAGTGAAAACCTCCTTCCATCAGCAAGGGCATTGAAGATGAAACGTGGCTGGGTCTTTCAGCATGACAATGATCCCAAACACACCGCCCGGGCAATGAAGGAGTGGCTTCGTAAGAAGCATTTCAAGGTCCTGGAGTGGCCTAGCCAGTCTCCTGATCTCAACCCCATAGAAAATCTTTGGAGGGAGTTGAAAGTCCGTGTTGCCCAGCGACAGCCCCAAAACATCACTGCTCTAGAGGAGATCTGCATGGAGGAATGGGCCAACATACCAGCAACAGTGTGTGAAAACCTTGTGAAGACTTACAGAAAACGTTTGACCTGTGTCATTGCCAACAAAGGGTATATAACAAAGTATTGAGAAACTTTTGTTATTGACCAAATACTTATTTTCCACCATAATTTGCAAATAAATTCATTAAAAATCCTACAATGTGATTTTCTGGACTTTTTTTCTCATTTTATCTGTCATAGTTGACGTGTACCTATGATGAAAATTACAGGCCTCTCTCATCTTTTTAAGTGGGAGAACTTGCACAATTGGTGGCTGACTAAATACTTTTTTTCCCCACTGTATGTGGATGTGTATTTACAGTATGTATAGTAGAAGTTTACAGTATTGTGTATTGTCTTTATGGGATGTGGATGACATTAGTGAGGGTTGTGTATTAAGCTTGGGCAATATACCATTTATACCGTATATTGGGGTATTTTGAAATACCGACGGTATGATTTTCAATACTGTAAAAACACTACGCCACTGCTTCTACCATTTAAGTTAAAGCTGCAATGTATAACTTTTTGGGCAACCCGACCAAATTCATATAGAAATGGGAGTTATAGATATGTCATTCTCATTGAAAGCAAGTCTAAGAAGCTGTACATCTGTTCTATTTCAATGCTTCCCGTTCTTAAGTTTAATTTTTGCGTCTTTTACTTTCAGTTTTGTACACCAGCTTCAAACAGCTGAAAATACAATATTTTGGGTTATTGAAAATATATTTTACAGCGGTTTAGATGGTACAATGATTGCTTGTTTTATCACATAAACTGAAATTAGGCAAACTATTAGAATTCAAGCAACTAGGAAATGGCGGAGTGATTTCTGCATATTGCACCTTTAAGTATAACTATAAGAAATCTAAGATGTGTCAAATAATTAGATCCAGCTCAGGGCATTTGGTTTGCTAACTTGCTAGCTAAGTGGCTAGATGCCAAGATCAAGCTTCTTGGATACAGCAGACATTCAATCCCCTCCTGGATCAAGATCCCTGTTGCCTAAATAGTTTTGTGCGTAAAAATGTTTTTATAGTGCCCCCTTGTGCACTTCCGGTATTACAGTATACCCCGGTATGGTACAGAAACGGTATGATCATATGACAATCTGGATACCGCCCAAACCTATTGTATATATAGCTACAGTGCCTTCAGAAAGTATTCAGACCCCTTGACTTTTTCCACATTTTGTTACGTTACAGCCTTATTCAAAAATTTATTAAATCGTTTTTTTCCCTCATCAATCTACACACAATACCCCATAATGATAAAGCAAAAACAGGTTTTAAGAAACTTTAGCAAATTTATTAAAAATAAGAAACGGAAATATCACATTTACATAATTATTCAGACTCAGTACTTTGTTGAAGCACCTTTGGCAGCGATTACAACCTTGAGTCTTCTTGGGTATGACGCTACAAGCTTGGCACACCTGTATTTGGGGAGTTTCTCCCATTATTCTCTGCAGATCCTCTCAAGCTCTGTCAGGTTTGATGGGGAGCGTTGCTGCACAGCTATTTTCAGGTCTCTCCAGAGATGTTAGATCGGGTTCAAGTCCGGGCTCTGGCTGGGCCACTCAAGGACATTCAGAGACTTGTCCCGAAGCCACTCCTGCATTGTCTTGGCTGTGTGCTTAGGGTCGTTGTCCTGTTGGAAGGTGATCCGTCGCCCCAGTCTGAGGTCCTGAGCGCTCTGGAGCATGTTTTCATCAAGGATCTCTCTGTACTTTGCTCTGTTCATCTTTGCCTCAATCCTGACTAGTCTCCCAGTCCCTGCCGCTGAAAAACATCCCCACAGCATGATGCTGCCACCACCATCCTGCCAGGTTTCCTCAAGATGTGACGCTTGGCATTCAGGCCAAAGAGTTCAATCTTGGTTTCATCAGACCAGAGAATCTTGTTTCTCATGGTCTGAGAGTCTTTAGGTGACTTTTGGCAAACTCCAAGGCTTTTACTGAGGAGTGGCTTCCGTCTGGCCACTCTACCATAAAGGCCTGATTGGTGGAGTGCTGCAGAGATGGTTGTCCTTCTGGAAGGTTCTCCCATCTCCACAGAGGAACTCCAGAGCTCTGTCAGAGTTACCATCGGGTTCTTGGTCACCTCCCTGACTAAGGCCCTTCTCCCCCGATTGCTCAGTTTGGCCGGGTGGCCAGCTCTAGGAAGAGTCTTGGTGGTTCCAAACTTCTTCCATTTAAGAATGATGGAGGCCACTGTGTTCTTGGGGACCTTCAATGCTGCAGAAATGTTTTGGGACCCTTCCCCAGATCTGTGCCTCGACACAATCCTGTCTCGGTGCTCTACGGACAATTCCTTCGACCTCATGGCCTGATTTTTGCTCTGACATGCACTGTCAACTGTGGGACCTTATATAGACAGGTGTGTGCCTTACCAAATCATGTCCAATCAATTGAATTGACCACAGGTGGACTCCAATCAAGTTGTAGAAACATCTCAAGGATTATCAATGGAAAAAGGATGCACCTGAGCTTAATTTCGAGTCTCATAGCAAAGGGTCTGAATACTTATGTAAATAAGGTATTTCTGTTTTCTAAAACCCTTTTTTCTTCGCTTTGGCATTATGGGGTATTGTGTGTAGATTTTTTATTTAATCAATTTTAGAATTAACGTAACAAAATGTGGGAAAAGTCCAGGGATCTGAATACTTTCCGAAGGCACTGTATATACGATGTGTGTACGGTATATAAATAGTGCCCAAATGTTTTAAAGACAATAGTATTATGACATCACCTAAACTCCTTCCTCTCTTATGCTTTCCTGTCCCCCTCCCCCTCTGTCCTTTTTCTAACTCCCATCCCTCACTCTCCTTCCTCCTTCTCCAGTATTAAACTCCAGTTCCCAGGAGGAGGTATGTGTTAGGGACGTGAGAATCATTCCTAACTTCAATGCGTCCTACCTCCCCATGATGCCTGATGGCTCTGTGCTTTTGGTGGACAATGTCTGGTAAGTACAGATCTAGGATCTAGGATTTTGGGACCCCCATTCCTAAACTTAACCATTATGGGTGAAACAGAAACTGACCGTAGATCAGTGCCTGATGGCTCTGTCCTTCTGGTGGACAATGTCTAGTACACTCCCTTAATCACAGATCTAGGATCAGATTACAGTACCATTAATACCAACTTTTGCCGTTAAGGGTAAAAAAGCATCAGTGTCTGCCGGACAAGGTCTGGTACGCTCACACAAGTGCTTTTCAGGGACGCTAGTTATAAGTGTTGAAACATATTCAATATTTTGTTCTAAAATGTTGCTTAAAGATATAATGAGTGTCTGAATGTTGTCTGTTTGCCATACTACTGTTTATTTTTTTATGAATCTCGATCAGAATATAAAAAGTACATCACTTTTGTAACCATGGCGATGACGTCCATTACTTCCTGTCTGCAGCCACCAATCAGCAGAGGTTGCCATGGCGTCCTTCCACAGGATGAACAGTAGCTCCTCCCACCTTCCCAGCATGCTTTCTGCCCTGGAGGAGCAGAACTTGCTGTTTCAGCTGCAGCTCAGAGACCAGCCGGAGGAAGAGAGCAACGAGGTGAGAGGAGAGAGGGAGGAATGGCGAGAGAGGTGGGGGTATAGAGAGAGGAGAGAGGGACAGAGGGAGAGGGAAAAACAAGAGCAATGTGTAATATTAAATAAAATGGTCCTAGTCTGTGATGTAAAGGGCAGTGAAGGGAGTGTCTGTGTCAGTGAGATTCATTTCAGGTACTATGATATCATACTTAGTGTGGGATCATTTCGTCTGTCTTAGATGAAACATATGCATGAAAAATCTGCCAAGAATGTCCTTATGTACACAGCATGAAATCATGTGAGGAATGGGAATGTGTTTTGCTCTCTGCTTAAGGGTCTGGAGGTTCCTTTGGTAGCTGTGCTGCAGTGGTCCACCCCTAAACTTCCCTTTACCAGGTAGGTCTACATCTACTAATAGATAGAACTGCCTCATAATCACTATAACTACCCCACATACTCACTATACCTACTCCATTATAACAACCCCATTACAACTACTAGCCTTCCCTTCCCCATGTACATCTCCACCCACTATTAGTTGCAACCAGAGCCATATAATTAAGAATATTGTTCTAGACATTCAGTTACACAGCATTGCTTAAATATTCCCCATGTAATGTTAATAGGGCGCTAGCATGGCTGCCATATAATTTTGTAGTGTCATGTAAATGCATCATGATGCTCATTCTAGTGACATTATATTTCCTATGTAATGTTAATGGTGTGCTAACATGGCTGCCATAGAATGTTGTAGTGTCATGTAAATGCACCATAATACACGAAACCTCAATGGCCCAACCATAGAAATCCTGTAGGTTGTTATCAATAAGACGTCACAATACGGTGCAGAGCGTTCGATTTGCCTGCTGGGGGGCAAGGAGACTAAAACCATTGACAACTGTGTGCCGTTTTCAAGGGATTGTTAAATACATGTTAACTATTTGGTTATAATATCATCACCTCTTGAAGAGTATAGTCAGAACTACAAATATTGGATTATTCCAGGCAAAACAATTGCGCACATTTAGCTCTATCATCAGAGTTATAGTTTACAGCAAGTAACTGCATGCTTTATGATCAGTTAACATCAATTGATCATGTAATTTCAGATGCATGAGTATATCTCTCAATATTGGCCACCGTTAATTGGATATTTGAGTGATATAAACTAAGTGAATTATACCTTAGACAAGTATGAGTGGTTTAGGGTAATATCCCATCCTTTGTGGGCTCTGCCTGTCAAGCAGCAGAAGGGCGCATTTGCCGATGTACTGTTAGCTGATAATGTTTACTTTGCAAGCTACCTGACCGGTAGAAACTTAGTACAGCTGGCTTAACATAGTGGTAAATAGACCTAATATACTTTTTCAATAGGCCTACCTAGTGTAGCTAGCTAACGTGATCCCTTTTCAACATTGTTTTTAAGAGTGTTTAATCACGATTGCTGCTGACAGATGTGACAGGCTACACACTGGCGTAACACAGTTTCTCTGGACCCCCGCAAGGTCGGAGTTTGGCCCCCGTACCCGACTGTTTTCTATACTGAGTATTGCCAACCCAGACAGTATTTCCTGAGACATTGTGCATTATATGTCCATTGCGCTGCACACAATTTAAACTTAGTCTTGAATGATGCATGCCAAGATACCCCAGAGATAAGGGACTGTTGATATTGCAACCACACAACTCAAACATCAGTTCACCATTATGAACGAAATCGCAAGCCCTCAAGAACTGTTGTCTGCTAAAGATGATCATCTGTTTGCATCTGCCAATTTATTGGCTGTCCAGTATCCAGACGACCTGTTCCCAGAGCATCCTATACAGTTAATCTCTTTCCGTACCGTGTTTAGGCTGGCAATTAAGGAGAATGAGAGGCGCAATTAAAGATGTTGCAGAACTGCTGTATTTCAAGCACCACTCACTTCTGCCCAGTTTCCCTGATGTTGCTACGGCAATCAAGCTGTTTTTACCGTCCCTGTAACTCGCTTCTGCGGAGTGATCGTTTTCTAAACTAAAACTCATAAAGAACTTCCTAAGAAGCATTAGGCTCTCGGTCTGATATGCGTTTTTGAACACCTGAGTAAGCTCCACTCATTGCACTGGCGCCGTCGTGGCCTCGTAGCTACAGCATTTGTTTACCAATATCCCCTCATACTTTCAATCTGTTAAAATTGGTATTTTTCAAGGTCTGAGGCACTTTTTCAGTCACATTCCTGAAGCCCAAAAAAACAAACACTTAGCTTCCTAGTACATATGGAAATTAAAAATATTTATGAATGACTTTTTGGACGGTTACTGTCAAATTGATTTATTAAATAAATAACAAATAGACATCGATGACAGGCACATAGGCCCCCAGAGCTCGGGGTCCACTCCACCTTGTGAGGGCTGCGGGGGTGTCCGGTACACAGGTGAGGCTACATTGATTGATGGACCATGTCAAATTGGCTAGCTAGCTAATAACAGATCACGTCAATATGGCTAGTTAACAAGCTAACTTTAAGGGGATAAACTAGATGGCTATATTCAAATATTGTTTGATTTGCTTGCCATCTATAGTGGTGATGACAGTAGTCCGACTGACAACTTTACCAGGACGTGGTGCCAGGAAAATAACCTCTCACTCAACGTCAACAAAACAAAGGAGATGATCGTGGACTTCAGGAAACAGCAGTGGGTGCACCCCGCTATCCACATCGACGGGACCGCAGTGGAGAAGGTGGAAAGCTTCAAGTTCCTTGGCGTACACATCACTGACAAACTGAAATGGTCCACCCACGCAGACAGTGGTGAAGAAGGCGCAACAGAGCCTCTTCAACCTCAGGAGGCTGAAGAAATTTGGCTTGGCACCTAAAACCCTCACAAACTTTTACAGATGCACAATTGAGAGCATCCTGTCGGGCTGTATCACTGCCTGGTACGGCAACTGCACCGCCCGCAACCGCAGGGCTCTCCAGAGGGTGGTGTGTTCTGCTGAACGCATTACCGTGGGCAAACTACCCGCCCTCCAAGACACCTAAGGCACCCGATGTCACAGGAAGGCCAAAAAGATCATCAAGGACATCAACCACCCAAGCCACTGCCTGTTCACCCTGCTATCATCCAGAAGGCGAGGTCAGTACAGGTGCATCAAAGCTGGGACCGAGAGAATGAAAAACAACTTCTATCTCAAGGCCATCAGACTGTTAAATAGCCATCACTAGCACATTAGAGGCTGCTGCTGCCTATTGAAATCACTGGCCACTTTAAGAAATGGAACACTAGTCACTTTAATAATGTTTACATATCTTGCACTACTCATCTCATATGTATATACTGCATTCTATTCTATAATATTTTACTGTATCTTAGTCCATGCCGCTCTGTCATTGCTTGTCCATATACAGTGAGGGGAAAAAGTATTTGATCCCCTGCTGATTTTGTACGTTTGCCCACTGACAAAGACATGATCAGTCTATAATTTTAATGGTAGGTTTAATTGAACAGTGAGAGACAGTATAACAACAACAAAATCCAGAAAAATGCATGTAAAAAATGTTATAAATTGATTTGTATTTTAATGAGGGAAATAAGTATTTAACCCCTCTGAAAAACATGACTTAGTACATGACAAAACCCTTGTTGGCAATCACAGAGGTCAGACGTTTCTTGTAGTTGGCCACCAGGTTTGCACACATCTCAGGAGGGATTTTGTTCCACTCCTCTTTGCAGATCTTCTCCAAGTCATTAAGGTTTCGAGGCTGACGTTTGGCAACTCGAACCTTAGCTCCCTCCACAGATTTTCTATGGGATTAATGTCTGGAAACTGGCTAGGCCACTCCAGGACCTTAATGTGCTTCTTCTTGAGCCGCTCCTTTGTTGCCTTGGCCGTGTGTTTTGGGTCATTGTCATGCTGGAAACCCATCCACGACCCATTTTCAATGCCCTGGCTGAGGGAAGGAGGTTCTCACCCAAGATTTGACGGTACATGGCCCCGTCCATCGTCCCTTTGATGCGGTGAAGTTGTCCTGTCCCCTTAGCAGAAATACACCCCCAAAGCATAATGTTTCGTTACCAATTGTTTTCTTGGTGACTATGGTCCTAGCTGCCTTGAGATCATTGACAAGATCCTCCCGTGTAGTTGTGGGCTGATTCCTCACCGTTCTCATGATCATTGCAACTCCACGAGGTGAGATCTTGCATGGAGCCCCAGGCCGAGGGAGATTGACAGTTATTTTGTGTTCCTTCCATTTGCGAATAATCGCACCAACTGTTGTCACCTTCTCACCAAGCTGCTTGGCGATGGTCTTGTAGCCCATTCCAGCCTTGTGTAGGTCTACAATCTTGTCCCTGACATCCTTGGAGAGCTCTTTGGTCTTGGCCATGGTGGAGAGTTTGGAATCTGATTGATTGATTGCTTCTGTGGACAGGTGTCTTTTATACAAGTAACAAACTGAGATTAGGAGCACTCCCTTTAAGAGTGTGTGTCACGCCCTGACTTATGGAACTCTTGTATATTGAGTCAGGGTGTGGAGATCAATGTTATTAGTTCTATGTTTACATTCTAGGTATTGTGGTTCTATGTTTGGCCAGGTGTGATTCCCAATCAGAGGCAGCTGTCGCTCGTTGTCTCTGATTGGGGATCATACTTAAGTAGCCTGTTGGCAATCATTAGTTGTGGGATCTTGTTCCGTGTATAGGCTTGTATTGTGTTTAGCCTGAGGACTTCATGTTACGTTGTTTTGTTGTTTTTGTTCGTGTGTTTATTTTGTTAAATAAACATGTATGCATTTCACGCTGCGCCTTGGTCTGACCTGTCCTTCAACGAACGTGACAGTGTGCTCCTAATCTCAGCTCGTTACCTGTATAAAAGACACCTGGGAGCCAGAAATCTTTCTGATTGAGATGGGGTCAAATACTTATTTCCCTCATTAAAATGCAAATCAATTTATAACATTTTTGACATGCGTTTTTTTTTTCAAATTTGTTCAAATAAACCTACCATTAAAATTATAGACTGATCATTTCTTTGTCAGTGGGCAAACGTACAAAATCAGCAGGGGATCAAATACTTTTTTCCCTCACTGTATGCATATATTCTTAAATTCCATTCCTTACTAGATTTGTGTGTATTGGGTATATGTTGTGAAATTGTTAGATATTACTGCACTGTCGGCGCTAGAAGCACAAGCATTTCGCTACACCCGCTATAACATCTGCTAAACACGTGTATGTGACAAATACAATTTGATTTGATTTGTATAACTCTGAAGATAGGGCTAAATGTGGAATAATCATAAATGTGTAGTTCTGACTATGCTCTTCAAGAGGTGATGATATTAAAACCCAATTTAGTTATAACATTTATTTAACAATCCCTTGAAAACGGCATGTAGTTGTCAATAGTTTTAGCAGAGCTGGGGGCCTCCTTGCCCCCCAGAAGCCAAATCGAATGCTCTGCACCGTATTGTAATGTTTTATTGATAACGACCTATTCAATTACTAGATGGGCTATGTCATCAAATCCTAAAAGTTCCTGAATGGGATGAAAATGGCAGCCATATTGGTCAGGGAGAAATCCAAACCAGTCTAATTGAAATTAATTGCAGTAGAGGCATAATCCTGATTTGACTTATGCAGGAAAATAAAAGTAAAGCATATTATATATAAGAAATGGTGTATTCTATAATATTGTCATATACACTACCGTTCAAAAGTTTGGGGTCACTTAGAAATGTCCTTGTTTTCGAAAGAAAAGCAATTTATTTTGTCCATAAAAATAACATCAAATTGATCAGAAATACAGTGTAGACATTGTTACTGTTGTAAATGGCTATTGTAGCTGGAAAATGCTGATTTTTTATGGAATATCTACATAGGCGTACAGAGGCCCATAATCAGCAACCATCAGTCCTGTGTTCCAATGGCACGTTGTGTTTGCTAATCCAAGTTTATCATTTAAAAGGCTAATTGATCATTAGAAAACCCTTTTGCAATTATGTTAGCACAGCTGAAAACGGTTGTGCTGATTAAAGAAGCAATACAACTGGCCTTCTTGAGACTAGTTGAGTATCTGGAGCATCAGCAATTGTGGGTTCGATTACAGAATCAGAATGGCCAGAAACAAATAACTTTCTTCTGAAACTGGTCAGTCTATTCTTGTTCTGAGAAATGAAGGCTATTCCATGCAAGAAATTGCCAAGAAACTGAAGATCTCGTACAACGCTTTGTACTACTCCCTTCACGGAACAGCGCAAACTGGCTCTAACCAGAATAGAAAGAGGAGTGGGAGGCCCCGGTGCACAACTGAGCAAGAGGACAAATACATTAGAGTGTCTAGTTTGAGAAACAGACGCCTCACAGGTCCTCAACTGGCAGCTTCATTAAATAGTACCCGCTAAACACCAGTCTCAACGTCAACAGTGAAGAGGCGACTCCGGGATGCTGACCTTCTAGGCAGAGTTGCAAAGAAAAAGCCATATCTCAGACTGGCCAATAAAAAGAAAATATTAAGATGGGCAAAAGAACACAGACACTGGACAGAGGAATATTGGAAAAAAGTGTTATGGACAGACGAATCGAAGTTTGAGGTGTTCGGATCACAAAGAAGAACATTTGTGAGACACAGACCAAATGAAAAGATGCTGGAGGAGTGCTTGATGCCATCTGTCAAGCATGGTGGAGGCAATGTGATGGTCTGGGGGTGCTTTGGTAGTGGTAAAGTGGGAGATTTGTACAGGGTAAAAGGGATCTTGAAGAAGGAAGGCTATCACTCCATTTTGCAACACCATGCCATACCCTGTGGACGGCGCTTGATTGGAGCCAATTTCCTCCTACAACAGGACAATGACCCAAAGCACAGCTCCAAACTATGCAATAACTATTTAGGGAAGAAGCAGTCAGCTGGTATTCTCTATATAATGGAGTGGCCAGCACAGTCACCGGATCTCAACCCTATTGAGCTGTTGTGGGAGCAGCTTGACCGTATGGTACGTAAGAAGTGCCCATCAAGCCAATCCAACTTGTGGGAGGTGCTTCAGGAAGCGTGAAATCTCTTCAGATTACCTCAACAAATTGACAACTAAAATGCCAAAGGTCTGCAAGGCTGTAATTGTCACGCCCTGGCTCTGGGGACTCTTAAATGTTGAGCCAGGGTGTGGATTTTCATTGTTTAGTTTTCTATGTTTTTGTTCTAGATCGTGTTGCTCTATGTTGGCCAGGGTGGTTCCCAATCAGAGATAGCTGTAGCTCGTTGTCTCTGATTGTGTCACGATCGTCTAGTAGCGAAGTAGACCAAGGCGCAGCGTGTGAAAGAAACATGACTTTATTTAATTAAAGTTTCTAAATACAAACCAAAACACGACTCGTGAAGTCCAACGGTTAACATACCGACACGGAACAAAAACCCACAACACCCAAGAGAAAACACACAGTTTAAATATGGCTCCCAATCAGAGACAACCAGCCGACAGCTGACACTTGTTGCCTCTGATTGGGAGTCACACATGCAAACATAGACATAGACAACCTAGAACACCCAACATAGAAAATGAACACATAGAATGCACACACCCTGGCTCAACATATAGAGTCCCAGAGCCAGGGTGTGACAGTACCCCCCCCTAAAGGCGCGGACTGCGACCGCGTCTTAACAAACCCCAAACAGGGGAGGGCTGGGTGGGCATTCCTCTTCGGAGGCGGCTCCGGCTCCGGCCTTGACCACCACCCCTCCATAATACCCCTGTAGCGCCCCTGGTCCGGTCTGACCCCGCTGGCTGGATCTGGACTGGACATAGACGGAGCGGATAGCTTACGCTCCGTTGTGGAGCAGCTGACCGGTCTTACCAGGCTGACGACTCGCACCCCGGGCTTGGTGCGAGTAGCAGGAACGGGCTGAACCAGGCTGACGACTCGCACCCCTGGCCTGGTGCGAGTGGCAGGAACGGGCTGGACCAGGCTGACGACTCGCACCCCTGGCTTGGTGCGAGTGGCAGGAACGGGCTGGACCAGGCTGACGACTCGCACCCCTGGCTTGGTGCGAGTGGCAGGAACGGGCCGGGCCGGGCTGGCGACGCGCACCGTAGGTTTGGTGCGAGTGGCAGGAACAGGCCGGGCCGGGCTGGCGACGCACACCGTAGGTTTGGTGCGAGTGGCAGGAACAGGCTGGGCCGGGCTGGCGACGCACACCGTAGGTTTGGTGCGTGGAGCAGGGACAGGCCGGGCTGGGCTGGCGACGCACCCCGTAGGCTTGGTGCGTGGAGCAGGGACAGGCCGGGCTGGGCTGGCGACGCACACCGTAGGTTTGGTGCGTGGAGCAGGGACAGGCCGGGCTGGGCTGGCGACGCACCCCGTAGGCTTAGTGCGTGGAGCAGGGACAGGCCGGGCTGGGCTGGCGACGCACCTCGTAGGCTTGGTGCGTGGAGCAGGGACAGGCCGGGCTGGGCTTGCGACGCACCCCGTAGGCTTGGTGCGTGGAGTAGGGACAGGCCGAACCGGGCTGTGGAGACGGATAGGAGACCTGGAGTGAAGAGCGGCCACCACCCGTCCTGGCTGAATGCCTACCCTCACACACTCTGTGTGAGGCATCCGCACAGGACGTACAGGGCGGTGTACCCCTGGCCTGGTGGCCTCCTGGATTCGCCCCATCTTTGCCTCCGTCAGCCCCGTCGTCCATGCCGTGTGCCCCCCCCTAAAAATTTATTGGGGTTGCCTCTCGACCCTCCGACGCTGCTCCCACGTCCAGGTTGCCTGTTCCTGGACACGCTGCTTGGTCCTGGTATGGTGGGTTTTTCTGTCACGATCGTCTAGTAGCGAAGTAGACCAAGGCGCAGCGTGTGAAAGAAACATGACTTTATTTAATTAAAGTTTCTAAATACAAACCAAAACACGACTCGTGAAGTCCAACGGTTAACATACCGACACGGAACAAAAACCCACAACACCCAAGAGAAAACACACAGTTTAAATATGGCTCCCAATCAGAGACAACCAGCCGACAGCTGACACTCGTTGCCTCTGATTGGGAGTCACACATGCAAACATAGACATAGACAACCTAGAACACCCAACATAGAAAATGAACACATAGAATGCACACACCCTGGCTCAACATATAGAGTCCCAGAGCCAGGGTGTGACAGATTGGGGACCATACTTAGGCAGCTTGTTGGCACCAGTTAGTTTGTGGGATCTTGTTCCGTAAAGGTTTGTGTTGTTGTAACCTCAGGACTTCACGTATCGTTGGTTTGTTGTTTTGGTTTTGTTCGTGTGTTAAGTACTAATTAAAAATGTACGCTTATCACGCTGCGCCTTGGTTCCACGAGTCATCAGTCAACGTTCGTGACAGTAATTGCTGCAAATGGAGGATTATTTGATGAAAGCAAAGTTTGAAGGACACATTTATTATTTGTTTTAAAAACCATTATTTCTAACATTTGTACATTTTTTTTACATTTTTTGTCATTTAGCAGATGCTCTTATCCAGAGCAACTTACAGTTAGTGAGTGCATACATTATTTATATATATATATTGTTTTTCATACTGGCCCCCCGTCAATGACTACATTTCCTATGCATTTTGCTACATTTCCTATTCAAACTCATTTCATGTATGTTTTCATGGAAAACAAGGACATTTCTAAGTGACCCCAAACTTTTGAACGCTAGTGTAATTATAAATACAATTTATATGGATTTTACAACCATTTTCTGTATCAATAGCCTCTAAAATATATGTAAACAGACCATAAATGTATCAATTTTTGTTTTCTTGGAAAGCTGTGAATGTTATTATATGATACAATATCAGTACTTGTTGCAATTTCAACTTGTCTATGTACTATCATCAACTGATTTCAGCCAGTGTATGGCTGTGGATTGACTGCATTGTTTGAATGGAATGTTGGCATATTGGCAGTTAATCTGAAAAAGTTTTGGAATCATTCCTCTAAATCTGACTGGCTAGCTAGCTAACAAACATACAGTGCAGATATATTGTTAAAATGCATTATTGTACACAATATCTTATCACAGCACTGGCTTGTCATGGTTGACCGACTCCCTCACCAAAATGGCTTACCTTTATCCCATCATTAGAAGGTTCATAGTATTCTAATTCCTAATTCTATGGGCTCAACTCTCTAAATACATGGCTCTAGTTGGAACTACCCCATAATAACTACTCTCCATTGACTAACTGTCCAAATATACCTACCCCATTATTACTCTACTACTTACCTTCCCATCCCCAGGTACATCTCCACCCACTACCAGCTGCCCAGCGTGAGACTGGACCACCCCCGGCTGGTTATGACAGCTTCCTGTCCCAGTGCTGTGCAGCCTCAGGAGCACTTCCGGGTCAAATACACCCTACTAAACAACCTGCAAGACTTCCTGGCTGTACGACTGGTCTGGACGCCCGAAGGTGAGGGGAATGGGGGATGGGAGAGGAGAAGAGATGGAATGATTATGGAGGGGGATGGGAGTGAGATGAGGCGGGAGGGAGGGAGATGTAGAAAAAGGAGAATATTCATAATTTTCACACAAAAGAAGAGCGTGATCGAGCAAGAGGAAGAGTAGAAGAGGGATAGAAAGAGACTGACAGAGGGAGATGACAGAGGGAGATTACATGGGAGATGACAGAGGGTCCGTTAGAAAGAGACCGGGAGAGAGTGAGAGATAGTCCAGGGAGAAGGTCGTACACTCTGAACTAATAAATATGATTGTATTACAAATGCCTTAGAGAGAGAGAGATAGCGAGAGCAGAGAGCGAGAGGGACAGAGAGAGAGACAGAGAGAGAGACAGAGAGAGAGACAGAGAGAGAGAGACAGAGAGAGAGACAGAGAGAGAGACAGAGAGAGAGGGACAGAGAGAGAGACAGAGAGAGAGGGACAGAGAGAGAGACAGAGAGAGAGACAGAGAGAGGGACAGAGAGAGAGACAGAGAGAGAGACACAGAGAGAGACAGAGAGAGAGACAGAGAGAGGGACAGAGAGAGAGGGACCGAGAGAGAGAGAGACAGAGAGAGAGAGAGAGACAGAGAGAGAGACAGAGAGAGAGAGAGAGAGAGAGAGACAGAGAGAGAGAGAGAGAGAGAGACAGAGAGAGAGAGAGAGAGAGAGAGAGAGAGAGAGAGAGAGAGTGGCGGTAGATGAAGGGAGGGAATTCTGTCTAAGGTCCATTGATGATTTATAACAAAGCCCCTAACTAACTAACTAACTAACTAACTAACTAACTAACTAACTAACTAACTACATACCAGAGGAACAGAATCACTTTAGGCTAAATTATATTGCTCTCTCCTTGGGTAAACTAAATAACAGCCTCTCCCTCTCTCCCTTTCTGTCAATGTAACCCCCTTCCTCCCCTCTAACCCCTCCCCCTCCAGGTCGTGGTCGTCAGGAGGACCCCTCTGTCAGTTCTGTGGTATGTCATTCCCCCCTCAACAACCTGGGCCAGTGTCGGAAAGGATCCACCCTCTCCTTTACCGTCGGCTTCCAGATACTCAAGGCAGGACTCTTTGAGGTACCAGAGAGAGAGACGCGTGTGCGTGTGTGTCTGTGTGTGTGTGCGTCTTTTGTTTCTCCGATTTTGAATACCTAACATTACTCACATGCCCTCCTCTCCTCCTCTCCAGTTAAGCCAGCACATGAAGCTGAAGCTTCAGTTCACAGCGTCATGTTCCAACCCCCCTGCTGAGGCCAGGCCCATGTCTCTGTCCCTGTCCAGGAAGAACTCTCCCTCCAGCCCTGCTGTTAGAGACCTGCTGGACAGACAGAGTCTGGGAAGATCACAGTCCTTCTCTCACCAACAACCATCACGGTCGCATTTTATGAGGTAGGAGATACGCACATGTAATGCACAGACACATACACGACATGGCCAAAATAATGTGGACACCCCTTCAAATGAGTGGATTTGGCTATTTCAGCCACACCCGTTGCTGACAGGTGTATAAAATCGAGCACACAGCCATGCAATCTCCATAGACAAACATTGGCAGTAGAATAGCCCGTACTGAAGAGCTCAGTGACTTTCAACGTGGCACCGTCATAGGATGCCACCTTTCCAACAAGTCCGTTAGTCAAATTTCTGCCCTGCTAGAGCTGCCCCGGTCAACTGTAAGTGCTAGGAGCAACAACGGCTCAGCCGCGAAAGGGTAGGCCCTACAAGCTCACAGAACGCGACCGCCGAGTGCTGAAGCGTGTAGCGCAAAAAATCGTCTGTCCTCGGTTGCAACACTCACTACCGAGTTCCAAACTGCCTCTGGAAGCAACGTCAGTCATGAGTGAACAGGGAGTACAGGAGGGGACTGAGCACGCACCCCTGAGGGGCCCACGTGTTGAAGATCAGCGTGAACTGGGAGTACAGGAGGGGACTGAGCACGCACCCCTGAGGGGCCCACGTGTTGAAGATCAGCGTGGCGGATGTGTTGTTACCTACCCTTACCACCTGGGGGCGGCCCGTCAGGAAGTCCAGGATCCAGTTGCAGAGGGAGGTGTTTAGTCCCAGGGTCCTTAGCTTAGTGATGAGCTTTGAGGGCACTATAGTGTTGAACGCTGAGCTGTAGTCAATGAATAGCCTCCCGCCTCCCGAGTGGCGCAGTGGTCTAAGGCACTGCATTGCAGTGCTAGCTGTGCCACTATAGATCCTGGTTTGAATCCAGGCTCTGTCGTAGCCGGCCGCGACCGGGATACCCATGGGGCGGCGCACAATTGGCCTAGCGTCGTCCAGGGTAGGGGAGGGAATGGCTGGCAGGGATGTAGCTCAGTTGGTAGAGCATGGCGTTTGCAATGCCATGGTTGTGGGTTCGATTCCCACTCTGGATAAGAGCGTCTGCTAAATGACAAAAAATTTTTTTAAAAATAAATACAATTTTGCATTCTCACTACATGTGGGGAGAACAAGTATTTGACAGGAAAACCTGCAGGTTTTCCTACTTACAAAGCATGTAGAGGTCTGTAATTTTTATCATAGGTACACTTCAACTGTGAGAGACAAAACAAAAATCCAGAAAATCACATTGTATGATTTTTAAGTAATTCATTTGCATTTTATTGCATGACATAAGTATTTGATACATCAGAAAAGCAGAACTTAATATTTGGTACAGAAACCTTTGTTTGCAATTACAGAGATCATACGTTTCCTGTAGGTCTTTACCAGGTTTGCACACACTGTAGCAGGGATTTTGGCCCACTCCTCCATACAGACCTTCTCCAGATCCTTCAGGTTTCGGGGCTGTCGCTGGGAAATACGGACTTTCAGCTCCCTCCAAAGATTTTCTATTGGGTTCAGGTCTGGAGACTGGCTAGGCCACTCCAGGACCTTGAGATGCTTCTTACGGAGCCACTCCTTAGTTGCCCTGGCTGTGTGTTTCGGGTCGTTGTCATGCTGGAAGACCCAGCCACGACCCATCTTCAATGCTCTTACTGAGGGAAGGAGGTTGTTGGCCAAGATCTCGTGATACATGGCACCATCCATCCTCCCCTCAATACGGTGCAGTCGTCCTGTCCCCTTTGCAGAAAAGCATCCCCAAAGAATGATGTTTCCACCTCCATGCTTCACGGTTGGGATGGTGTTCTTGGGGTTGTACTCATCCTTCTTCTTCCTCCAAACACGGCGAGTGGAGTTTAGACCAAAAAGCTATATTTTTGTCTCATCAGACCACATGACCTTCTCCCATTCCTCCTCTGGATCATCCAGATGGTCATTGCCAAACTTCAGACGGGCCTGGACATGCGCTGGCTTGAGCAGGGGGACCTTGCGTGCACTTCAGGATTTTAATCCATGACGGCGTAGTGTGTTACTAATGGTTTTCTTTGAGACTGTGGTCCCAGCTCTCTTCAGGTCATTGACCAGGTCCTGCTGTGTAGTTCTGGGCTGATCCCTCACCTTCCTCATGATCATTGATGCCCCACGAGGTGAGATCTTGCATGGAGCCCCAGACCGAGGGTGATTGACCATCATCTTGAACTTCTTCTATTTTCTAATAATTGCGCCAACAGTTGTTGCCTTCTCACCAAGCTGCTTGCCTATTGTCCTGTAGCCCATCCCAGCCTTGTGCAGGTCTACAATTTTATCCCTGATGTCCTTACACAGCTCTCTGGTCTTGGCCATTGTGGAGAGGTTGGAGTCTGTTTGATTGAGTGTGTGGACAGGTGTCTTTTATACAGGTAATGAGTGGAGAACAGGAGGGCTTCTTAAAGAAAAACGAACAGGTCTGTGAGAGCCGGAAATTCTTACTGGTTGGTAGGTGATCAAATACTTATGTCATGCAATAAAATGTAAATGAATTACTTAAAAATCATACAATGTGATTTTCTGGATTTTTGTTTTAGATTCCGTCTCTCACAGTTGAAGTGTACCTATGATAAAAATTACAGACCTCTACATGCTTTGTAAGTAGGAAAACCTGCAAAATCGGCAGTGTATGAAATACTTGTTCTCCCCACTGTAGGTGTTCCTTTTGTCCAGGTGTGAAAGGGCAGTGTGGAGCGCAATAGAGATTGCATCATCTATAGATCTGTTGGGGCGGTATGCAAATTGGAGTGGGTCTAGGGTTTCTGGGATAATGGTGTTGATGTGAGCCATGACCAGCCTTTCAAAGCACTTCATGGCTACAGACGTGAGTGCTATGGGTTGAAACATGTTGGTATTACAGACTCTTACAGGGAAAGGTTGAAAATGTCAGTGAAGACACTTGCCAGTTGGTCAGCGCATGCTCAGAGTACACGTCCTGGTAATCCGTCTGTCCCTGCGGCCTTGTGAATGTTCACCTGTTTAAAGATATTATTCACATCGGCTACGGAGAGCGTGATCACACATTCGTCCGGAACAGCTGATGCTCTCATGCATGTTTCAGTGTTACTTGCCTCGAAGCGAGTAACACTAAAAATTGTTGCTAGACAACAATTTTCAGGTCTTGCCATAGATTTTCAAACATATTTAAGTCAAAACTGTAACTCGGCCACTCAGGAACATTCACTGTCTTTTGGGTAAGCAATTCCAGTGTAGATTTGTCCTTGTGTTTAATGTTATTGTCCTGCTGAAAGGTGAATTAATTCCCCGGTGTCTGGTGGAAAGCAGACTGAACCAGGTTTGCCTGTGCTTAGTTCCATTCTGTTTCTTTTTTTTTATCCTGAAAAACTCTCCAGTCCTTAGCGATTACAGCCATACCTATAACATGATGCAGTCACCACCATGCTTGAAATTTGGAGTGGTACCCAGTAATGTGTTGTATTGGATTTGCCCTAAACATAACACTTTGCATTCAGGACAAAAAGTTAATTGCTTTGCCACATTTTTTGCAGTATTACTTTAGTGCCTTGTTGCAAACAGGATGCATGTTTTGGAATGTCTTTATTCTCTACAGGCTTCCTTCTTTTCACTCTGTCAATTAGGTTAGTATTGTGGATTAACTACAATGTTGATCCATCCTCAGTTTTCTCCTATCACAGCTATTCAACTCTGTAACTGTTTTAAAGTCACCATTGGCCTCATGGTGAAATCCCTGAGCAGTTTCCTTCCTCTCCAGCAACTGAGTTAGGAAGGACGCATGTATCTTTGTAGTGACTGGGTGTATTGCTACACTATCCAAAGTGAAATTAATAACTTCACCATGCTCAAAGGGATATTCAATGTCTGCTTTTTAAATTTTTGACCCATCTACCAATAGGTACCCTTCTTTGCGAGGCATTGGAAAACCTCCCTGGTCTTTGTGGTTGAATCTGTGTTTGAAATTCAGTTTTGGACTGAGGGACTTTACAGATAATTGTATGTGTGGGGTATTGCACACAGAGGGATTCCATGCAATTTATTATGTGACTTAAGCACATTTTTATTCCTAAACGTATTTAGGCTTGCCATAACAAAGGGGTTGAATACATATTGACTCAAGACATTTCAGCTTTTCATTTGTAATGAAAATAAAATTAAAATGAAAAACACAATTCCACTTTGACATTATGGGGTATTGTGTGTTGGCCAGTGACCAAAAATATATAAATTAAATTCAGTCTGTAAAACAACAAAATGTGGAAAAAGTCAAGGGGTGTGAATACTTTCTAAAGGCACACACACAAACACACATCAGCATACATGCAATGCATCAACTCATACACACACACACATACTGTAAGCATACATGTACACACTCATACACACACACACACCCCGTAATCCCTAAATTCTGGCGGTGACTCCCTGACCTCTTTCTGACTCTGACCTCTGTCCTAATCATCCTCATCGTGTGTGTGTATGTCTCTTTGTCAAATCAAATCAAATCAAATTGTATTGGTCACATACATGTGTCTAGCAGATGTTATTGCGGGCGTAGCGAAATGCTTGTGTTTCTAGCTCCAACAGTGCAGTATATCTAACAAGTTCCTTGTGTAATGCTGTATTTGTGTCTCTGTGTGTGTGTGTGTGTGTGTGTGTGTGTGTGTGTGTGTGTGTGTGTGTGTGTTCTAGGACGGGAAGTGTGATGGAGCGCAGGGCCATCACCCCTCCAGTGGGGTCCCCAGTGGGTCGACCCCTCTACCTCCCCCCCGACCGCCCGGTCCTCTCACTGGACAAGATCGCCAAGAGAGAGTGTAAGGTACTGGTGCTGGAACCTGGAAGAGACTGAGAGACAAGGCGAGAGACAGGGAGAGGTAGTACTGGTGCTTGAGCCAGGTAGAAACAATGACACTGTGAAGGAGGGAGGGAGTGAAGGAAGGAAGAAGGGAGACAAAGAGGAGAGAGAGAGACATCTCTCATGCTGAACATTTCCTACATCCTACAACAAGGCACGCGTGAACAATGATTTACCAGACAGACAGACAGTGAATGACTGACTGTACGTGAGCCACATCATTTGAAGACACCGGAGAAGTTACTTTCAACAACATCATTTCACGTTTTTATCTCAACAACATTTCAAGTTTTTATTTCACTTTAAGGTCAACATTCCATTTCATTCCTTGTTTTATTCCTTGTGTAATGCTGTAATGAAATGTGTAAATAATTGTTAAGGTTTTAAACAGGGTGAAGACAGAACCAGACTATTTGTAGCAAAGTTTTGGGCACTTTTTCACTGAAGATTGCTGTGTTTTCTTTACAGGGTTATGGTAGTAGTTAATACCTTGTTAATACATGTTGTTATACACTGGTATACATTTTACACAGTATATTGTTCTCTAACACGTTCCTGACAAAATGTACTTGATGTAACACTTGGATGTTAGGATAATTTTGTTAGTAAAAAACTGGATTCTCTAACGTGATGGATGTCAAACTTGTTATAAGAAAAGCACCAGGGGACCACAGGGAAGGGGTTGAGTTCTGTTGCATTGTGGAATAACTCTAGCCTGGTCTCAGATCTGTTTGTGCTGTCTTCACAACTTCTATGGTCATTGTCACGATAGGAATTGGCAAGAGAGCACAGACAGATCTGGGACCAGGCTAGATCTGTTTCACCCGTGGATAGTGTCATCGGGTTCACTCTTGTTAGAATGTGTTGTATTTTAGTGGCTTAGAGCCACACAGTCTCTACACTGTATTTAATAGTTAATAAGTAGTCTACCAGAGATGTTTTTAGTTTATGCTAAATGTATTTATTGTCCGATTTGTATAATTTAGATTTTATTTTGTCAGCATTTGCTGCTGCTTAAAAGTCTTAAAAGTGCTTGTACATACTCCTTAGTACACTCCAGAGTACACATATTGTACATAGAAGTACACACTCCGTAACACACACTTCATAGTCCACACTCCATGATAGGGAACAATCCTTTCAAATCATTTTCCTTTCCCTTGTTATACTGCTGTTCATCCTATTCCCTATATAGTGCACTACTAATGGACCCTGGTCAAAAGTAGTGGACGGAATAGGGAAAAGGGTGCCATTTGGGACACAGGCTTACACTGTTGTACACTGGTTGATCCTGTTGACTGTTGTTGTTACCATTCATTCACACTTGACCTTATTATTAAGGATTTAGTCTTGGGTAACAATCCAGAATAGTGGATTATTTAGAAGACGTAACGTCAGTCACTGTAGCTACATTTTCAACTGTTTACATTTGTGTTGAGAACATAAAACGATGGTGTGTGTGTGCATGTGTATGTGCGTGCACAAATATGTTTGTGTTTGCGCCCCTTAAGTATTTATTGTATGCTTCTGATTAAGTCTAAAATATTATTTTATTTCCTGGTTCAATTGCCAATGGGAATGGCCAATGTGTCTTTATCCCTGATGTAAATGACAATGTGAGGTTGGGGACATTTCAAACAATCTGAAAAAATGTGACTGTGTGTCAAAAGCCCCGTTTATACCTGGTGTTAACATGCATCCTTTGTCTTGATGTTGTCCACATTTTGATTGTGCCCACATTTTTAGACAGGTGTTGACAATCAAAAGACACATTGTGATCAGATCATCCTGCCCACCTCCGGAGGTAGTCAGGCACGTATTGCGTCTGGATGTGTAGACAGATCTGGATGGAGAAACCATTTAAATCATCGTTATTCCACCCTTTAACATCATTGACTGATTGCATCAATATGTGTCTTACAATAAATAAATACATCTTATTTTGAAAGAATAGTGAAATAATTTGCATAAAGGAAGGGATCAGGAAATCTGGTCACAATGCAGACACAATGGATGGATAACAGATACATTTTAATACCACGTGTAGACACATTTCTGGTAATGTGGGCACAATCAGAATGTAGACAAGATCAGGACAAAGGACACATGTTAGCACCAGGTATAAACAGGGCTTATTATGCCTTATTTTCCCTGGACACAAAGTACTTGCTTGTGTATCCTTGGTTTAATTTAGATGTTTTTTTATCTCTATCTTTACATGAAGTCAAGAAATAGACGTACCCAAGACTGTGTGTTATTTAGTTTATTATGTTTTATTTAGTTTAGATGTTTTATTTCCTTAAGCCTGGAATTTACCTGAAGAAAAAAACAAACATTCCAACTCAATTTCCATTGTTCCCGAACAATTGATGAACAAAAGTTTTGTCACTAACATTTCCATTCCTTTCCTCTGTGATTTTAAAATTATGTATTATTACTACTTGGACTAAAGTAGCTCACAATATGATTGTTTATGTATATTAGTGACTTATTTTTAACAGTCATTGTTGTTCTTGGTTCTTTGGACACAAACAACGAACGCAGTTGATTGTGTCACAGATGTACTGTGGCACGTTGTTTGCTAGCAGTCTCACTGGCCTTATTTTAAGTCTTGCTTGTTTTTAGATGCGTTGAATGCAAACGTTTCAGTGAAAAGTGTTGCAAAAAAATGTTTTGGCTTTCTCCTCATTTGTTGCACTCTGGAAGTATTAATAAATGCAATTGGAGCAATTGGGAAGTTTGTGTTGTACGTGTCATGAGTCTGCTGACCAAGAAAAAGGAAAGAGGAAGAGAGGGGGAGAAATGGAGGGAACATGGGATATGAATGGGTACTACGATATCCCCTTGTGGCACACCAATTTCACAGGTGCGTTACTGTAGGACAGGTGAGACAGACACAGGTGCGTTACTGTAGGACAGGTGAGACAGACACAGGTGCGTTACTGTAGGACAGGTGAGACAGACACAGGTGCGTTACTGTAGGACAGGTGAGACAGACAGGTGTGTTACTGTAGGACAGGTGAGACAGACACAGGTGCGTTACTGTAGGACAGGTGAGACAGACACAGGTGTGTTACTGTAGGACAGGTATGACAGACACAGGTGCGTTACTGTAGGACAGGTGAGACAGACACAGGTGTGTTACTGTAGGACAGGTGAGACAGACACAGGTGTGTTACTGTAGGACAGGTGAGACAGACACAGGTGTGTTACTGTAGGACAGGTGAGACAGACACAGGTGTGTTACTGTAGGACAGGTGAGACAGACACAGGTGTGTTACTGTAGGACAGGTGAGACAGACACAGGTGTGTTACTGTAGGACAGGTGAGACAGACACAACACAGGTGTGTTACTGTAGGACAGGTGAGACAGACACAGGTGTGTTACTGTAGGACAGGTGAGACAGACACAGGTGCGTTACTGTAGGACAGGTGAGACAGACACAGGTGTGTTACTGTAGGACAGGTGAGACAGACACAGGTGTGTGTACAGAAGACTGACATGACAAGAAATGTTATGCTTGCAGCAACAATTTAATTCAATAAATTACATCTCAGGCACTTGAGGCATTTTATGATTGCCCTTTTCCCAGGATCACACATCTCATAATTCATACATTCTCAAATTACAACAAAAGCATGAATAAGTTAATAAAAGCAGATAATATAATGACAATAATATTCACAAATTCCAAAAATAATATTGGGCCAAATATGTAACATTGATGTTACGGACTGTTCTGAATTAGTGTGCATTGTTTGTGAGTGTGTGTCTCTGTGTGTGTGTGTGTGTGTGTGTGTGTGTGTGTGTGTGTGATATCCGTACATTCATTTGCCAGTAAATATGAAACTCTTTGTTCTCCACTCTTCTTTTTCTTCATCTACATGGGAGTCATGTTGTCGCTTGCGTTCTTATGCTGGTTGTCCAGGTTTTCGTACATGACGTCGCTGTCCTTAAGATGCATGCGGTACTGGATGCCTAGTCGAAATTCAATTCATAGAATTATGAGCGAGGGAGGGAAAGAGAGGGAGAAAGAAAGAGAGAGAGAGTGAAGAAGGAAAAAGAGAGAGGGAAAGAGAGAGGGAAGACAGACAGAGAGAGAGAGGTGTAATGTTTATTATTATTATTCATTTGTTGTTTTATGACAGATATTATTAGTTAGGTCCAGGAGTTTCTCCTGGTCAGGTCACCAAGGTGATCAAGGGTTTAGTTGGGAAGGATAGAGGGCAGAACTACTTGCCATGCAAGCCAGTCATGCAATCCAGTGGAAGAACACAAAGTATGAGCATTGATTTCACAATTTCCCTCCTGATCATGGCTTCATAGAATTACAAAAACTGAAGTTTAGGCATAGGGGTCGAAATGAATGAAGGTTAGGTTAGGTTTAAGTTTATGTTTAGGAACAAGGGTTAGGTTAAAGTTAGTATCGTTTCAGTGAGGTTAAGGTAAGGTTTGAGGTTATAGAATTATGGCACGGCAAGGTCCACTTGCCTCTGTAATAAATCAGCTGAATTGGTGGGACAGGGGTTTTTCTTTTCTCTTTAGCTGGCTTCCAATAGCCTGTTTCAAAATAATCAGCTTCAAAATAATTGACTCATTTAAAATGGTCGCCAGTCCACCCATTATGGCATCATTGACCTGAACGGGGAACTCCGTTCTACTCATTCGAATTCAATGTTTACTATATCCTTCCCATCTAAATCCTTGGTCTGGTTTTATTGAGATAATATTAGCTAAGTAGTATAATATTACATTTTAGTCATTTAGCAGACGCTCTTATCCAGAGCGACTTACAGTTAGTGAGTGCATACATTTTTATTTTTCATACTGGCCCCCCGTGGAAATCGAACCCACAACCCTGGCGTTGCAAACGCCATGCTCTACCAACTGAGCTACATCCCTGCCGGCCATTCCCTCCCCTACCCTGGGCCAATTGTGCGCCGCCCCATGGGTCTCCCGGTCGCGGCCGGCTACGACAGAGCCTGGATTTGAACCAGGACCTCTAGTGGCACAGCTAGCACTGTGATGCAGCGCCTTAGACCACTGCGCCACTCGGGAGATATTAGCTAAGTAGGTTAAAACAAATGTAAGTGAAAGTAAAAATTGATATATATGTTTTAAGTGAGATTGAGACAGGCACTTACTTGAATCTGTGCTGTCAGAATCACACGTCTTTTTTTTGTTCCTGTAAACACAAAATGGTTTAGAGCGTTACCATCCATTCACATAGGAATACAAATACTGTACTGACAGGTGACATTAGCTTTTTCTGTCTTGCATACTGAATTATAAAGCAAACTGTCATGATCAACTTGATCTTTGATTATTTCATGTTGTCAGTGTAGACTTTACTCTAAGATAAACAGACTTGTTGTACAGTACTTACTTTCGACAGCATTTGTAGCATAACACACAGATCAGTGCTATGATGATGATTCCCAGAGGCACTAGGACTGCGATGAGAATGATCGTGTTCTGATCTGTGGGATGAAGGAGGAGACAGTTACAACACTGCTACGTCTGTATGCTATATCTAACAACTGCTATGTCCCAACAATGATTACCGGGTACAGTACAATACAGTACAGTGCCATACAGTACAGTACAGTATAGTACAATAGAGTACAGTCCCATACAGTACAGTCCCATACAGTACAGTACAGTATAGTACAATAGAGTACAGTCCCATACAGTACAGTCCCATACAGTACAGTACAGTATAGTACAATAGAGTACAGTCCCATACAGTATAGTACAATACAGTATAGTACAATAGAATACAGTCCCATACAGTATAGTACAATACAGTATAGTACAATAGAATACAGTCCCATACAGTATAGTACAGTATCAGCTCCAGTAAATCACGTACCCAGGCCTCCGCTGGTCTCAGTCTTCTCGATCTCACAATGGTTGCCCTCGAAGCCCTCTTTACACTGGCAGGTGAATGGGTCAACTGTAGTGTTAGACTCAGAGCAGGTACCGCCATTTTGACAGGGGGAAGACAGACACGGACTCACTTAGAAGAGAGAGCGAGGGGGGGGGGGGGGGGGGGGGGGGACAAGGAGGGGTACGTTTATTATCAAAGACGTTGCAGTCCATTTTGCACACGGAAGTTGTTCTAATTGCAACTACTAGGGCACGAATGCATGTTCAATAGCCACACACAAACACACACACACACTCACTTTTGTAGCAGTCACGCGTGTAGTCGAAAATGGTACAGATGTGTGTGTCGGCACAGCCCTTGGGTTGGCACACGGCACCCGAGGCCATACATTCACACGACAGGGCACAGTCCTCTGTCACAAACTTCTCCTTGAGCTGGGTAGGAAGGGAATGGAGGGATGGAGAGAGAGAGATAGAGAAATCGAAATGGGTTAGAGAGAGTTCTACACACCACACCATACAATGTTCTGCAACAGCTGTTCTCAAATCAGTTGAGTCGTCAGATTTTGTGTCTCATCTCGATGACTGACTGCACTACATTGACCTCGTGTGGAGTAAGGTATCATTGAACACGTAACCTTCAGAGTTTAGAAACACTCTCATTGTGTATTAACTCACCTGGTAGTACCGGTCCAGGTACTGTAGGATCAGCTACACTTACTGTACTATGTTTTACTGTATTTTTACTATATTCTACTGTATTTTTACTATATTCTACTGTATTAACTCACCTGGTAGTACCGGTCCAGGTACTGTAGGATCAGCTACACTTACTGTACTATGTTTTACTGTATTTTTACTATATTCTACTGTATTTTTACTATATTCTACTGTATTAACTCACCTGGTAGTACCGGTCCAGGTACTGTAGGATCAGCTACACTTACTGTACTATGTTTTACTGTATTTGTACTATATTCTACTGTATTTGTACTATATTCTACTGTATTTTTACTATATTCTACTGTATTAACTCACCGGGTAGTATCTATCCAGGTAGTTGCAGCCACACTCGCTATAAGGCACACAGCTGCCTGTGCTCATGGTGAAACCGGGGGCACACTGGCACCCCTCAACACAGGCAGTGAAGTCACAATCGGAGGGCGCGGCCAGGTCAGAGCAGGAGGCGGGGCAAGGGGACATACACTCAGAGTAGGTACTGTTGGCCACACAGCTCAGGACTAAGGGGGAGGAGAGAGGAGGGGGAGGGAGGAAGTGAAGAGAGAGGGAGAGGGGGGAGAGAGAGAGAGGGGGGAAGAGAGGACACAGGATTAGCAACAAACACATAAGGGGTGTTGAGAGGAGGACAGTTGAAAATAAGTATTACTGCCAAACTGATTTGGCAGAATCAGTTTGGCAGTTTGCTAGGGATTACTAGTGAAGAATAAAAAATAATGTCATTTTTTAAGAACACAGCAGTGAGTGAATGTATTTTTGTTGTATTTCGGATAGATTTTGTGTGTGTACGTGTGTGTGCAATAATTTGTGTGTGTAATACCTGAGTGTGTGTGCATTAGTGCATGTGTGTATATATGCGTGTGTTTGTGTGTGCATTTATGTGTCTGTGAGTGTGCGTGTGCATACATGCATTTATGTGTGTGTGACAAGGTGCATGTGTGCATTTGTGTGTGTGTTCAATAAGATCTCTGTAGTGTAGTGTGTGTGTGTGTGTGTGCGTGTGTGTGCATTTGTGCTTGTGTGTGCTCGTTTGTGTCTGTGTCTGCGAGTGTTTGTGTGTGTGCACACGTTTGAGAGTGTGTCTGTGTGTGTGTGTGCGTGTGCGTGTGCATGCGTTCATTTGTGTATGTGTTTAATAACATCTCTGTAGTAATGTGTTTATGTGAGACAAGGTGCGTGTGTGTGTGTGTGTGTGTGTGTGTGTGTGTGTGTAATGACATCTCTATAGTAGTGTGTGTAATAATAATACTTTGGTGGGCGCTTACATTTGTCCTAGTTCACACTTGTACAAGTGTGTATTAATACGCATGTGTGAATTGGACATGTGTTTTTTGCATATCCCAACTCTTCTTCTATGTGTGTGTTTCTTACCACAGCCCAGCTGTTGTCTCCATTTGCCCAGTTTGACTCCAGCCTCCTGGCATGCCAGGGCGTACACCTCAAAGCTGTCACAACGCAGCGAGGCGGTTTCCTGATCCGCACACAGGTCAAACACACAGTCCCTAAAACACACACACACACACACACACACACGATGGACAGTGAGTGGAGGGCATAGTGCAGACACACATCTGAACACTGTTGTATGAACATATAAAGTAGAATATAAATTAAAGTTATGGGTTTTATTTATATATCTGCATTGCTTGCTGTTTGGGGTTTTAGGCTGGGTTTCTGTATAGCACTTTGTGACATCTGCTGATGTAAAAAGGGCTTTATAAATACATTTGATTGATTGATTGATTGAGAAAAAAGTATCAAAACATACCCACCTGTAGACTCCCACTAACACACAAACACTTTCTCACACACACGCACACGCACACGCACACCACACACACACACACACACACACACACACACACACACACACACACACACACACACACACACACACACAAACACACACAGTCTCTACTCACTCCTGGAAGCTGTTGGGCAGTAGTTGGGCGTGGCAGGCAGCGAAGGGTCCTGTAGGGTCGGATACGGCTCCACACTGTTTGTTACCATTCAACTCAGCCAGCTGAGCGTCAGTACAACCTGCTGTCTCAAAGCCAGACTCTGGGTCTGTCTCCACATCACGCCTAGGGAGAGGGAAGAGGGTGAGAAGAGGTTGAAGAAGAGGGTGAAGAAGAGGTAGAAGAAGAGGTTGAAGAAGAGGTAGAAGAAGAGGTAGAAGAAGAGGGTGAAGAAGAGGTAGAAGAAGAGGTAGAAGAAGAGGGTGAAGAAGAGGTAGAAGAAGAGGTAGAAGAAGAGGTAGAAGAAGAGGGTGAGAAGAGGTAGAAGAAGAGGGTGAGAAGAGGTTGAAGAAGAGGGTGAGAAGAGGGTGAAGAAGAGGTAGAAGAAGAGGGTGAGAAGAGGGTGAAGAAGAGGGTGAAGAAGAGGTAGAGCGAAGGAGAAAAAAATAAAGGAAGGAGAAGGAGAGTCATATTTAGTTGTCTACACTCAATCATCTAAACAAACCTATTTTTCAGTTGGTTATGTTTATAAATAGATTATGAATGAATGAATGAACCAACAAATAAATTAATGAATATTATGGTTCACATTTAATCGAGTGACTCCCTCCCACCTGTGCAGGTGCACCATCTTGGGGAGGTCTGCTGTCACTAGCTCCGCCCCCTGCCTGTCAGTCACTCTCCAGCTTTCTCCGAACTCGTCAAGGTTCCGCGTCACGGTTCCGTCTGGTTTCATGTACTCGTTCTTGGAGGATCCGTCGTAGTTCCCACACAGACCTCTCACCCTGTTCCTGTATGTACTTGGTAGGATCACCTCTGTTAGCGAGGGAGAAAGAGCATTGCATGAGTACAAGCAGTGCTCTTCTTAATAAGATATTTAATCATTTTATTAATTCAATAAATAAACAATTTAGTAAATTAAATGAACATTCTAGACCATACTGTTTTTCTCCTAGCCCAGCCGATGTCTGATAACTATTTGTTGCTGCCCTATGGACATCAGCTGCCACTACAGTGCAACACAGAATGAGTCACTGGTGTAGAGTATTCTCTCTCTCTCTCTCTCTCTCTCTCTATCTCTCTCTCTCTCTCATCTCATCTCTATGGTTCTTGCCTTAGATGAGGACCGTAATGCTGAAGTCGGTGTGTGTCTTACCTCCGTGGATCTTGCCGTCGAAGCGGACCGTCATGCCAAAGTCGGTGACCAGCTGGACGTTCTTAGAGTTCATTGTGATGGTCAGGCCGTCTCTAGGACTGAGAGGAGGAGCCACACGCTCACCGTTCACCTACACAGGTAGTGAGAGGACATAAGAGGTTATAACTGTTCATAGAGATGACACAATAGGTTATAACTGTTCATAGTGATGTCATAGTTGACCTGGAAGGTAACAAAGAGGAGAGTCTCATGGTTTTAGAGCTAGATTACTGTCGCAAAGGCAACTGGCATTGTTGGATTATGTTGTAAACACATTGTTATTTCAACTTAACTCACCAGTACAACTTTCTTCTGCTGGAAGCGGATGCTGACTCCATAGACATCTACATACACCTCATCCAGGTAGGAGATCTTCTTGTTGCCACCGCGACGGATGTTCTTCCCCCTGACCTGGAGGGAGGCCAGTGAGCTGAGGAGGTTGTGGCCCTCGGTCAGGATGTAGGTGTAGGGGCCCTGGAAGTGGTGGGTGAACCCATCAAACGTACGGTAGTGGGGGTCGCCGTGGATAATGCACTTGTCGAATTCTGGAGAGGGGGAGAGGGGTGGGGGGAGGAGGGAGGGAGGGGGGGGGGGGGGGGGGGTGGAAGAGAAAGGGAGATGAAGTAAGGTGGGGAGAGAGAGAGAGAGAGAGACAGAAATGTTTGTATTGAGGGAGTATAGTTGACAAATGGTAACCTTCTCCTAATAATTTGGGTAGAAATGGCAGTGTTGGGGAGTGATTTGGGGGCAAAGTTGCAGGGACTATTTTGAGAGAAGCGTTGGGACTTACTCTCAGGTTTGCAGTAGAGGTCTCCGTATTTGTCCAGAGTGCAGACAGAATCGTCCTCACATTGAAAATCTGAACAGGTGATGGAACCACCCAGGTTACAGGTACACTTGTCATTACAGTGGTCAGTCACCCACGAGTCTCCCATCTGCAACACACGCACACAGAACACACGTTAGGATTACGGCTGACTGTTTATACAGTATGTAAAGAAACCTTGTCACGATTATTGGAGTTTGGATGGTATTATGGAGAATGTGTTGTAACTGTGTCTGGCTGGTGGAGTTTTGATTCTTGTTCTAACCAAACTTGTTTGATAGTTGAATATCATGCAAACTATGGTACAATTATGTCTGTCATTTGACAATCACCTTAAGTTGAAAGGAAGTTTTCGGTGTTTAGTTGGTGTGTATGACTGGTAAAGTAGAGTGCGTGTAAGTGTGTATGATTGGTCAACGAAACAGTAAGCACTCACATCATGGTACTCTCCATTGGAGTCCACACATCCACACTTGGCCAGAGGAACACACTTCCCGTCGCTGAGTACGAACCCTGCATCACACTGGCACCCCTCGACACAGGTGGTGGGGGGCAGGTGGCAGAACATGGGGAACAGGTCGGCGCAGGTGGGGGGGCAGGGGGGCGTGCAGTCAGAGTAGTGGCTATTGGGGGTGCATGGCAGGGCTGGAGGGGGAAAGAGAGAGGGTGGGGTTAGACGATAATCAAAGATCCTATCTTTTTATACAGTACAGTAACAGTTACAGTAGTATTGGCTCTATGGATGGGTTTCATCAGGTAATTGCGGCATCATTGGTCGACAGTATAGGCCTACACATGTAGTTATTTTACTAAATACATTCCAAAGCCAACTCATTTCCTTCCATTTTTATTCATTTAAATAGCATCATATGCACAACCTCCCTCCCATACTCTCTCCTTCCCTCTCACCCCACCCCACCCTCCCCCAACTCCCATCTCCCCCCATCACTTACGACAGAATGTGTTGTTTCTCCAGGCGATGGTAATCCCAGCTGACTGACAGGCCTGTGCATAGGCTTCCACGTTATCACACAGAGTGGCCTGCATGCCGTCGTATTCACACATGTCATACACGCAGTTCCCCAGGAAGGCCTCCGGGGGCAGGAAAGAGTGGCAGGGCTTGAACTTGTCGCCAAGGATGATAGAAGAACACAGGGTCTCGTACTGTTTCTCTTCTTCTGCCGTGCAGTTAGGGTGGATGCTGGGACGCTCATCTGGTGAGCACCTGGAGGGATGGAGGGAGAGATGGTGGGAGGGATGGGTTAGATGGTGGAGGGAGAAGAGGGAGAGAGAGTGTCCAGAAATGTAACCTCCTGCCAGACCATGAGGATTAATCACCAATAAAATGTTGCTAGAATGTTTCATTATACATGTTTTTTGCCAACCTTGTACAGACAGAGTGGTTTACTCTAGTGAAATGATGTACCTGGTCTATTTGAACACAGGCTTGCCTTAAGGCTTTATATATTATTAAAAATCCAGGTATCTAAAATATGAATAACATAGACAGATGGCAGTGTTTTGTATCTAAAATATGAATGACATAGACAGATGGCCCAAAAAAAGCTTTAGTGGTTGCCTCCTGGCCTAAAGTACAAGGTCAAAGGTGAAGGGTTAGAGGTTACTGACCCTGGGTCTGAGTCTCCCTCGGACTTCCAGCTGTTGCCCAGTTCGATCACGTCCTTGGCCGGCTTTCCGTCTGGCTTCAGGTTGTCGTCTTTGGCATTCATGTTGTAGTTACCACACATACCACACACCTGGAGAGATGGAGGGAAAGAGGTGTGAGTTGAAACTGAGGAAAGATATAAGAGTGTAAGTTTGTACAAGAAACAGTGTCAATTACTGTAAAAAGAGCTAACTAAAATACATTTGAATAGAATTTGAACAATTCTATGAATGAAAAGGGCAGAGAAAAGCATTTAGAAGTCCCTTCAAAATGTAGGTCTGAGCATTTTAGTATGGCCAAGACAAGTACTGTGTGAAAGTGGCTTACTTTTACCATCATTATAAGTTGTATAATACGCATTATTATACAGTAGCATTACTACAGTTGGGCTCAGTCGTACCTTGTTGAAGTACTCTCCAGGGATGGTGATCTCCAAGTGGTGGACTCCATCAAACTTCACCTTCAGGCCAAAGTCAGTGTCCAGTAGACTGTAGACACCACTACTCAAGACCCTGGCCCCGGCCACGTCAATGGACAGAGGAGTACGCACCCTGCGCCCGTCCAACTGGAGAGGAGAGAGAGAGAAATAGAGAGCGAGGGAGGAGGGTGGTAGAGAGAGAGGGGGGGGGGATAAAGGAGAGGTGATTAGTGGAAATCAATAACCAATAAGGCATATGGGTTGTTGTTCCTCAAACTTGACTATCACAGCTTCCATGGGCGGTTCCACAAAGTGGGTTAGCACCCCCATTAGCACCCCCAAAAAAGAATGTATTAGTACACCATAGATCCCTCGGCAACGACCAAGCTACCCTGCCAGCTTCATTGAGAAGATGAATAATGATCAAAACGTACCATAACGGTAACTCTACTATCCGACTAAAACATTATGAGAAAATAAAGAAAACTGTGCTCAGGATTGAGCTAAAACGTCCAACTTCTACTTTTCGGTACTCTGACAAATGTGATTCTAAGCATGCTCGCGAATGGATCCCTCCCTCACTCCCTCCCTCTGTTTTGTGTTTTCTGTCTGTTTGCTGTGATGTGACTGAGGCATAAGCCTACTTTCACCAAAAAACGAACAATAAAGGTTTGAACTTGATCTCCATCTCACCAGAACTCTGTTGCTCTTCTGAAGCGTGACGGTGGCGTTGGGAAGATAGACCGTAACGGAGCGCACGTACGACGCCTCTGGTTGGCCGCGCTCCTCGTTCTTCGCCACAATGGTGAATGGAGTTACCTTGGTGGAGTTACACACCTGAGGGAGAGAGAGGGATAACGGGGGAGGAAGATGGAGGGAAGGAGATGTGTTACGGGGATCGGGAGAGATGGAGGGGAAGAGGAAGAGAGGTGGGGAGACGACGGTTACATACCTCCACCAGTGTATAGGTACAGGTGCCCATAAAGGTGTGCATGACACCATCGAAGGTGTAGTAGTGAGGATCTCCAGCCACGTGACACACACCCAAACCTGGGGAGAGACACAGAGAACAGAGACATTCATATCTGGGTTAGTGATGAATTCTTGGAGTGAGTTCTTGATAGTGTGTTTCATATACAGGCACTGTCACATTACTTTCAATCACAAGTGAAGATACTTAGAGCTGGTTTTCCGGACACAGATTAAGCCTAGTCCTGGACTAGGTCTTGGAAGCATGTTCAATGGAGATTCTCTAAATGCTTTTTAGTTCAGGGCTAATAATGAACTATAAATCTGTATCGGGGAAACCAAAACATGTTCTGTCCCACTTACAGTAGCAAAATAAACAAAACAAAGACTATGAAAAAGCCCTGAAAGGGGGTGTGGCATTTACCTGTTGAAACACATGCCAGCTCTCCCTCCGACACCTTACACTCCTGGGCGGGGCTACACTGCCACGGCTCACAGACGATGTTGTTGCCAGGGTTACACTTACAACGCTCTGAACAGTCCAGCTCAGTGAACCAACTGTCTCCCACCTAGGACACACAAACAAGGAGAGATATGGACATAAGACACAGTCCCAGAGACATATAACAATCAACCATTTTAGTTAGTCAATAAACCACATAATTAACTTAGTCAATCAACCACACGAGCAACATGATCTACCCATAACAACATTCTACGAAACACTACTTTTCTACTTTTGCAAACAGATAAGTCTCAGGTCATTGTACTGACTACTATGTCAACTTTACTAGTCAAGTCATAACTCGGTTCCTCCGTTCTTACCGGTCTGTAATTGTTATCCTTGTCGGTGCAGCCACACTGGCTGGGTGGGACACACTTGTCACCACTGAGTACCAGGCCGGGGTCACACACACACCCCTCTACACAGGGCTGGGTACAGGTGGCGTTGAAGGTAGGGTTCTGACAGCTGGAAGGACAGGCGTTACCACAGGGCTCGTAGTGGCTGCCTGGGAGACACTTCAGAGCTGGGGGGAGAGGGGGAGAGAGAGAGAGAGAGAGAGAGAGAGAGAGAGAGGGAAAACATGGGTTACTGATGGGCAATGCGAATAATCTGTGTTGCTGCTGCCCAAGAAAGGGGGAGAACGGAGGGAACATGGAATTTGAATTGGTACTAAGCCTAATCCTTGTAGCACACCACTTTCACAATATTGGTGTTACCCAAGAGAGGTAGGACTCAGTACACATAAAGGACTCACAGGTGTGTTACAGCACATGGAGCACAGGTGTGTTAGTTAGACTACACACAGTCGGGAAGGTGTGTGTGTATGCGTTTGCGTGCATACCTGTGTTTCAATGTGTGTGCGTGTGTGCGCACGTGTGTGTATGTGACTTACGACAGAAGGTGTTGTTCCTCCATGCGATGGGAACTCCAGCCAAGGCACATAGGTCAGCGTAGCTCTCTATAGCCTGACACAGAGCCACCGTCTCCCCTCCCGTAGCACACTGGTCGTAGACACAGTTCTCCTGGTAGATGTTGGGGGGAACCACTGCGTGGCACGGCTTGAAGATACCTGAGAGAGAATGGAGGATAGATTAATGGTGTTATATAGCTGAGACAGTGAGGAATTATCAATAAATCGTTTTTACATAGTAAAAATGATATGTAATAACACAATAGACAAACAAATGCTGTAAAACAGCTGAGAAAATAGGACAAATGGCCAATGAGTAATGGTCTTAGTAAGTTAGCTGACATTTCAGGCACAACTCTCTCATTTCATTTAAATATAATTTCATGTTCTACAGAAATGAGAAATGGCTTTAGTGAAGGGAGACTGAAAGATACAGCACAAGTGGTGTTTAATAACATGAATATAACATGTTTTGTGAAAGAGTGAAATTGTGTATGTGGATTGAGCAAGTCTATGATTTTCTGTCTTGTGTTTCTGTCCGACAGCTGTAATTTGTGCTTCCATGCGTCAGTGTGTGTGTGTGTTTCTGTGTGTGTGTGTGTGTGTGTGTGTGTGCGTGAGTCTCACCGTTGGGGTCAGTGATCATGCCACAGCTGGTGGGTTTCTCAGCTTCTGCCTCAACCTTGGGATCACACTCCTCTTCTCCTCCACCGTGGGTACAGCTGAAAGAAGAGAGAGGCATGGAGGGATTGATGAAAGAATGGAAGGAAGGGATGAACGTCAAAGACGTCACTGTCGAGGATTGAAATGTAATCTCCTCGATGGAGTCAGACCTGTAGGTCATAATTCATACAAAAACAATGGAATCTAGGCTAAATGTAACATAGCCTGGTATCTTAGTTCAGACTATAGTTCTTCCTAACAACGCTAGATAAAGAAACACATTGAAACTGAAACATGAATGTGTGTCGTGTGTGTGTCATGTCTGTTTCAGGTGTGTGTGACTCACTCGGGGCGGTCGTCGGGCACCTGCCAGCTCTCTCCTAGTTCGTTGGTGTTGCCGGCTGGTTTACCATCTGGCTTGATGTTGTCATCACCGGGTTGACCGTTGAAGTTTCCTACAAGAACAGAGGATAAACAGAACCAGTTACTACTGCACACATCAACGGTTACTGTGCATACAAACTGCCAGCTGGGTCAGGGCTTTTCTTGCTGTGCCTGGTTTCTTTCAATCACCTTATTAGTGATAATTAATTATCTGTCATGTTTATAGATGATCATCATTGATTGATTATCTCTTACCACAGAGTCCACAGAGCAGTCCGTTGTAGGAGGAAGGCAGAGTGACGTCAGCGTGGTGGTTACCATCGAACCTCACCCTCAGGCCAAAGGTCGTATCCAAGACAACAAACTTCCCGCTTAGGTAGATCTTCACCCCATTGGTCAGAGTCACAGGAGGGGTCACCAGGGTTCCGTTGACCTGGAAGAGATGAGAGGAGAGAGTAACCATTATAAATTAGAGTTAACTTAGCAAATTGTACAGTAAATGGTTATCTATTGAGCATGTATTTTCATGGGTATGGATTCCCGTTTTAGTATTCCATTTCAAAACATTTGCTCCCAGTTTGTTCCCACTTTGCCACGATAACGTCTAAAGTCTATTTTATGGACCACACTGTGAGGCCTTATCTTGACACTTTGCCAACATAACTGAATAAACTAAGTTGATCTGTAGCTAACCTCCAATGTTCCTCACCTGTATTTTGCGTCCTTTCCCCAGGATGACGGTAATCCCGTACACTTTGATCACGATGGCTTTGATGTACGACACCACCTTGTTGCTGCCTCGGTGCTCGTTCTGGGTGTCAATGGTGAAGTACGGCATCCCAGAGGTTTCATTGCAGGGCTTGGTGAGGGTGTAGGAGCAAGAACCCATGAAGTTATGCACCCTCTTATCAAAAGAGGTGTAATGAGGGTCGCCCTGGACCGTGCAGATTCCTGTTTCTGTGGGTAGAGGAGGGTAGAGTTTAGTTTTAGTTCAGAATATTTTGTTTTCATAGAAGTTTAAAACGTATGTTTTGAGGGAGGACTGATAGCCCCATTTACAAAATGTATTATAAAAACGAACACATTTCAAAAGCTACAAGTGCACAAAACTGAGACCCCACAATTGTATCGCGCTTTTCACCCAAAGACGCTTTTCAATCTTACCCTCAACATAATGTCCCAGTAAAATAAATGACACACGCACAATGATAAAGATATTGGCATCCGTACTCTCCCTCCTGTGTGTGTGTGTGTGTGTGTGTGTGTATCGTACCCAGTGGGTAACATCCCAACTCTCCGTCCTGTAGGCCACAGCTCTCTGTCAGAGTACAGGTGGTGTTGTGACACTGTATCACCCCCCCTCCCAGACACACACACTTCTCCTTACAGCCCTCCAGGTACCAGTCGTCACCCACCTGAAACACAAAGATGAACAAAGATGAATCCTTATGAACAGTATCAAGGGATTGGTGTATTTATGTAATTCAGCGTATTTTAAGCACAGTCTAAGAAAGGCACATGACTCCAACAGCATTCAGCATTCCATTAAGAGCAAAGTTGATATTCAGATACTTTTGGAAGAAAATTGAGGTTCATTATAAAGTGATTCTCCATTTTCAAACTGATCCCAAAACAGTGAAAAGTGATTAAATGAATTTGAATAAAAGCATTAAAGCCTCAGTCAGTGATTTAACACCAAGAAGGTACTCACAGGGTACAGGGTCAAATCAGTCACAGCAATATGAGTTAGTCTTACTAGTACTAAGCTGTACTTTTGCAAACAGAGGCTAAAGCTATTTCAAATGGTTGAAATGATGACTAGGACTATAGCTAACGTTATTCCCATGAGTTTCATTTCAGCTTACTGACTACTAAGAGAGTAACAATAAAACTCTGTTCCTCCATTCCTTACCGGTCTGTAATTGTTATCCTTGTCGGTGCAGCCACACTGGCTGGGTGGGACACACTTGTCACCACTGAGTACCAGGCCGGGGTCACACACACACCCCTCTACACAGGGCTGGTTACAGGTGGAGTTGAAAGTAGGGTTCGAACAGCTGGAAGGACAGGCGTTACCACAGGGCTCGTAGTGGCTGCCTGGGGGACACTTCAGAGCTGGGGGGAGGTGAATAGGTTATTGATGGGTTATAATGGAAGTCAACTTTATTGCACATCAGTTTTACAATACTGAGGGGTAGAAATGTATGGGGAGAAATTAAGGGGTACTAAGACTGATCTTTGTGGCACACCACTTTCACAATATTGGTGCTTCCCAAGAGAAGGAGCACTGAATACACACACTCAGAGGACACACAGGTGTGTTACAGCACATGGAGCACAGGTGTGTTAGGCTACACACAGTCAGGTGTGTGTGTGCATGCATGTGTGTGTGTGTGTGTGTGACTTACGACAGAAGGTGTTGTTCCTCCATGCGATGGGAACTCCAGCCGAGGCACACAGATAAGCGTAGCTCTCTATAGCCTGACACAGAGCCACCGTGTCCCCTCCCGTAGCACACTGGTCGTACACACAGTTCTCCTGGTAGATGTTGGGGGGAACCACTGCGTGGCACGGCTTGAAGATACCTTGGACATCATGTGAAAAATAAATGGTTTTAGTGAAGGGGAGACTGAAATATACAGTACACGTTGTGTGTAGTAATTTGTATATAACAGCTTTTCTGAAAGAGAGAGTATGTGTGAGCATTTGCTTTTAAATCAACGTCTAGACAATGTCGTGTATGTGTGTGTGTGTTTGCATGCGCACGTATGTTTGTTTCTGTGTGTGTGTGTGTGTGTGTGTGTGTCTCACCGTTGGGGTCAGTGATCATGCCACAGCTGGTGGGTTTCTCAGCTTCTGCCTCAACCTTGGGATCACACTCCTCTTCTCCTCCACCGTGGGTACAGCTGAAAGAAGAGAGAGGCATGGAGGGATTGATGAAAGAATGGAAGGAAGGGATGAACGTCAAAGACGTCACTGTCGAGGATTGAAATGTAATCTCCTCGATGGAGTCAGACCTGTAGGTCATAATTCATACAAAAACAATGGAATCTAGGCTAAATGTAACATAGCCTGGTATCTTAGTTCAGACTATAGTTCTTCCTAACAACGCTAGATAAAGAAACACATTGAAACTGAAACATGAATGTGTGTCGTGTGTGTGTCATGTCTGTTTCAGGTGTGTGTGACTCACTCGGGGCGGTCGTCGGGCACCTGCCAGCTCTCTCCTAGTTCGTTGGTGTTGCCGGCTGGTTTACCATCTGGCTTGATGTTGTCATCACCGGGTTGACCGTTGAAGTTTCCTACAGGAATAGAGGATAGACAGAAGCAGTTACTAATGCCGTCAATTCAAGATACAAATTGATATTCAAAGAGATTTTCAGGCAATACGTCATAAATATACTGCCCACTACAAAGGGGAGATGATAAAAGTGGGTGAACCAAGGGCTTTTCTTGCTGTGCCTGGTTTCTTTCAATCACCTTATTAGTGATAATCAATTATCTGTCATGTTTATAGATGATCATCATTGATTGATTATCTCTTACCACAGAGTCCACAGAGCAGTCCGTTGTAGGAGGAAGGCAGAGTGACGTCTGCGTGGTGGTTACCATCGAACCTCACCCTCAGGCCAAAGGTCGTCTCCAAGACAACAAACTGCCCGCTCAGGTAGATCTTCACCCCATTGGTCAGAGTCACAGGAGGGGTCACCAGGGTTCCGTTGACCTGGAAGAGATGAGAGGAGAGTGTAACCATTTTAAATTGGAGTTAACTTAGCAAATTGTACAGTAAATGGTTATCTATTGAGCATGTATTTTCATGGGTATGGATTCCTGTTTTAGTATTCCATTTCAAAACATTTGCTCCCAGTTTGTTCCCACTTTGCCACGATAACGTCTAACGTCTATTTTATGGACCACACTGTGAGGCCTTATCTTGACACTTTGCCAACATAACTGAATAAACTAAGTTGATCTGTAGCTAACCTCCAATGTTCCTCACCTGTATTTTGCGTCCTTTCCCCAGGATGACGGTAATCCCGTACACCTTGATCACGACGGCTTTGACGTACGACACCACCTTGTTGCTGCCTCGGTGCTCGTTCTGGGTGTCAACGGTGAAGTACGGCATCCCAGAGGTTTCATTGCAGGGCTTGGTGAGGGTGTAGGAGCAAGACCCCATGAAGTTATGCACCCTCTTATCAAAAGAGGTGTAATGAGGGTCGCCCTGGACCGTGCAGATTCCTGTTTCTGTGGGTAGAGGAGGGTAGAGTTTAGTTTTAGTTCAGAATATTTTGTTTTCATAGAAGTTTAAACTTATGTTTTGAGGGAGGACTGATAGCCCCATTTACAAAATTTATTATAAAAACGTACACATTTCAAAAGCTACAAGTGCACAAAACTGAGACCCCACAATTGTATCGCGCTTTTCACCCAAAGACGCTTTCAATCTTACCCTCAACATAATGTCCCAGTAATATAAATGACACACGCACAATGATAAAGATATTGGCATCCGTACTCTCCCTCCTGTGTGTGTGTGTGTGTGTGTGTGTGTGTGTGTGTGTATCGTACCCAGTGGGTAACATCCCAACTCTCCATCCTGCAGGCCACAGCTCTCTGTCAGAGTACAGGTGGTGTTGTGACACTGTATCACCCCCCCTCCCAGACACACACACTTCTCCTTACAGCCCTCCAGGTACCAGTCGTCACCCACCTGAAACACAAAGATGAACAAGGATGAAGCCTTATGAACAGTATCAAGGGATTGGTGTATTTATGTAATTCCGCGTATTTTAAGCACAGTCTAAGAAAGGCACATGACTCCAACAGCATTCAGCATTCCATTAAGAGCAAAGTTGATATTCAGATACTTTTGGAAGAAAATTGAGGTTCATTATAAAGTGATTCTCCATTTTCAAACTGATCCCAAAACAGTGAAAAGTCATTAAATGAATTTGAATAAAAGCATTAAAGCCTCAGTCAGTGATTTAACACCAAGAAGGTACTCACATGGTACAGGGTAAAATCAGTCACAGCAATATGAGTTAGTCTTACTAGTACTAAGCTGTACTTTTGCAAACAGAGGCTAAAGCTATTTCAAATGGTTGAAATGATGACTAGGACTATAGCTAACGTTATTCCCATGAATTTCAGTTCAGTTTATTGACTACTAAGAGAGTAACAATAAAACTCTGTTCCTCCATTCCTTACCGGTCTGTAATTGTTATCCTTGTCGGTGCAGCCACACTGGCTGGGTGGGACACACTTGTCACCACTGAGTACCAGGCCAGGGTCACACACACACCCCTCTACACAGGGCTGGTTACAGGTGGAGTTGAAAGTAGGGTTCGAACAGCTGGAAGGACAGGCGTTACCACAGGGCTCGTAGTGGCTGCCTGGGGGACACTTCAGAGCTGGGGGGAGGTGAATAGGTTATTGATGGGTTATAATGGAAGTCAACTTTATTGCACATCAGTTTTACAATACTGAGGGGTAGAAATGTATGGGGAAATTAAGGGGTACTAAGACTGATCTTTGTGGCACACCACTTTCACAATATTGGTGCTTCCCAAGAGAAGGAGCACTGAATACACACACTCAGAGGACACACAGGTGTGTTACAGCACATGGAGCACAGGTGTGTTAGGCTACACACAGTCAGGTGTGTGTGTGCATGCATGCTGTGTGTGTGTGTGTGTGACTTACGACAGAAGGTGTTGTTTCCTCCATGCGATGGGAACTCCAGCCGAGGCACACAGAAAAGCGTAGCTCTCTATAGCCTGACACAGAGCCACCGTGTCCCCTCCCGTAGCACACTGGTCGTACACACAGTTCTCCTGGTAGATGTTGGGGGGAACCACTGCGTGGCACGGCTTGAAGATACCTTGGACATCATGTGAAAAATAAATGGTTTTAGTGAAGGGGAGACTGAAATATACAGTACACGTTGTGTGTAGTAATTTGTATATAACAGCTTTTCTGAAAGAGAGAGTATGTTTGAGCATTTGCTTTTAAATCAACGTCTAGACAATGTCGTGTATGTGTGTGTGTGTTTGCATGCGCACGTATGTGTGTTTCTGTGTGTGTGTGTGTGTGTGTGTGTCTCACCGTTGGGGTCAGTGATCATGCCACAGCTGGTGGGTTTCGCAGCTTCTGCCTCAACCTTGGGATCACACTTCTCTTCTCCTCCACCGTGGGTACAGCTGAAAGAAGAGAGAGGCATGGTGGGATTGATGAAAGAATGGAAGGAAGGGATGAACGTCAAAGACGTCACTGTCGAGGATTGACATTTAATCTCCTCGATGGAGTCAGACCTGTAGGTCATAATTCATACAAAAACAATGGAATCTAGGCTAAATGTAACATAGCCTGGTATCTTAGTTCAGACTATAGTTCTTCCTAAGAACGCTAGATAAAGAAAAACATTGAAACTGAAACATGAATGTGTGTCGTGTGTGTGTCATGTCTGTTTCAGGTGTGTGTGACTCACTCGGGGCGGTCGTCGGGCACCTGCCAGCTCTCTCCTAGTTCGTTGGTGTTGCCGGCTGGTTTACCATCTGGCTTGATGTTGTCATCACCGGGTTGACCGTTGAAGTTTCCTACAGGAATAGAGGATAGACAGAAGCAGTTACTAATGCCGTCAATTCAAGATACAAATTGATATTCAAAGAGATTTTCAGGCAATACGTCATAAATATACTGCCCACTACAAAGGGGAGATGATAAAAGTGGGTGAACCAAGGGCTTTTCTTGCTGTGCCTGGTTTCTTTCAATCACCTTATTAGTGATAATCAATTATCTGTCATGTTTATAGATGATCATCATTGATTGATTATCTCTTACCACAGAGTCCACAGAGCAGTCCGTTGTAGGAGGAAGGCAGAGTGACATCAGCGTGGTGGTTACCATCGAACCTCACCCTCAGGCCAAAGGTCGTATCCAAGACAACAACTGCCCGCTCAGGTAGATCTTCACCCCATTGGTCAGAGTCACAGGAGGGGTCACCAGGGTTCCGTTGACCTGGAAGAGATGAGAGGAGAGAGTAACCATTATAAATTAGAGTTAACTTAGCAAATTGTACAGTAAATGGTTATCTATTGAGCATGTATTTTCATGGGTATGGATTCCCGTTTTAGTATTCCATTTCAAAACATTTGCTCCCAGTTTGTTCCCACTTTGCCACGATAACGTCTAAAGTCTATTTTATGGACCACACTGTGAGGCCTTATCTTGACACTTTGCCAACATAACTGAATAAACTAAGTTGATCTGTAGCTAACCTCCAATGTTCCTCACCTGTATTTTGCGTCCTTTCCCCAGGATGACGGTAATCCCGTACACTTTGATCACAACGGCTTTGACGTACGACACCACCTTGTTGCTGCCTCGGTGCTCGTTCTGGGTGTCAACGGTGAAGTACGGCATCCCAGAGGTTTCATTGCAGGGCTTGGTGAGGGTGTAGGAGCAAGAACCCATGAAGTTATGCACCCTCTTATCAAAAGAGGTGTAATGAGGGTCGCCCTGGACCGTGCAGATTCCTGTTTCTGTGGGTAGAGGAGGGTAGAGTTTAGTTTTAGTTCATAATATTTTGTTTTCATAGAAGTTTAAAACGTATGTTTTGAGGGAGGACTGATAGCCCCATTTACAAAATGTATTATAAAAACGAACACATTTCAAAAGCTACAAGTGCACAAAACTGAGACCCCACAATTGTATCGCGCTTTTCACCCAAAGACGCTTTTCAATCTTACCCTCAACATAATGTCCCAGTAAAATAAATGACACACGCACAATGATAAAGATATTGGCATCCGTACTCTCCCTCCTGTGTGTGTGTGTGTGTGTGTGTGTGTATCGTACCCAGTGGGTAACATCCCAACTCTCCGTCCTGCAGGCCACAGCTCTCTGTCAGAGTACAGGTGGTGTTGTGACACTGTATCACCCCCCCTCCCAGACATACACACTTCTCCTTACAGCCCTCCAGGTACCAGTCGTCACCCACCTGAAACACAAAGATGAACAAAGATGAAGCCTTATGAACAGTATCAAGGGATTGGTGTATTTATGTAATTCAGCGTATTTTAAGCACATGCTAAGAAAGGCACATGACTCCAACAGCATTCAGCATTCCATTAAGAGCAAAGTTGATATTCAGATACTTTTGGAAGAAAATTGAGGTTCATTATAAAGTGATTCTCCATTTTCAAACTGATCCCAAAACAGTGAAAAGTGATTAAATGAATTTGAATAAAAGCATTAAAGCCTCAATCAGTGATTTAACACCAAGAAGGTACTCACATGGTACAGGGTAAAATCAGTCACAGCAATATGAGTTAGTCTTACTAGTACTAAGCTGTACTTTTGCAAACAGAGGCTAAAGCTATTTCAAATGGTTGAAATGATGACTAGGACTATAGCTAACGTTATTCCTATGACTTTCAGTTCAGCTTATTGACTACTAAGAGAGTAACAATAAAACTCTGTTCCTCCATTCCTTACCGGTCTGTAATTGTTATCCTTGTCGGTGCAGCCACACTGGCTGGGTGGGACACACTTGTCACCACTGAGTACCAGGCCGGGGTCACACACACACCCCTCTACACAGGGCTGGTTACAGGTGGAGTTGAAAGTAGGGTTCTGACAGCTGGAAGGACAGGCGTTACCACAGGGCTCGTAGTGGCTGCCTGGGGGACACTTCAGAGCTGGGGGGAGGTGAATAGGTTATTGATGGGTTATAATGGAAGTCAACTTTATTGCACATCAGTTTTACAATACTGAGGGGTAGAAATGTATGGGGAGAAATTAAGGGGTACTAAGACTGATCTTTGTGGCACACCACTTTCACAATATTGGTGCTTCCCAAGAGAAGGAGCACTGAATACACACACTCAGAGGACACACAGGTGTGTTACAGCACATGGAGCACAGGTGTGTTAGGCTACACACAGTCAGGTGTGTGTGTGCATGCATGTGTGTGTGTGTGTGTGTGTGTGACTTACGACAGAAGGTGTTGTTCCTCCATGCGATGGGAACTCCAGCCGAGGCACACAGAAAAGCGTAGCTCTCTATAGCCTGACACAGAGCCACCGTGTCCCCTCCCGTAGCACACTGGTCGTACACACAGTTCTCCTGGTAGATGTTGGGGGGAACCACTGCGTGGCACGGCTTGAAGATACCTTGGACATCATGTGAAAAATAAATGGTTTTAGTGAAGGGGAGACTGAAATATACAGTACACGTTGTGTGTAGTAATTTGTATATAACAGCTTTTCTGAAAGAGAGAGTATGTTTGAGCATTGCTTTTAAATCAACGTCTAGACAATGTCGTGTATGTGTGTGTGTGTTTGCATGCGCACGTATGTGTGTTTCTGTGTGTGTGTGTGTGTGTGTGTGTCTCACCGTTGGGGTCAGTGATCATGCCACAGCTGGTGGGTTTCGCAGCTTCTGCCTCAACCTTGGGATCACACTTCTCTTCTCCTCCACCGTGGGTACAGCTGAAAGAAGAGAGAGGCATGGAGGGATTGATGAAAGAATGGAAGGAAGGGATGAACGTCAAAGACGTCACTGTCGAGGATTGAAATTTAATCTCCTCGATGGAGTCAGACCTGTAGGTCATAATTCATACAAAAACAATGGAATCTAGGCTAAACGTAACATAGCCTGGTATCTTAGTTCAGACTATAGTTCTTCCTAACAACGCTAGATAAAGAAAAACATTGAAACTGAAACATGAATGTGTGTCGTGTGTGTGTCATGTCTGTTTCAGGTGTGTGTGACTCACTCGGGGCGGTCGTCGGGCACCTGCCAGCTCTCTCCTAGTTCGTTGGTGTTGCCGGCTGGTTTACCATCTGGCTTGATGTTGTCATCACCGGGTTGACCGTTGAAGTTTCCTACAGGAATAGAGGATAGACAGAAGCAGTTACTAATGCCGTCAATTCAAGATACAAATTGATATTCAAAGAGATTTTCAGGCAATACGTCATAAATATACTGCCCACTACAAAGGGGAGATGATAAAAGTGGGTGAACCAAGGGCTTTTCTTGCTGTGCCTGGTTTCTTTCAATCACCTTATTAGTGATAATCAATTATCTGTCATGTTTATAGATGATCATCATTGATTGATTATCTCTTACCACAGAGTCCACAGAGCAGTCCGTTGTAGGAGGAAGGCAGAGTGACATCAGCGTGGTGGTTACCATCGAACCTCACCCTCAGGCCAAAGGTCGTATCCAAGACAACAAACTGCCCGCTCAGGTAGATCTTCACCCCATTGGTCAGAGTCACAGGAGGGGTCACCAGGGTTCCGTTGACCTGGAAGAGATGAGAGGAGAGAGTAACCATTATAAATTAGAGTTAACTTAGCAAATTGTACAGTAAATGGTTATCTATTGAGCATGTATTTTCATGGGTATGGATTCCCGTTTTAGTATTCCATTTCAAAACATTTGCTCCCAGTTTGTTCCCACTTTGCCACGATAACGTCTAACGTCTATTTTATGGACCACACTGTGAGGCCTTATCTTGACACTTTGCCAACATAACTGAATAAACTAAGTTGATCTGTAGCTAACCTCCAATGTTCCTCACCTGTATTTTGCGTCCTTTCCCCAGGATGACGGTAATCCCGTACACTTTGATCACGACGGCTTTGACGTACGACACCACCTTGTTGCTGCCTCGGTGCTCGTTCTGGGTGTCAACGGTGAAGTACGGCATCCCAGAGGTTTCATTGCAGGGCTTGGTGAGGGTGTAGGAGCAAGAACCCATGAAGTTATGCACCCTCTTATCAAAAGAGGTGTAATGAGGGTCGCCCTGGACCGTGCAAATTCCTGTTTCTGTGGGTAGAGGAGGGTAGAGTTTAGTTTTAGTTCAGAATATTTTGTTTTCATAGAAGTTTAAAACGTATGTTTTGAGGGAGGACTGATAGCCCCATTTACAAAATGTATTATAAAAACGTACACATTTCAAAAGCTACAAGTGCACAAAACTGAGACCCCACAATTGTATCGCGCTTTTCACCCAAAGACGCTTTTCAATCTTACCCTCAACATAATGTCCCAGTAAAATAAATGACACACGCACAATGATAAAGATATTGGCATCCGTACTCTCCCTCCTGTGTGTGTGTGTGTATCGTACCCAGTGGGTAACATCCCAACTCTCCGTCCTGCAGGCCACAGCTCTCTGTCAGAGTACAGGTGGTGTTGTGACACTGTATCACCCCCCCTCCCAGACATACACACTTCTCCTTACAGCCCTCCAGGTACCAGTCGTCACCCACCTGAAACACAAAGATGAACAAAGTTGAAGCCTTATGAACAGTATCAAGGGATTGGTGTATTTATGTAATTCCGCGTATTTTAAGCACAGTCTAAGAAAGGCACATGACTCCAACAGCATTCAGCATTCCATTAAGAGCAAAGTTGATATTCAGATACTTTTGGAAGAAAATTGAGGTTCATTATAAAGTGATTCTCCATTTTCAAACTGATCCCAAAACAGTGAAAAGTGATTAAATGAATTTGAATAAAAGCATTAAAGCCTCAGTCAGTGATTTAACACCAAGAAGGTACTCACATGGTACAGGGTAAAATCAGTCACAGCAATATGAGTTAGTCTTACTAGTACTAAGCTGTACTTTTGCAAACAGAGGCTAAAGCTATTTCAAATGGTTGAAATGATGACTAGGACTATAGCTAACGTTATTCCCATGAGTTTCAGTTCAGCTTATTGACTACTAAGAGAGTAACAATAAAACTCTGTTCCTCCATTCCTTACCGGTCTGTAATTGTTATCCTTGTCGGTGCAGCCACACTGGCTGGGTGGGACACACTTGTCACCACTGAGTACCAGGCCGGGGTCACACACACACCCCTCTACACAGGGCTGGTTACAGGTGGAGTTGAAAGTAGGGTTCGAACAGCTGGAAGGACAGGCGTTACCACAGGGCTCGTAGTGGCTGCCTGGGGGACACTTCAGAGCTGGGGGGAGGTGAATAGGTTATTGATGGGTTATAATGGAAGTCAACTTTATTGCACATCAGTTTTACAATACTGAGGGGTAGAAATGTATGGGGAGAAATTAAGGGGTACTAAGACTGATCTTTGTGGCACACCACTTTCACAATATTGGTGCTTCCCAAGAGAAGGAGCACTGAATACACACACTCAGAGGACACACAGGTGTGTTACAGCACATGGAGCACAGGTGTGTTAGGCTACACACAGTCAGGTGTGTGTGTGCATGCATGTGTGTGTGTGTGTGTGTGACTTACGACAGAAGGTGTTGTTCCTCCATGCGATGGGAACTCCAGCCGAGGCACACAGATAAGCGTAGCTCTCTATAGCCTGACACAGAGCCACCGTGTCCCCTCCCGTAGCACACTGGTCGTACACACAGTTCTCCTGGTAGATGTTGGGGGGAACCACTGCGTGGCACGGCTTGAAGATACCTTGGACATCATGTGAAAAATAAATGGTTTTAGTGAAGGGGAGACTGAAATATACAGTACACGTTGTGTGTAGTAATTTGTATATAACAGCTTTTCTGAAAGAGAGAGTATGTTTGAGCATTTGCTTTTAAATCAACGTCTAGACAATGTCGTGTATGTGTGTGTGTGTTTGCATGCGCACGTATGTTTGTTTCTGTGTGTGTGTGTGTGTGTGTCTCACCGTTGGGGTCAGTGATCATGCCACAGCTGGTGGGTTTCTCAGCTTCTGCCTCAACCTTGGGATCACACTCCTCTTCTCCTCCACCGTGGGTACAGCTGAAAGAAGAGAGAGGCATGGAGGGATTGATGAAAGAATGGAAGGAAGGGATGAACGTCAAAGACGTCACTGTCGAGGATTGAAATGTAATCTCCTCGATGGAGTCAGACCTGTAGGTCATAATTCATACAAAAACAATGGAATCTAGGATAAATGTAACATAGCCTGGTATCTTAGTTCAGACTATAGTTCTTCCTAACAACGCTAGATAAAGAAACACATTGAAACAGAAACATGAATGTGTGTCGTGTGTGTGTCATGTCTGTTTCAGGTGTGTGTGACTCACTCGGGGCGGTCGTCGGGCACCTGCCAGCTCTCTCCTAGTTCGTTGGTGTTGCCGGCTGGTTTACCATCTGGCTTGATGTTGTCATCACCGGGTTGACCGTTGAAGTTTCCTACAGGAATAGAGGATAGACAGAAGCAGTTACTAATGCCGTCAATTCAAGATACAAATTGATATTCAAAGAGATTTTCAGGCAATACGTCATAAATATACTGCCCACTACAAAGGGGATATGATAAAAGTGGGTGAACCAAGGGCTTTTCTTGCTGTGCCTGGTTTCTTTCAATCACCTTATTAGTGATGATCAATTATCTGTCATGTTTATAGATGATCATCATTGATTGATTATCTCTTACCACAGAGTCCACAGAGCAGTCCGTTGTAGGAGGAAGGCAGAGTGACGTCTGCGTGGTGGTTACCATCGAACCTCACCCTCAGGCCAAAGGTCGTCTCCAAGACAACAAACTGCCCGCTCAGGTAGATCTTCACCCCATTGGTCAGAGTCACAGGAGGGGTCACCAGGGTTCCGTTGACCTGGAAGAGATGAGAGGAGAGTGTAACCATTTTAAATTGGAGTTAACTTAGCAAATTGTACAATAAATGGTTATCTATTGAGCATGTATTTTCATGGGTATGGATTCCCGTTTTAGTATTCCATTTCAAAACATTTGCTCCCAGTTTGTTCCCACTTTGCCACGATAACGTCTAACGTCTATTTTATGGACCACACTGTGAGGCCTTATCTTGACACTTTGCCAACATAACTGAATAAACTAAGTTGATCTGTAGCTAACCTCCAATGTTCCTCACCTGTATTTTGCGTCCTTTCCCCAGGATGACGGTAATCCCGTACACTTTGATCACAACGGCTTTGACGTACGACACCACCTTGTTGCTGCCTCGGTGCTCGTTCTGGGTGTCAACGGTGAAGTACGGAATCCCAGAGGTTTCATTGCAGGGCTTGGTGAGGGTGTAGGAGCAAGAACCCATGAAGTTATGCACCCTCTTATCAAAAGAGGTGTAATGAGGGTCGCCCTGGACCGTGCAGATTCCTGTTTCTGTGGGTAGAGGAGGGTACAGTTTAGTTTTAGTTCATAATATTTTGTTTTCATAGAAGTTTAAAACTTATGTTTTGAGGGAGGACTGATAGCCCCATTTACAAAATGTATTATAAAAACGTACACATTTCAAAAGCTACAAGTGCACAAAACTGAGACCCAACAATTGTATTGCGCTTTTCACCCAAAGACGCTTTTCAATCTTACCCTCAACATAATGGCCCAGTAAAATAAATGGCACACACACAATGATAAAGATATTGGCATCCGTACTCTCCCTCCTGTGTGTGTGTGTGTGTGTGTATCGTACCCAGTGGGTAACATCCCAACTCTCCGTCCTGTAGGCCACAGCTCTCTGTCAGAGTACAGGTGGTGTTGTGACACTGTATCACCCCCCCTCCCAGACACACACACTTCTCCTTACAGCCCTCCAGGTACCAGTCGTCACCCACCTGAAACACAAAGATTAATCCTTATGAACAGTATCAAGGGATTGGTGTATTTATGTAATTCAGCGTATTTTAAGCACAGTCTAAGAAAGGCACATGACTCCAACAGCATTCAGCATTCCATTAAGAGCAAAGTTGATATTCAGATACTTTTGGAAGAAAATTGAGGTTCATTATAAAGTGATTCTCCATTTTCAAACTGATCCCAAAACAGTGAAAAGTGATTAAATGAATTTGAATAAAAGCATTAAAGCCTCAGTCAGTGATTTAACACCAAGAAGGTACTCACATGGTACAGGGTAAAATCAGTCACAGCAATATGAGTTAGTCTTACTAGTACTAAGCTGTACTTTTGCAAACAGAGGCTAAAGCTATTTCAAATGGTTGAAATGATGACTAGGACTATAGCTAACGTTATTCCCATGAATTTCAGTTCAGTTTATTGACTACTAAGAGAGTAACAATAAAACTCTGTTCCTCCATTCCTTACCGGTCTGTAATTGTTATCCTTGTCGGTGCAGCCACACTGGCTGGGTGGGACACACTTGTCACCACTGAGTACCAGGCCGGGGTCACACACACACCCCTCTACACAGGGCTGGTTACAGGTGGAGTTGAAAGTAGGGTTCGAACAGCTGGAAGGACAGGCGTTACCACAGGGCTCGTAGTGGCTGCCTGGGGGACACTTCAGAGCTGGGGGGAGGGGAATAGGTTATTGATGGGTTATAATGGAAGTCAACTTTATTGCACATCAGTTTTACAATACTGAGGGGTAGAAATGTATGGGGAGAAATTAAGGGGTACTAAGACTGATCTTTGTGGCACACCACTTTCACAATATTGGTGCTTCCCAAGAGAAGGAGCACTGAATACACACACTCAGAGGACACACAGGTGGGTTACAGCACATGGAGCACAGGTGTGTTAGGCTACACACAGTCAGGTGTGTGTGTGCATGCATGTGTGTGTGTGTGTGTGTGTGACTTACGACAGAAGGTGTTGTTCCTCCATGCGATGGGAACTCCAGCCGAGGCACACAGAAAAGCGTAGCTCTCTATAGCCTGACACAGAGCCACCGTGTCCCCTCCCGTAGCACACTGGTCGTACACACAGTTCTCCTGGTAGATGTTGGGGGGAACCACTGCGTGGCACGGCTTGAAGATACCTTGGACATCATGTGAAAAATAAATGGTTTTAGTGAAGGGGAGACTGAAATATACAGTACACGTTGTGTGTAGTAATTTGTATATAACAGCTTTTCTGAAAGAGAGAGTATGTTTGAGCATTTGCTTTTAAATCAACGTCTAGACAATGTCGTGTATGTGTGTGTGTGTTTGCATGCGCACGTATGTGTGTTTCTGTGTGTGTGTGTGTGTGTGTGTGTCTCACCGTTGGGGTCAGTGATCATGCCACAGCTGGTGGGTTTCTCAGCTTCTGCCTCAACCTTGGGATCACACTCCTCTTCTCCTCCACCGTGGGTACAGCTGAAAGAAAAGAGAGGCATGGAGGGATTGATGAAAGAATGGAAGGAAGGGATGAACGTCAAAGACGTCACTGTCGAGGATTGACATTTAATCTCCTCGATGGAGTCAGACCTGTAGGTCATAATTCATACAAAAACAATGGAATCTAGGCTAAATGTAACATAGCGTGGTATCTTAGTTCAGACTATAGTTCTTCCTAACAACGCTAGATAAAGAAAAACATTGAAACTGAAACATGAATGTGTGTAGTGTGTGTGTCACGTCTGTTTCAGGTGTGTGTGACTCACTCGGGGCGGTCGTCGGGCACCTGCCAGCTCTCTCCTAGTTCGTTGGTGTTGCCGGCTGGTTTACCATCTGGCTTGATGTTGTCATCACCGGGTTGACCGTTGAAGTTTCCTACAGGAATAGAGGATAGACAGAAGCAGTTACTAATGCCGTCAATTCAAGATACAAATTGATATTCAAAGAGATTTTCAGGCAATACGTCATAAATATACTGCCCACTACAAAGGGGATATAATAAAAGTGGGTGAACCAAGGGCTTTTCTTGCTGTGCCTGGTTTCTTTCAATCACCTTATTAGTGATAATCAATTATCTGTCATGTTTATAGATGATCATCATTGATTGATTATCTCTTACCACAGAGTCCACAGAGCAGTCCGTTGTAGGAGGAAGGCAGAGTGACATCAGCGTGGTGGTTACCATCGAACCTCACCCTCAGGCCAAAGGTCGTATCCAAGACAACAAACTGCCCGCTCAGGTAGATCTTCACCCCATTGGTCAGAGTCACAGGAGGGGTCACCAGGGTTCCGTTGACCTGGAAGAGATGAGAGGAGAGAGTAACCATTATAAATTAGAGTTAACTTAGCAAATTGTACAGTAAATGGTTATCTATTGAGCATGTATTTTCATGGGTATGGATTCCCGTTTTAGTATTCCATTTCAAAACATTTGCTCCCAGTTTGTTCCCACTTTGCCACGATAACGTCTAACGTCTATTTTATGGACCACACTGTGAGGCCTTATCTTGACACTTTGCCAACATAACTGAATAAACTAAGTTGATCTGTAGCTAACCTCCAATGTTCCTCACCTGTATTTTGCGTCCTTTCCCCAGGATGACGGTAATCCCGTACACTTTGATCACGACGGCTTTGATGTACGACACCACCTTGTTGCTGCCTCGGTGCTCGTTCTGGGTGTCAACGGTGAAGTACGGCATCCCAGAGGTTTCATTGCAGGGCTTGGTGAGGGTGTAGGAGCAAGAACCCATGAAGTTATGCACCCTCTTATCAAAAGAGGTGTAATGAGGGTCGCCCTGGACCGTGCAGATTCCTGTTTCTGTGGGTAGAGTTTAGTTTTAGTCCATAATGTTTAGTCCATTTTGTAAAATTTTAGAGGGAGCACTGATAGTCCTATTTAAAGTTTCCGGATTTCACTATTGATTCCATGTCATTTTAATCAACTCTTACAGTTTATACCAGGGATCATCAACTAGATTCAGCCGCGGGTCGATTTTTTCTTGAGTGGATGGTCAGGGGGCCGGAACGTAATTACAAATTATTTGTAGACTGCAAATTGACAGCAAGAAGCCCAAACAGATAAAATATTTGACTAAAGCATAATCATTTCAAACCTTGCTTACATTTGTATACGATCACACGTATCTCTCTATAATGCATGAGAATACTTTGGAACAGATTTCCAAAATTAAAATCACCTGGAGCTGATTTGCTGTTGTTTTTAGTCATTTTCTTTTTACATCATAAATAAAATCACCGCGGTCCAAATTCGGCCCATGGGCCGTCAGTTGGGGAACCCTGGTTTATACTAAGTGGATGAAGCCCCTCACCTTCAATGTACACCATTTCATATTAATTAAATGTCCCCTGTCTGTTGTGTATCATATATTACTGTGGCATCCGTACTCTCCCTCCTGTGTGTGTGTGTGTGTGTGTGTGTGTATCGTACCCAGTGGGTAACATCCCAACTCTCCGTCCTGCAGGCCACAGCTCTCTGTCAGAGTACAGGTGGTGTTGTGACACTGTATCACCCCCCCTCCCAGACACACACACTTCTCCTTACAGCCCTCCAGGTACCAGTCGTCACCCACCTGAAAAACACACACCATGTTCAGACTACAGTACCTGACTGCCATTAATAGCCCAGTGAAAGTTGTTATTTATTTCACCTTTATTTTTTACAGGGAAGTCAACAGGTATCTTTTACAAAAAAAGTCCAACATAAGAAATACAAGATACAGTACATATAAACGTTGTGTACAGTACAGTACTGACATTTTGGAAGTGCATATTTTCATTTATATTCGGATGACTTAGCAATGTATTGCATTTATACTGTATCCTAATGTACCCTTTACCAAACCTTGATGCTTTATATAACACACTTAAATTTTCAAAGTGAAAGACAGAGTCATACTCACAGGGTGGTAGTCTCCGGAGGAGTCGACACAGCCACAGTCTTTAACAGGAACACACTTGTCGTCACTGAGGATGAAGCCGGGGTTACAATCGCACCCCTCCACACACACCTCTGAACAGCCAGGGGGGCCGCTGACACCCAGGCAGGTCTCGGGACAAGAGCTCACACACATGGAGTAGGAACTGTTAGGGGGACAGGCCAGGGCTACGGAGGAAGGGTGAAAAGAAAGGGGAGGGCAGAAACAGGAACAGGAAGTTACAGGAAGATCTTCATAAATCACAAACATATTGTTACAAATCTGGGTTAAAGGGGCAGTCAGCAGTTGAAACAATAAAGCCACCTTCCCGCCCATGCTTCTATAAAAAGCTGAGGGATGGGGCTGGAGAAATGTAACTACTCTCAAGAGCTATGGATGCAAGGACTGACCATCCATGATATTAAAAGTATAGTTTAAACCATGTTTTGAGGCTATATAGTGTTTGTTTACATTTACTTTGTTTACAAACACTGGAGTAAAACAAGCTTATAGTTTGGGTTCTGATGGAGTACGACAGTTGAACTAAGCTCAAGTTATATTCTTCAAGAATCAATGGGTACATATCACTCAAGTCCACAAATGAATGTAGCAACTACAGATTGCCCCTTTAAGTTTGCTACAACATTGAAGGAATGACTGTACTATTGACATCGACAGACAACAACATTTTCTCTGTAACTGTGTTAACGTGTGACTTTGGAGTGGCAGCCTGAGATATCTACATTTGCTTCTCCTTTCAACTTTTGCTCAAGCTGACACATAATTGCGACCTGCCAAATGTTTTCAAATCAAGTATTTGTCCAATCTTCGAGGGCCTGACTGAGTGTGTCTATATATGAGACTCACGGCAGAAGTCTGGCTTCCTCCAGGGGTGAACCATGGCCCCTGCACCCAGGCAGGCGTCAGTGTAGGCCTGTAGCTGGTCACACAGCATCTGCTGCTGGCCCACGAAGCGACACATGTCATACACACAGCTCTGGAAGAACGGAGTGGGGTCCACCAACGCAATGCACTCTCTGATTGGGGGGGGGGGGGAGGAGGGTGAGTGAGAGAGAGAGAGAGAGAGAGAGAGAGAGAGAGAGAGAGAGAGAGAGAGAGAGAGAGAGAGAGAGAGAGAGGGCGGGGTGAATGAAATGTGTGAGGAAGAGGGGGGGTTAAGAATTAGAGAAAGAAAGAAACATTATGAAAGAAAGAAAGAAAGAAAGGGAGGGGAGGGTGAAAGAGAGAGAGAGGAAAGTAAATACAAATACACAAATCCATAAATCACTTTGTTTGTTTTGAACAAATGGAGGGAGTTAAGAGTTATGACCAGAATCGTGTCAGGGCATGTGAACTATAGTAGGCTTGGTATGTATAAGACAATCTTAGATATTCTTAGCAGTGTGGAATGTATAGGAGTAAGATTGCCAGCCCAACATGTGTTTACCATGCTATATCTGGATTAAAGTAATGGATTATTGTAAACAGATATTACAATAGACCAGAGATCCATGTTTGTAAGAATCAGGGGTCATAGCATGTGAGTTTGGAGGTGCCCATGTACGTATGGATTAGTGTATGTTTTCATGTGTGTGTATGGTGTGTTAAACTGGGTGTTTATGTCTATATGATACATATTGTATGGATCATCATGCACAGTAGGGATATGTTGTTGTTTCTGTATGTCAGTGTCCATGTGACTCTGTTGCTCACCTGAAAGGTCCTTTGGTATCGGTTAATTTCCCACAGTTCACTGGTTTGGACACTTCTGCCTCCAGTGATGGATCACAGACAGGGTCTGGGTTGGTGTCGGGTTTGCATCTACGGAAACACACAATTTTAATAAACTATTTAAAATAGTAAATATAATACCAATATAGTGCACAATACAGTTATTACTACTAATACGTGCATATAGGATAAAGTACACACTCACTAAACTACTTCCTAAAGTGTGTACCTACTTTCTACTACATACATTACTGGGCAGAAATATTCCTGACTTCATCAGTCAGTATTCCCACATAATTCCCACTCACGTGGCATCCTCATCGTCCTCGGTCTGCCAGCTGTTTCCAAAGTCCTTGGAGCTGGTGACCTGGGATCCATCCGGCTTGGTGAAGTCGTTGTTAGGGTTCCCATCGTAGTCGCCGCACAGACCACACATCTGGTCAGAGTAGGAGCTGATGGAAAGACCAAGACACACAACACAGTAGATTAGTTCAAAGGTCAAGATACAAAGATATACAACCAGTGGATTAATAGAGAGATCATACTAAAAAAAATCAAAATACAAGACACATAGCACAATAGATTAGATACCGATATACACAACAACCAATAGATTATTATTATTATTATTTTGATTTTTTTTGGGGGGGGGTAGTAGATCAGCTTTAATATTGCAGATAGATTGTAACTTCCATCCATGTAATTGTCTGCATCACTTCCAATCCCCCAATAGATTATTACCATTACGAGATTATTACCAAAAGATTACTACAGATACCAAGACACACAAACAATGGATTACTCGAGATCCTACTACAGAACTCATGGAGAGGGAATTAGAAAAAATCCTGAAGGTGTTGGTTGATTTACAAGATCTATTTACAGTGGACTGATACTGGGTTGAAACTCTAAAGGTTGAAAGATGTGGAATGTTTGGAACAGAAATGGTTCTAAATTCTGTATAAATATTGATCAATTATCTGCATGACTAGCACAACATACATAGGGTGTAATTTGAGCCTTAAGAGGAAAAGGGAAGTTGCTAGGGATCTACTTCCTGTGTCCGTAGTACACACCTGGGCACTGAGATCTGGGCATAGTGGTTTCCGTCCCAGCGCACCTTGAGGCCGAACGGTGTCTGCAGGGTGATGTACTGACCCGCTAGCGATAGAGAGATTAGTGGAGAGGGGTAGTGAGGGAGGGACACACGCTTTCCGTTCACCTGTGGAGGCAGAAAGAGAGATTAATTCAAGGAAAGTCTCCGCTGATCCAGAGAAAAATAGACAAAAAAGGAGGAAGAAGTAGTGAGAGAGAAGAGGAGGTGCAATTGAATGACAGATTTGAAGGATTACTGGTCAAATAGACGATGACGGAGGGGGAATGAGATTAAAAGATAAAAAACTGACAAAGATAGAGAGAATGAGAAAGAGAGATTAAATGTTTATTAAAAAAGGAAAGGAAGGCTTTGGGTGTATTGTCATGATGTAATTTCACTAATCCTTCAATTAAGGGATATATGGAGTGAGAAAGAGAGAGATAATTGAGTGATACCACCACATCTGTGACGTGGAATGTGAATGATAAAAACGTGTATGGGAAAGCGTTATTACATGTTAATAACTGTGTTAGTGTTGTAGGTCTATGTTAATTACTGTTTAATAGCAAATGTATTTCTTCCTTCGGGGGTGTTTTTCCTAGCCAATGTGCTTCTGCTTTGCTCTTGCGTTTTGGGGCCTAGGCCTCGTTACTTCAAAAGCACCGTGACAACTTCTGATGTAAAACGGGTTTTATAAATGTGACTGATTGATTGATGTATTAACATGTACCAGAGTCCTCCTGCTCTTCATCAGTGTGACGGTGATTCCGTCGACAGTTACATAGAGCTTCTTCAGGTACGACACTCCAGCCAGACCACGCTCCTCGTTCTTACCCTCCACGGAGAACCATGGACCTGAGAACACAGCAGAACACAGTTAGAACCCAGAGTTCGAACCCCGGAACCTAGAACACAGCGTTAGAACTACAGAATCTAGAACTGATAAGACAGAGCTAGAACTACAGAACCTAGAACCCAGAGTTAGAACTACAGAATATCATCCTCATGTGTTTACCAGTGTTGTTCTTGCAGGCCCTGGCCAGGGTGTAGGTGCAGGTTCCCATGAAGCTGTAGAACTTATCATCAAATGTGTTGTAGTGGGGGTCTCCAGAGATCACACAGTCCTGAGAACCTGGTGTAAACGGAACAGAGGGAGACATCATCAGATATAAAAGCCTGCTTCCAGATCTCTTTGTGTTGTCTTGCTAACTCATATGGTCGTTGCCTGACTTACAAGACTTCAGACATCAAGACACCATTTTGAGTGTGTGTTTGTGTGCGTGTTCAGACTGTTTATTTAAAGGGATTTACCTGTAGGGTAGCAGTCCAGCTCTCCTCCCTGCACCTTACACTCGTGCATGGGAGGGCAGTCAGAGGGCTTACAGGTGATGAAGGGAGCATTACAGAAACACTTCAGCTTACAGTTATCCACGTACCACTCATCACCAGGCTGGAGGGAGGAGGAAGGGGGGGGGGGGGGGATTATGATCTTCCCGAAGTGGGTTAATCCTATCGGAGCAAGTTTATTATGCTCTGGGAGTCCTGGGTTCGAGGCCTGCAAGGGGCGTTGCACTGCCGCCGTTCAGTATAATATGTTTGAAAAACCTCCAACTCAGACAATGGCATTGATGACTCTGAGACACACACTCTTACCTCGTAGTACTCTCCGTTAGTCTGGTTGCAGCCACAGGAGCTCTCTTTGACACACTTCCCGGCGCTGAGGATGTACCCAGGGTCGCACACACACCCCTCTGAACAGGGTCCGTCACACCCCGTGGGGGACTTGGCGAAACAGGTGGGCTGGCATGGGGCGGCACATGGTATGTAGTGACTGTTGGGGGGGCATTTCAGAGCTGAGAGAAGGAGGGAGAAGACATTAGGAGATCGGTCTTCTTTAAAACATGACTTTCTCTCGGTAATTACTTTGTTGATTATACGGAACAGAACTGTTGGAGTATATTGTTTGGTCTTTGATGTGTTAATATCAACAGTGTGTTTGGTGAGTGAATGAATCATTATTATTATCATATTGATCACTATAATTTTCATCTTCATCATAAATATCCTCCTCTTCTTCCTCGTTATCATTGTGTAGGGTTGGGGTCCATTCCATTTCAATTTCAGTCAATTCAGGAAGTTCACTCAAATTCTAATTCCAAATCTCTTCAATGTTTTCAGTGAGGAACATCCGGAATTGAAATTTGCTTTACTTTCTAAATTGACTGGAATTGAAATGGAATTGACTCCAACCCTGATCTCTACTCACGGCAGAAGGTGCTGTTCCTCCATGGTCCAATGGTGACTCCTCGGTCCTGACACTCATTTACATACGACTCAATGGCTTCACACAGGATGGGCTTGGCACCGTCCAGCTCACACAGGTCAAACAGACAGTCCTTGAAGACGCTCTGAGACACACACAAAAACATACACACATTTCAGACAAAGTTCAAGGACTTTAATTAGAGTACTGTAGTCTTGCGTTGTCACACTTATGTTTCTTCGTTTTCCACATAGCTAGATATCCCTGAATTACATATTGTATCTTTATCTAGAGCGCAGATTCATAATGATACAATAAGGTAATTACTCACATTGGGGTTGACCTTGGGATGACAGACAGCAAAAGGTCCGTTCTTGTCCAGTAGCATGCCGCAGTATCCTGAGCTCTCGTACCTGTCCTGCTCATCATCAGTACAACCAGGTATGGTGGTGTTGGGCTGCTTGTTACAACTTGAGGGAGAGACAGAGTGAATCAGTCGTGTGTGTGTGTGTGTCTGCCTTTGCGCTTGTGTGTATGTCTTTGTGTGTGTGAGAGCCTGCGTGCGCATGTGTAACTGGTGTCATGACTCACTTAGGATCGGTGACCCAGCTGTGTCCAAAGTCATTGGGGTTGGTGGTCAGAGAACCATCAGGTTTCCTGAAGTCATTGTTGGAGTTCCCATTGTAGTCTCCACACAGTCCACACAGCTTGTCCTTATAGCTGAATACAGAAGAGCAAAGAAGTTTATGAGTTAATCATTTTCTCAAGCATTTTCAATCACAACAGAATTATATCATAAATATATTACAATGTGAGAGGCTTCTATTCGTTTTGGTATTTTTTTGTGTGGTATTTTTATAGTTATTTTTAGGGCATATCATGTTGGGGTCACCAAAACTGTAGGAGGGAAACCTATCTACATAAACCCCCTTTTGAGCTCTGTGCGTCTGTATGGTTTCTGTGGTGTGTGAAGCAGTTTTGACTCACTCGTTGATGACTTTGATATCCATGTAGTGGTTTCCGTCGTATCGTACAGTCACACCAAAGTCCATGGCAACGGTGTAGTGTTTACCAGACATCTGCACAGACACTCCTGTAGCTGGGGTCAGAGGGATGTTCACATTGATACCATTCAACTACATGGAGAAGAGGAGGAGAACACAGATATGAGTTAGTGATGGGCCTTCCTTTTCTGATAATTTATATGCTGTTCTGTGTCTGTATTTTTGATGTATTGAATGCTGCACAGGAATTGCCTTCCGGTGACAAATATTTATTGAATTGAAAGACAAACGTTTCTTTACTGTGTATGTTACTTTATATTGAAGGCTAAAGGCATGGGTAAAAAATATGTACTTTTGATCCTGTGTAGTCACTTTATATTGAACATACACCAATCATTGGTGTTAATTAGTCTGTACATATGCAGGGATTTGTATTTTATCAGTAATTTTTTCCATTGCTATAATATGTATAAAAAGTTTCAAATGTCATCCTTCCGTCCCATCATACCCCTCATCTCCCTCTCTCTTTCTCTGCCCCTCCATCTCTCCATCCCTGTCTCTCTCACCTGCACGGTGCCTCCCTTGAGCATGGAGATCTTCACCCCGCGCACGTACACGTGCACAGCCTTCAGGTAGGAGATGGTTAGCAGGTTATAGCGGTTCTCGTTGTCCGTGTGCACCTCGTAGTAAGGCACCGACGTGTCGTTACAAGGTTTAGACATCAGGTAGCTGCAGTTCCCCATGAAGTTGTAGTATTTCTTGTCGAAAGTGGTGTAGTGAGGGTCACCAGACGCTATACAGGTAGAAGTGCCTGGAGGGAACAATTAATTAATTAATTAATCAAGTAATCAATCTAAAACTGGTGGATAAGATTGGTAATATCATACTATTGATTGATAGAGGTGCCTGTAGGGGAACAGTGATATAAAGTTGTAAGAGGAATTAGTAATTGGCCGGTGGACAGTTCGGTTGTGTTTACACAGGCAGCCCAATTCTGATATTTTGCCACTAATTGGTCTTTTGACCAATCTGATCAGATCCTTTTCCCATAACTGGGCAAAAGATCAGAATAGGGCTGCCTTTGTAAACGCAGCCTTAGAATACAGACTCAATGTCAGTAGGCAGGTTTCCATTGAGCTAGGTTTTTTCGACAAAAGCAATGTCACCAAAAAAATATTTGTGACGTGTAATGTAAACAGCAGTAGTAGGCATTTTCTAAAGATCTAATAAATGTTTATCCGTTCGATAGGGGTGGATTTTTATTTTGTCTAACTTTCTTTATTGCGACAAATGGTGATGGAAACTGTGTTTTTAGAATAAATTGCTGAATCATTGTTAAGGTAGGCCTACAGGGGGCCTGTGATGTCATCATGTAACTATAAAGCTCCACTCCACATTTAATTATAAATGCCTACTGCTTGCAAAATCCATTTACTCAACTATAAAAAATGATGTTTCTTTGCAGGACAAGGATTGTCTTGACTTTCAAGAATGCCTGAATTGCTTCACATTGCAATTTGAAGTTTCACCATGAAAGTGTTTCAGATCTAGGCCTACCTGAGTGCAAGTTACAGTGGTGATAAGTAGGCAAATATTAGTAAATTCTTGCATTCTATTCATGCTGGCTTTTGAAAGATAGGTGGGCAGGGCATTTAGGCTATCGCGACTTTATTAATGCGCAATTTGCCTAATAGGATAACGGTAACACTTCAACCACATCATTTTTTGTCGACATTCTAGGTTTTTGCAAAAAAGTGTTTTTTAGACAGTTCACTGGAAATACACCGTGGCAGGCAATTGTCGAATCTAAGTTCTATGCAAACGTTCTAAATGTCGACAAAAAAAAAAATCTATGGACACGTTAATGGAAACATAGCTAATGTTCAAATGTCTTCCTTGATGCATTGGGTTAGAATTTTCAACCGGTATTGCCTGATATAATGGAAATAGGGTTTGTACTTAGCCCTATATAATACATACATCATATATGCTCTTTGTTGCATAGCTAGGAATCAAACTAGGCACAATACCCAAGGGTTTCCCAAGGACTATCCTTATCACTATTATTGATTCTAAGAACATTTCAAGGAACATTCTACAAGTTGTGATAACTCATCTAAACCGCACCTTTAGGATAGCATGCTCCGTTGCGACACTCCTCCGTGGGAGAGCAGGCGTTGTCCACACAGTCCAGGGTGTAGTTACCAGCACAACGACACAGCTTGGAGCAGCCGTCACCAAAGATGATCTCTCCTGGCTACAACAACAGAGACAGGGAAAGACATGTTGTTTGACAATAAACATTGTTTATTTGTGAATTGTTTTGTGTTCCTTGCATTGTTGATCCTTTTTAATGTACAGTGCCAGTCAAAAATTGTAGAATAATAGTGAAGACATCAAAACTATGAAATAACACATATGGAATCATGTAGTAACCAAAAAAGTGTTCAACAAATCAAAATATATATTTTGGTTACTACATGATTCCATATGTGTTATTTCATAGTTTTGATGTCTTCATTATTATTTTACTATGTAAAAAATTACAAAAATAAAGAAAAACCCTTCAATGAGTAGGTGTGTCCAAACTTTTGACTGGTAGTGTATATTTGTGATGTGCTGACTTGAGCAACATCAATTTCCATGTCAGTAGACATTCTGGACAATACAAGTATTGTATTGTATTGCATTGTTTCAAATATCGCATTGCATATCGCATCGTATACTGTATAGTAAATAATATCGTATATCACAGTGTTTCCCAAATTGGACGTCATGGACCACATCTTGACTATTACAGATCGTCTCATACCTCATAGTAGTTGTTATCCCCATCAAGACAATCAAATCATATTATATCGTATATACTACTGTGTCGTGTTAAATCATATCGAACATCTTTAACCACAGACTAAAAATCCCAGATCGTCTCATACCTCATAGTAGTCACCTCCCTCCAGACAACCACACTTTTCGATGGGGACGCAGCGACTGCCTTTGAACACAAAGCCTGGCTTACAGAAACACGCGCTGATACAGGAGCCAGTGCAGTTAGTAGAGGGTTCCTTACAGCTGGGGATGCATGCTGGGCCACACTCTATGTACTCAGCATTGGGAGGGCACTTCACTATGTGGAGAAGAGAGGGAGAGGAGGATGGGGGGGGGGGGGGCAAAGGAGAGAGGAAGAGGAAAAGGAGGGGTAGTGGAATGGAGAGAGAGGAAGAAGAGGGAGAGTGTGGTGGGATGGAAGGCAGACAAGTGGTTAACATTAGGACAGTATTAATCGATTTGTGAGAATACAGAAAGTGGTGTCTGATTCTGATTGTGAGAATGAAATCATCTGATTGGCTGTTAATCTCACCTGGTGGTTTGGTGGTTGTAGGTTTTGGTGTTGATGGCCCAGGTGTAGTTGGTCCAGGAGTTGAAGGTTTTGGTGTTGATGGCCCAGGCGTAGTTGGTCCTGGAGTTGAAGGTTTTGGTGTTGATGGCCCAGGAGTTGAGGGTTTTGGTGTTGATGGCCCAGGTGTAGTTGGTCCAGGAGTTGAAGGTTTTGGTGTTGATGGCCCAGGTGTAGTTGGTCCAGGAGTTGAAGGTTTTGGTGTTGATGGCCCAGGAGTTGAGGGTTTTGGTGTTGATGGCCCAGGAGTAGTTGGTCCAGGAGTTGAAGGTTTTGGTGTAGTTGGCCCAGGAGTTGAGGGTTTTGGTGTTGATGGCCCAGGTGTAGTTGGTCCTGGAGTTGAGGGTTTTGGTGTAGTTGGTCCTGGAGTTGAGGGTTTTGGTGTAGTTGGTCCTGGAGTTGAGGGTTTTGGTGTAGTTGGGCCGGGAGTTGGTGGAGCTGAAATAACCAAGGAAAACATATGAGATACAAAAGGATAATTTCAGAAGACCAAATAAACTCCTGAGGCTAGCAGTTTTCAAAGATCATAAGACATCAATAGATTATATACTATATTATCTCGGATCATAGATGATTCCTTACCTGTGCAGGCTGTGATGCATACAGCGTCTATAGCGATGTCTGTCTCAGGGGTCTCACCGTAAATGCCAACAATCACAAACTGATACACAAACACAAGGGATATATTTACCACAACCATAACCGTAGGCTGTGACCGAAACACTCTTCATCACACGAACATTCAAAGAAAAGGAAAAAAGTTAAGGTTCATTCAAATAGCTCTTTACTCTTCACAATATACAATCACATTTGTGCTTCTAGGAGGAAGGGTTGAAAATCAGATTCAAGGTTGATATCAAAGAGCCTTTAAAAGCAAAGCCTTTTTGGTCTCTCCCCCCTGTTCTAATGTTAATTTGGGATCCCAGGAAGACTAGCGGTCTCCAAGGCGCCATTTTATGGTGATCCAAATAAAGAATAAAGCCCTACTTGGTTTACCTGCATGTTAGCTGAGCCGAGGTAGCGTATCTCTGCAGGCTTCCAGCTCTGGCCCTGGTTCCCTGTCAAGGAGAAGATGGGGGCTCCAAGGTTTCCTCCTGGGCGTGAGAGGTGATGTGAAGAGGGGGTCAGAGTTTATGGAGAAAGGTAGAGCGAGAGGAAGATAATTAAAAATGCAGTGGTGATCAGTGGAGGCTGCTGAGGGGAGGACGGCTCATAATAATGGCTGGAACGGAGCCAATGGAATGGCATCAAACACATGGAAACCATGTGTTTGATGTATTTGACACTATTCCACTAATCCGCTCCAGCCATTACCACGAGCCTGTCCTCCCCAATTAAGGTGCCACCAACCTCCTGTGGTAGTGATACTCTATCTTAGCATTGTCTAGACACTAGACTATAGAGGGCTTGCAGTTGACGTACGACGCCTCTTGGCGGCCATGTTGGAAGACCACCGCATTAATTCTTCTGACAACAACAGCTGAGTGGCTACCCCAAACGGCATGATAACAGTGCCTAAAACTAAAACGAATCGTTTTTAGGTTGAGAACATATAGCTGAACAATATGTAAACAATGTGTGAGTTAAGCTATTCTCTGCTTCAGATGCACAATGTCAAGGGGGGTGCATTGCAAATGCCCATAAGGCTAATGCCATCATACTGTAGGCCAGTGGTTCCCAACTCCGGTCCTTGAGTACCCCAAACAGTACAGTTTATTGTAGCCCCAGACAAACACACCTGATTCAACTTGTCAACTAATCACCAGGTCCTCTGAGTTGAATCAGCTCTGTTTGTCCATGGCTACAACATAAATGTGTGCTGATGGGGGTACTTATGCACTGGAGTTTGGGAGCCGCTGCTGTAGGCCTATGTCTGCATTGGCATTGCATGCCATTTTCAGCTGCAAAATGGGTTCGCATGGCTGATATCCTGAAAAAATAGTGACAATCAAATAAACCTAATTGGAGAGCTTATGACTGAACAAAAAGGTCATGTTCATTTGAGAATACAACACAAACAGACAAATTAGAGACAGATTCCCTTCCCCTCTTTATTGCAGGATTGTGATCTGTGATTAATCAACATCGACACTAGTTCATCTTGAATAATAGTTAAGTTAACAATGAAAACAAGTTTAAACTTAACTTCAAAGAATCAACACTATTTCAAATTATTTCAAAGTGTACAAGTAAGCTAACTCATCTGTAAAGGTTAGACATTTTAGTAACAAGTAGGCTATTATTACTAAAGCATAATTTCAGGTGAACAAAAAAAAGTTCATACCTGAGGTTGCCAACCTCACTCCAATGATCCCTGATCTACGGGGGTAGCAGACTTCTGTTCCAGCCCAGCAATAGCACACTTGATTATTAACTAATTAGGTTTGATACATTGAATCAGGTGTGTTAGTGCTGGGCTGGAACAGAAGCATGCACACCCAGCAGGGTTGGCCTGCTCCAGCTGTAATAGGTTTATACATTGTGTGTGACTTTTAATGTGCTAACATAGGTACACATATAATCCATGGTAAACAAGGATATACCCAATAAATTACTGGGAGGTTATACATATGGAGTGTGCGACTCTCTTTGTTTTGAACCTTATTCTAGCTCGGGGATTCGAACCAGCGACATTTGGGTTACTGGCCCAACGCTCTTAACCGTTAGGCTACCTGCCACCCGACTTCAGTCTTCCAACATGGCGCCTGGTGCGGTTGCTAGGTGATTTGTGACGCGACTGCAAGCCCTCTATTATCTTGCCTTCAGTAGGCTTGTTGGGTCTTACCTGAGGTCACAGCGTGCACTTGGAGCTTCATTGTGGTGGCAGTTCCCCACATGTAGTAATGGAAGGTGAGGTTCAGACAGCCAGAGGAGCCGGTGGAGGTGAAGGGACTCCACAGCTCTACTTTCTCTCCAGGGACAGCATATAATGAGTCCATCAGCAGATAGCTGCCGACTATGGGAATAGAAGGACAGAATTAGACACAGAAAGCTAATAGTGCTAACATGATTTGAGCATTTTCACTGTCATATCGACCCAAACTGTACTGGGCTGGCTCATATATTTTCTTTTCATAGGGTCTTTTCCAGTACCATTCCAGCAACTATGGTGGATGTGTAACCAGGCCAGTCCAGTAGCCTACAGCATGTCTATGTTCTGCTCGGCTCAGTAGTGTGAAAATGATATAATACTGATACTCACAGCCTGGTTTGGAGAAATCATCATCAGGACCAGTCCCAGGGGTCTCAGTCCCTCCATTGAATTGCTCCCAGCCGAAGAGTTTAGGATTTGTAGGTGATTTGGCATCCCAGCTACACAGCTCATCAAAGGTGTCGAAGTCGCAACCAGTAAGACAGGCTGTGGAAATACATGGGATTGATCAAAACAGAAGTATAGACAAACAGAGAGAGAGAGGTATAAAGGTAAAGGGAGAAAGAGAGAAAGAAGGGAGACAGAGTAAAGAGGTATGTACCAGGACAAGCTCCCTCACTGATGACAATATTATCCAGGGCTGAGTCACATGAATCGCTGAACCCTCGCTGTGCCTCAAACACGATCTGTAAACAGAGTTAATATGATAATGTACAGCTAATATGAAGAATACAAACATGGACACTTGTGACCTGACTAATCTGAACTTTAGGTGAAACTTGTTAAAACTTGACACATAAACATTAGTGTCTAGGCAACCACTTTCCCTAAACCTTATAAAAAATATATATATACTGTTGCAGTTTTTGAACTATGCTCTTGGTCCATAAAGCCAGGCGAGATCAATCAATCCCAGATAAAGTATTTAAAATGATTTTATAATAGTATTTGAACCCAGGTCTGAACCCAGATCTGAACCAGCGACACCCACACCCACACAGACACACACACACACACACACTCACGTTTAGGCTCTGTCCTGCTGGTTTGGCCACAGTAATGGAAGCTCCAAGCCAGGAGGGGCTCTGGATCCCTGTCTTCTCCCAGACTTTATCCTCTGAGCTGGGCCGCTTGGCCAGCACGCGCAGGTGGTTCTGGTTGTCTGAACCGTACATGTAGTAGTGGAACTGGACACAGATCTGGGTTGAGGTGGAGGAGAGAGCTGGGCTGAGGAGACGAGCCTTCTGCCCATTGGCCACGTTGTCACACTCATGGTAGATGTAGAAACCATCTGAAATAGAAAAGGAGAGAGAGAGGGAAAAGAGAGAAAGAGAGAGGGGTTTGGAGATGATGGAGAAGCATTGAACCACACTGTGGCTGTGTCTGAAAAGGCACCTTATTCCCTATATAGTCTACTATTTCTGACCAGAGCCAAGCGGTGCCATTTTGGACAAAGCCTCTTGTGTCTTCTCAGGACACACTTGTCTCGATAGTGACAACAAAGACAACAGAAACTGACTGGCATCCAGGCTACCATGACTCGTAGCATGACTCGTGGACCGTGGCATTCTATTTGATCTTGGACGGGCAATATGAGATATGACCACAGGTAGGTAGATAATCTCAAAGGAGCTCATTGTCTTTCCATTACATGGATAGAAGAGGGAACCAATCATTGAATGGTCTAATGTTTCAGGTGGGCGTTTTAAGGTGAAACACTACTCACTTCCATCAGGGTAGTCCCCAGGGGGGTCCTGTTCCAGGTGTAGGGGTGGCACCTTTATGTCTTGTCCAATCACTGTTATCCATGCTGTCCTGCTGGAATTGACAGAACGGCGCACTTTCCTGGTTAAAGTCACAGGAGGTCAGGATGGCTGTGAAAGAGAGAGATGGAGGGAGGGATGAAGTGAGAGGGGTGGGAAAGAGGGAGAGTGAGATAAGGATGAAGAGAGGGGTGGGAAAGAGGGAGAGTGAGCAAGGCTCTGAAAGTTCTACTGTCTGTAGCACCCAAATCTCTGACATCATTGAACATTAAATAACAGCAAACACATGATCTCAACTGACATCACTGAATGTCAGTTACTGTAAAGAATTTGTGTCCGTTTATATAACCAATAAGGCAAATATCATGGATCAGTTGGCTGATCAAAGCAAATCGTCATAGCTAAATAACATTATACCATATTGGTTGTCATGTGTTGTAAAATGTAAATGTAAATGTCCTCACTGCTACAAAGTCAAGGTGACATTGCGCAACAAGTTGGCAACAGAACACTGACTACCGTATCAACAGTAATGCATTTGGAAACCATTATGGAACACTCAGGCCCTAAACTATTCACTTCATGGCCCCCTCCTGCGTTGTCTTGTAGGAAGGGTGTGTGTGTGTGCGCGCATGTTTAGTGATGTGTAAGCAGGTTGTGTAGTGATAAGCGTGTTGCGTTGTATAGGGGAGGAGATGTATAGGTATAGGAAGATAAGAGTAAAAGGAGGAAAGTCCATCACGTTCCCAACTACATAATGATGACTGAGACTGTGTGCCAAATGGCACCCTTTTCCCTATATAGTACACTACTTTTGACCAGAGCCCATGGTCCACTTTATAGGGAATAGGGTGCCATTTGGGACTCAGACTGGATCACATGGCTGGGTAATACTGACTGAGCCTCTGGTCTTGTATCTATTATGTGACCCACATGGGTGGGGTGCACATCTTTGTTCTAGCCCAACACTAAATCGCTGGACTCAACTAAACATCTAATAATCAAGCTCTTGATAGGTTGAATCAGCTGTGTTAATGTCTTGATAGGTTGAATCAGGTGTGTTAGTGGGATAGAACAACAATATGCCCCCGGGTGGGTCCCTGCTACTACTGTCACCTCATTAGTTAGGCAGAATGTGTGCAAGATTAAAACAAATTAGTATTTTTTATATGACAAACTTACCAGCATCTCTCACTGTTCTTTCATAGCTGTGTAAAAGAAACAAAAAACGAAATAAGAACAGGATATGAAAATGAAGAGGTAGGCCTAAGTGAATAGCAGTGTTGGGGAAGCTACTCTGAAAATATAGTTTACCAAGCAACCAATTACTTCACACTGGAAGAAGTTAAGCTACACTAAAGCACCTTTAAGAAAAATGTAGCTTACTTAACTGAAGTTAATTAGAAAAAGTAATTCACTACATCCAATCTATCATATCTAAATCTGAAATGTCATAGACTACAAATTGCAAGAACAAATCACTCTGAAGTCAGAATGTGTAATTTATCCTATTAAACACAAAACGTGAGAATTAGGCACACACAAGTGTTTAAAGTGAAAATGAGGCAGGTCTGATGCAGAAAAATAAAGGAAATTATTGCCTACTTCACCCATATTTTACCCTGCCAACAATAATGAGTCGTTAGGACGTCCCTGGGACATCACAAAATGGTCGCCTAAAGTCGTCAGGACATTGTGTCATGGTCCCCTGGAGATTTTGTCTAGTTCCCGGTTGCTACTGGGGAGGATCCCGAGGACGTTTTTAGGATGTTCTTGAGATGTTGTGTCATGGTCTCCTGGGGTTGTTGTCTAGTTCCCAGTTTGTCCCGGGGACGTCACCTGATGGTCGCAAAGAAATGTCCCCCCCCCAAAAAAAAATAAAAAATCACACGCACCCTAGTTTCATTACACATCACACCTTGTTACTGTTTCCAAGCCCATCAAGGCCCTGATTGGTGAACCACTGATTCAGTCACATCTCTTTCTCACACACAGTACTCTTAACATAGTGTTTGCAACTTACATATTTGACACACTTGATTACATTGTGTATGTTTATTCATACAGTAATTATTATTTAACATGTCCTCACCTGGGATTTGAACTCACAACATTCCAATTGTCCTGCTATGCTACCATGTCTGTATCCAGTGACTAATTTCACCTGTAGGCCTATTTCTACAATTTGTACTTCAAAGTAAATCTCAACTCTTGAAAATACACTGAAGCAAAACTTTTACATTTATCATAGTGATTCAGGAGTAACATTAAAACAGAATAATATGCCCTGCCAACATTAGACAACTATACTGAAAACCCAAACTGAAATTGCTGAAATAACTATATGAAATCAATGAGAGAATAGTCAGATAACTAAAATAGAAGTTCAGATGGCGCTCTTTTGCAAAGTGAGTTACAGTTCATTTAAGGAAATAAGTCAATTTAAATAAATTCACTAGGCCCTAATCTATGGATTTCACATGACTGGACACGCTACAGACAGAAGTTGGCAGATCGGCTGTATTGACTTAAGACGAATCCCAAGACGCTTGTGGGGGTCCGAGAGCAAACGCCACCGTGTACGTGAGAGTCTCATCTTTCCTTAAGAGGGGTCATAATAGTTTGTAGGCCAAACCGTTCGGACGCTACAGATGATTGAGTGAGAAGACCGATTTTTGGGATGTCTCATGGTATGACAAACACCGCTCTAGCTTTGCCACCTTTCACTGCAGATGCGAGAGTGCGACATCGGCGGATGCATCCAATGCAAAAAACATATTTCTAGCTTAAACTGGCTGATTTTGATAGGGACTTTTGTTTTATGCTAATTAGATGTACACAGGGCCGCGGAAATCGGCTCAAACTCCCATACCATTTCATTACTTTAGTTATAATGGTTTGGGACACCTGGGACCATCACAAGACAAAAACCTTCAGGGGACCATGACACAACTTCCCAAGAAAATTCTAAAAACATCCTCAGGGACATCACCAGGAACTAGACAAAACCTCCAGGGGACTAACGTCCCAAGAACATCCTAAAAACGTCCTTGGGACAAACCGGGAACTAGACAAAACCTCCAGGGGACCATGACACAGCGTCCCAATAATGTCCTAAAAACGTCCTTGGGACAAACCGGGAACTAGACAAACCTCCAGGGGACTATGACACAACGTCCTAAGGGGACTATAAAAAGGTCTCCGAAAGAACGTTCCCTTGGGACCATCATGCGATGTCCTAAGGACTAGTAAAATGAACGTCCGGAGAACGTCCTACAAAGGTCATAACATGGTCCTCAGTGACGTCCTGGGAACGTACAGGGAACTAGACAAAGGTCCCCCAGTGAAAGTACCCTTGGGACCATCACGCAATGTTCTCGTTCTCAGAAGGTCAGAGGGATAAAAAAAAAGTAGTGTGTAGTTACAGTAGTTAGCTGCACCACTAGATGGCAAAAAAAGTAATTCAATACTGAAAACACTACCAAGATTTGAATTTAGTTGAACTACCACCAAGCTACAGCAAAATGTAATTAAATTACTAGTTGAACTAAATGTAGTTCACTACTCCCCAACACTGGTGAATAGTGAGTTTCAGATGACATTTTTACATTTACATTTTAGTCATTTAGCAGATGCTCTTATCCAGAGCGACTTACAGTTAGTGCATTAGTGCAATGTAATCTACAGTTAGATTAATCATGAATAGAAAAGTTACTGAATATGATCTATCCTTATTCTATGTAAAGAATAAGAAATCATAGTATCAAATATACCAGCAGAGATTATCTTCTATCCTGTACAAGTAGAGTATAATTAATTAAATGCATCAATGCATTAATGCATCAAAAACAAGTGATTCCATACTGTTTTAAAATAATTCAGAATAACTTGAGAGGAAACAAGCCATTCACAGAAACTTGTGAGACACTAGTGATAAATTATTCAATCAACCAAAGTCACCGCTGTTTAAACCAGCTCCACCAGAACAGACTACAATACATTGTAGGGTACAGTCATAGCCATGTATTTAGAGAGTTGGGCCAACTTTTAGACTTCTGAATATTGTTCTAAATCTAGACATTCAGTTACATAGCATTATTTAAATACACAGAGTGTACAAAACATTAAGAAAACCTTCCTAATATTGAGTTAATGTTTTGTACACTCAGTGTATTTCCTATGTAATGTTAATGGTGCACTAACATGGCTGTCATAGAATGTTGTAGTGTCATGTAAATGCTTCATAAACCTCAATAGCCAAAATCCCTAAATACTTGGCTCTGGGTATAGTTCTGTACCCCCAAAAGCCTTATAAGCTACACTATATGTCCCTCAATGATGTCTTCACAATAAGCATCTACAAATCATCCAACTAAATTCAAATCCTTCAAAAACATTGCTGGTAAAATGATCCAAACACTGTAACAGTGATGCCCGCATACTTATCAGTAAAATATTGATAATGTATAATAATGCCCAAATCAATTGAATACTGAACCAATTCATTCAAATTATGCAAATAGACGTCCACAACCATAGCACTTGTTTATGGATCAATATTAAAATCTCAGTCTTTCTGTTACTCACCCTTCTTCTGTGTTAGCCACTGCGCTGTACCCCCATATCAACAGCAGTAAAACAATCGTTGTTTTAAATTTACCCATGGCTAACATTAGAGTTAGCAGGCTAACCATTTAGTTAGCAGGGAGTGAGGCCGATCTGATGGATCAGGGGACTTTTATACATCTACAGGTGGAATGGAGAAGTTTAAAAAAAGAGGGGAGGAGAGAGGTGAAGAGAGAGAAGATGGAGGTGAAGAAGGGAGTGGGGTGTATTGGAAATGCTATGACTCATATCACCTTTATACTGGTGGGTGGAAGGTGAAGAGAGAGGGAGGAGGGAGGTAAAGAGAGAGAGGGTAAGGGAGTGGGGTGTATTAGTAATCACTAGCCTACGTCTCATGCTGTGTATTATCTTGCTTTGCACATTGCAAAACCACCAACCCAATGAGTGAATGAGTTACAGTGAGTGATATGGCATGGGTGTGTTCGACCTGTGTGTTTTGTCTGAAGACAGTGTACAGTTAGAATGGGTGGGGATGCTTCTCAGTTCTATCACTGTAAAGTTCAGAGAACCATAATAACGCACTTCACCTGTAAATGACCTGGATAGATGTATAAAAATGGGCATTGCATAACCTGCATTGGATGCATAATGATGTTTGGCTGTTATAGACGCGGGCACGGTGTGTGTGTGTGTGTGGTCTGAGGTTGGACCCTTCAGCCCTGGCCTTACGCTGGGAT